TGTATTCGTTGCTTCGCTGTTGTATTTTGGATCACAATGGAGCTTCTACGGGCTCTGTCCACCGTGTCGGACTTGTCTTGCTGGCAGGAGGTCTTCGCTGAATGGCATGGGCCGCCTTCGATGATATGAAGAAGTCCGTCCGGCTTCCTACAGACGATCCTCATGTTTTTTGTCTCTCGTCGCCGCAGATGGGCCCAGCGCAATCTGGCATAGCCGGGAGTGGTCGGCCGGGCCGCCGCAACTTGCAAGTAAGCAGCGCTGTTATGGCTGGCATGACTCGCGCAGGCCGGGCTGCGGTGGTGGGCGCGCCAGCCTAGGCCGACACCGTTGCCGATTTCTCCCATTTCGGGGGCGAAGGCGGCCCGAACGGACACTCTGCTCGGCGTCTGCTTACGTACTAATATTGAGCGCTTATACTTCACTCGAGCGTGCCTTTCGCCGTGGCTTTCTTGAATTCTGCCATTACCTGCTAGGACCATCCGCCCACCCGTATCGAACCTTTCTCCGAGACCTCGAGCCCACGGTTCTTACCATGCTGGAATACCGCTGGTGAAGGCTCATTCCGCCAAGGTACTTTGCCCACCCTTCTCATTCGCATATCCCTCCCTCTCCGTCTTCTGTCGTACGCTCAGATGCGTTGGCGTGGAGTCCATTATATACGTTGTGCGTATGTATGTGCAAGTGGGGGGCCCGACGAAGTGCACGATGCTTGCGCATTCCAAATGGCTCCCAAATCCGCTGGAGGGATCGCGAAGGAATATCACCCGACGCGTCGTTGAATGCGACAAACGGTGGACGAAAGGCGCAGCGATGTCCCGGGCACAGAGGTGAGCCTTCGCGCGAACTCGTCCGCGGACGAACGGCTTCTACAACCATCGTACTCTGTGCCGATGTCAGGTTAGATCCTGCTTTCGTGGAGCAGTCCGGGCTACTTCTCTCAGTGCTTATCAAGATACCCATGTATGCGGCTTTCTTACGAGTGTCCTGCTGCCGCACAGACCCTGCCGCGGGAGATCCGAAGTTCCCTGCCATGGCCATTGCATCGTTCAGCGGAGCGACCATTGAGAAGGTGGCTTCCATTAGTACCTGCAGTATGTCTTCGTCATGTCTCATAGCTTTTACGCTTACCGAAGTTTCTGCTATAGCTCGGCCAACTCTATCCGTGGCGATCCCCTCGGCCAGATGAAGCAGCCGCTTGGTCGCTCCCTTACAATCACCTCACGACCAACGTCAGCGCTGTCGACCGCGTTGTTGGAAGTAGACCTGTTGTTCTTCGATAAGCGTTATTTGCGTACTTGTGTCCACAACCATCGCGGGTCAAGCTCGACATGCTCACGTTGTTGGGTCACCGGCCAATATCCGACTAGCATGTTTTACTAGACCCGCAATTGATGGGCAACACGTACGACTCGGTTTTTCGATTGTCACATGCGTGTCGCGGTGAGTACTGGGGCGGTCGATCCGATAGTGGCCGCAGAAGCTGCATAGGCGCTAATTTCTTTTTGTCTTGCAGCGTGGCGTTCAATGCCCGCCGCTCCCTTCTCATTTCCTCCTCCGTTTCTGGTTCTCTACTTGGCACGTCTTTTGAATGGGTCTTGACTCTGGCAGCAAGGAAATCAGGATCCATCCTCCGCGGAGTACACTTCCTCACTAAGTTGAAGCCTTCACTCGACTACGACGCGAAGCCAGATTTAAGTCCTGCGACAGGCGCGTTGCCTTCGATCACTGAGACGTACGAAAGACAATAGTCAATGCCGCCGGCATCGTACCACGTTCCTCTTCGCGTAATAATGGGGGATGCGCTGTATATCCCTGGCACCAGGGCTATCGTAGCGCCCCCGCCGTTACCCGTTCTAGTGAGTTTTGTCACCGCGTGTTGCATGATGTCCGCGCAATTCTCTAGATCAGGGCGAGGCGCTGGCTCGCTGCATGCATTGCCAGCGGACCCCTCGCGTTTCGGCACCCGACCCGCGCCTCGTTCCCGCCAAACCGCGCACACACAATTGCGCACTCCTGACACCGTCAAGACGACGAGCACGGTTTGATGGGTGCGTATTCAGACGCGCATCCCTCCAGAAACCGCGACATTGCTCGCGCGGCGAACGCGCAGCCCGCTTCGGGCGCGACGGGCTATTGTCTCGTCGGCGCCGCCCATCCAGCCGTCCCCATCCTCACACACATTGCTGCTCCGCCCGGCGCATATGAAGGCGCGGTCACAGTTCCAGGAGATAAAAGACTCCCGGGTTGGTCGCGACCCCTTGTCTCGCTCCCTCCTGCGCTTGAGCTCCGTGCGCACCTTTCGCATCTTCGCCCTCGGACCCCACCGCATTTCCTCGACATGGACGCGTTCTTTACCATCTCCGCCGTGGTCCCTGCCGAGCAGCCGGCCGAGTCGACGCAGGAATTCGACTTCAGCGACCGCGAGCGGCTCGCGACAATGTCCTCGCACTCGACCTGCGTCATTGCATAAGTGCACATCGTGTACTTTACACCGTCATGTGGCGAGTCCTTGGTGAGCATTTGTCTCATACTCAGCCGTCGTTGCAGTCGCTGACGACTCTTACGCAGACCGCCCGCGACGCGATTCCCGCACCTTACCGCGACCACCCCGTAATCGCATACCCACATCTCCACCTCACCTCGCGCCATCACCAGAGACGTCACGCGCGCCCGTCCTCCCGCCGCACCTCCGAAACGTGCAGCGCACCTTCGTTTCGCGCCGCGCGCTCCCTCTTACAGGCCAGCCCTCCAGTGTCCCGCGCACGCGCGGACACCACCACCCTCCTTCTTCGTGCCCCGGACCCGCTCGCCATCCACCTCCGCCTTTACGCCCCCCACATGATTGCCGCATGGCGCGACCTACCCCGCGCGCGCGGCTGTAACTTATCCATATGCACATATTGCGCTTCAACCCCGCCCGGCACTTCGCCACCCGTCCGTATGCTTTACCGTCACTATCGACGGCTGGGACGCTTGTATCATAAGAGCTACCGACGAGGAGCTTAGGCTGGGGCGGCGGTGGAGATGTTGGATGAACTCTGTATCGATAGTGTGTACGGACGTCTCGAGCGCGGGTGACTCGCGGCTTGTCGGACGGACGGACTCTGATTTGCGTTTACGCACGGCTCACAGCTCCGGCTGTTGTTGTAGAACTACATTTATGTGTTACGACGTTACTAGTTGATCTCACGAAGTATGGCTTCATGAGCATAGAGACCTTGCAATGATATAAAAGTATGTATAAGAATAAGAGCGCGGAGTCGTAATTGTCCGAAGTGGTCCGGGATCAGGATATCAGGCCGCCGCGATGCGGGCACCAGATGCCTGACAGTTGTGCACCGCGGTGGGTCAGGGGGCATATAGTTGCCTCCGCGCAACGACGGAGGATGGACGTTCACTCTCCTACGTGGTCGATGAGTGAGTAAGTCGTGAAACATTTGCGTCCTTCGAGCTGCTCACCTCTGGTACAATAGCCGAACCAACGATCACGCTATGCACAGGTGCAATGCCAAAGACCGAGCCAAATCGCTCGTGGTCGGCGAAGTCGGGCACTGTCGACTCTGCGGGCGCTCCGCAGGGACCACCCTTGCGATGGGAAGGAAGGCGTCCATGAAGGTGGGTGGAGCTCGGTGAGACGGAGAGGATGTTAGGGCGGAGAGCTCACAGTGCTGTTGGTCCTTCGTGCCTCTGCTGTGCCTTTTATGCTGCAGCGTCACGGCGCACACCTAAGCTGAGTTTTGTGCACACAACGGACGCTGACAGGTGGGCGTGTGCATCTGAGACAGCGGGTCAAAGCTCTCGACGGGCACGCACTGTGGCTTTTGTATTTGTGACAGGAACGACGCGGAGGCCGTGTCCTGATAGCTTCCGAGCAGCTAGTGGAATGAAGCGATGGAGAGCGGAGACTTGGTCGGTCGCGCGGCGCTCTATCCAGGAGTTCTGTTGATTATGGCAGTCATTGGGCGTTCCTGAGGCTAGCAAGGGAAGGAGGTGGGACGGCTTCAATCACACCTGTCCGGCGCTTCAACGTAAGTAAAGTGCGTCTGACAAGTTGATAACGAGGGCAAAAGGAAAGTACAAGTGGTCAAAATACCTGATGCTTCTGGACAACAGCTGAGGACGCAGATGACGGCTGTGTTTGGCTTCTCTGATCCCTCTGCGTTCCCGTCGAAGGAGCGAAATCATCAGGCTCACATTTATTGTTTCATGCGAGGGGAGGAGGTAACGGAAGTCAGAGGGAGTTTGAGTGAGGCCATGAGGTTCAACTCGCAGAATTCGACCAGTGCGGGCTCTTTGGCATCATTATCTCAGCAAATCTCTCACGCCACAGGCGCGCCCAACGGCCAGGCCCTGCGGCCCAGCGGCGTCCAGCACCAACGACCTCCCACGCACTGCCTCATCTTGGCCAAACTGCACCACATCATCTAGGCTCAATATCAATGCCGGCTTCACAGTTACCATCCGGACCTTACGCCAGCTTGCTGAGGTGCTGGCAAGGTTTATACGCCTAAGGTGCGTTACGCCGAAGTCGTACGTGTTTTAAAACATCAATCTACTGAGATAGCTTCTGCATCCTCGAACATCAGATTCTTTAGCATTATTGTCGCTGTCCAGCTTGAGATATCCCCATCTGCACTTATGATGTGTTCCTTTACATAGATTGGGCGCTTATTCTCTTTTGTTTCGCAGCGCAGCTCGCCGCTCAGATTCCCTGCTTGTGTCAGGGGCACATCCTTTCCCGGAGCTGCCTGTAAATACCTCGGCGCCGCATCGACTGGGCAGGGCTTCGCAGGTCAGTTTTTTGGCTGATGTCTGCACGAGGGTCTCCTCTGACTGAGAAAGGTCACTGTATCTTGCTCTGGCTAGCAGATGTCCTCCGATCGCGCAATTGACACTCGCAAGACAATAGCTCGTGCCGTCGGCACAGAGCCACGTTCCTCGAAACATAATAAGGTGCGATTGGCCGGCGTATTTCTGGAACAGCGCCATCAGAGCCGTGTATGCGCCTCAGACATACATTCAGCCCTCCTGGTGCGTCCCGTCAATGCATGCATCATGCCGACCGCTCATACTCGACAACCAGGTGCGAACGAGGCTGCGTTGGAATCATCCGTGGATGCATTATGTCCTCCACTGTGGCCCGGCATAGGCCTAGTGAGTGGTGCACGCGCCGCAGCTCTCTCATTCCGGCAGGAACGGATCCACCAACACAATTGTGCGCCATCGGATGAAGCTCCGCGAGTGGTATATGCGGAACATCCTCTCCCAGGGCAGATGTGTATGGGCCTGGCGGCGCCGACCCAATTGTCCTGCACGCACGCCCGTGCCTGTCCGCACATCCAGCTGTCAATGAGCATCCATCCGGAAGAGCGCAAGGACCCGCGGCACTCGGAATTGCGACTTACATAAAGGCTCAATGAGGTTGTCAAGACTGCCAGCGACCTTGTCCCCTGCGTCCGCCCCCTGCACCTGAGCACCTCGCTCTCGAGCATTCCTCCACCTTCATCGACATGGACGCGTTCTTCACCATCGCCGTCGCGGTTCCCGCCGAGCAGCCCGTCGGGTCCGATGAGTTCGACTTCACCAACCGCGAGAGGGCGACTTCGAGCGGGTCGCACTCTACTTGCGTCATCGCGTGAGCGTGTCTACGCGTTCCGCGCCCGCGCGTGGCTCCTATTAGGTGAGCATTCCGTCTTGCTGTCGGTCGATCTCACAAGATCGCTGACGTTCTTGTTGCAGGACGCTGAACGCGCGGCGACTCAAATGTCCCTATCCTACCACGCCGACCCCGTATTCGCGCAACCGCCCTCTCATCTCACCGCTGCGACACACCCAATCCACCTCCCCTCGCCCTCTTCGACCTCCCGACACCCTCCACCATCGACTCCGCCGCCTCCCGCTCGCGTCCGTCTACACCGAGCCCCGTGCCCGCATCTTCGTTACGCGTCGCACGCTCCCATTCCTGGTCTCCATGGACCAGGCATTCTCATTCACAGTGCCCTACTTTTCGATTTTCCCCAAGGCTCGCCTGCTCGAGCCGTGGTCCCTAACTTATCCGTATCCAATTATCGTCCCGGATCCTCGCCCGCGATCCCCCTCCACCTTCACCTACTACGCTCCCCCACCTTTGTTTCCCTTCGTGTAGCCCACGGTGAAGAGCATGTATCGTTAGACTCCCACATACCTTCCTCTTCACGCCGGCCAGACCAACTCACGGACATTACGTTCTGTATACGAGCCACTCGTCACAGCTCCTGCTGCTGTTGTAACAGTAGCTCCTTCGTTGCTTCGCTGTTGTATTTTGGTCACAATGGAGCGTCCGCTGGCTCTGCCCACTGCGCTAGAATTTGTTTCAGGCTTGTCTTGTTGGCAGGAGGCCTTCGCTGAGTGATATGGGCCCCTTCCGGCCGGAGCGTCCGACGATGACATGAAAAAGTCCGTCCGGCTTGCTGGCAACCCTCATGTCTTTTGTTTCTCGTCGCCGCGGCAGTTTCGGCGGCGAGCATGCGCCGTGTATTCGCATTGAGAAGCCAGGGGAGCATCCAGAAGGGGGCCAACATATTCAGGGGTCCAAACACAGCAATGATATTCGTGGAGAGCCGTGAAGAGCAGAGTACACGAGAAGTCCCGGAGTAACACACAAAACACCACACTCACAGAAGGACCATGTTCCCAAGAACGCCCCCGACCAACCCCGCACCGATCGCAAAAACCGGAGCCCTCGCCGCGCCTGCGCCGCCGTTCCACGCTCCAGTCGTCCCAGTTCTGGCCGTAATTTTAGTCGGAGGAGTGCTAGCCGTGGCGATGGTCCTGGTGATCCTAGCGGTCGAGCCCGTGTGCGAGCTTGAAGTGACGGTCGCAGCGTGAACACGCCCAGGGTACCGTAGAGCCCCGCCTCCCCCTCTCGCCCGTCAAGAGCTGCACGGAGAACGGCACCATCATCGTCCCACCGTGGCAACTGCGCCCCCTAATATTGCTTCGTGCCTCATCGCGGCGCCCAGGAACGGGTTGGACGAGGTATAGGTGGATGTGTTCCTGCCGAGATGAGAGAGCCGTGGGCGCGCATCCAACGCGACTCGCGAGATCCATGTCGCTATACGTCGTAGCGAGAGCGAGCAGTCCGCACGAAGCATGCACTGACAAGGCGCACCTGGATACTAAATGATATCCAAGGGCACACGCAAAGGCGATAACGCTGTTCCAGAAATACGAGAGGGAGAGAGATATGTTCAAGCCGCCCTGCTCGATCCTCTGACCACACGACCCGAGATTAGCCGGCCGGGCCGCGCGCGACCCCGACTCGCGGCCGTCCACCGCTCATTCAATTTCAACCGCCATCGTCCCGCGTCATGCTTTTCTCCAGGCTCAATTCACCCGCCCTAATCGCACAGTGTATCGGAAGCGCGAGCCAACGATAAAAGTCGCCTGTGGAAATGCAGCCACGGTCAACACCGTCTGCTCTCTCCCTCCTGGGGTCTCTCGGTCTGCCAGCATGTTCTCCGTCTCCAAGCTGGTCGGCGTCCTTGCGCTCGCCACTCTGGCCGTGTCCACGGCCGCGTCAACCGGCTTCAACGCCCCGACCAAGGACCTCTTCGACCAGAGCATGACCTGGCTCGACAAGCTCTATGACCCCGCCGCCGGCTACCTCTACTACTTCTACCTGCCCCTCGCGGCGGGCCCCCACGAGACGCGCTCGTCGGTGTGGTACGCGACGGGCCTGCTGCAGCGCAACAGGGCGACGACGTCGAGCAGGCGTGCAAGATCATCCGCAACGTCATCGCCGACCAGGAGAAGGACGTCGAGAAGCAGTGGTTCGGCGACTACACTGTCTTCCCGGAGCAGCCGACCGTGGGCACGGACGCCTACCCTCAGAGCGTACGTCACGCCATCCCATGTGTAGCCCGAGGCTAAAGGACATTGCAGATCTACAACACTTGGGACCCGAACTGGCGCGGCTTCATAGGCACCAACCTGATCGTCATCTACGAGGAGTTCGGCAGCCTGCTGCCCGTCGACGTCAAGCAGCTCATCCTCGAGAGCATGTACAACAACACGATCGGGACAGCTACCGCGTCGGCGGCGTTGACGGCGACAACCTCTATCCGTCGTACAGCAACCCGGCGATCATGCGCGCAGTCGCCTCGGGCTGGACGGGCCGCAAGCTCAACGAGTCCAACATGACGGCCGCTGGCGAGATGTACGCGCGCGAGATCATCGACCTGTTCAACGTCAACGACACTCTGTCCGAGTTCAACGTGCCGACGTACTACGGCATCTCGCTGTATGGTCTGACGGTGAGCTCTCTGGTCCGCTTCCCATACCCTACCCCAGCGTGCTTACGCTGTTGCCAGCTCTGGGCCAAGTACATGCCCTCAGACTCGTCATGGGCCAGGAGGGCCCCGGGATGATCCGCGCCGTTTGGAGCGCCGTCGGCCAGTTCTGGCACGCCGGGATGCGCAACCTCGCGGGGCCCTGGGACCGCAACTACGGCTACGACACGAACCGCTACGTCGCCATCCTCAGCCTGTACGTCTGGTCGCTCGCCGGCCGCGAGGCCGCGTACGGCCCGAAGGGGCCTTCATCGACACGCCGTACATGGCGCACGCGGACGACTTCGAGTTCGGCCCCCTCCTCTCCGTCCTCGCCCCCTTCCACAACAGCCTCGTCCCCCACGCGGCGGTCGAGGCGCTCCAGATGTTCTCCGGGGAGCGCACGGTGAACCGCGTCGCGTACGCGCCGCCGTACGACAACGCGCACCGGAACGTGACGACGTGGCTGTCGGAACATCTCACCATCGGCGCCGAGTCGTTCGACCAGGTCGCGCTGGGCGGCGCGCGCGAGGACCAGTCGGCGTGGGCGCCCGCGGTCGTGCAGTGGACGCGCGAGGGCGGGCACGTCGGCTTCCTCGTCTTCCACCCGGCCGAGACGGCGGTGCAGGCGCGCGTCGCGCCCGGGGAGCTGCACCTGACGTACCCGAACGGGACGGCGGAGAGCGCGTTCACGTTCCTCGTCGACACGAACCCGCTCGGCCGGAAGCGGGACATCGCGGGCGTCGAGGACATCTACGGGCTCAACGTGACGGTTGGGGGACGGTGGATGCGCAACCGCAGATTGGCTTCTGTGGGTTGGTCGGCGGGACGTGCTCGATCATCCATGATTTCGAGTTCTGGAACTTGACGTTCGTCATGCCCGTGAACAGCACGGAGACGCCGAGCATCAGCTTTAAAATCTCGCACACCTGAGGTGCCCATTGGACTGGATCATGTAATTAGTGACGGCCCGATGATGTCTTTTATTCATTCCATCCCGTCGGCGTTCAGCTATTCGTGGTCTGATTCCGCACGTAGTGTATATGTACGTACAACCCAGTTCAGTCCCCTCGTACTTCGTACGCTTGCGTGTATGCCCACTCGCTCTCGCACTTAGCATCTCGCGTCGTCATATCGCCCGCGCCTCTTGCCACCGTACCGCCGACGCCGTCGTGCTTAGCGCCCTCGACGTTTCCGTTGTGCCCGTTAGCCTTTCTCCCTTGGGCCTCGTTCCCTCATCCAACTTCTCGTGCCTCACACCTACACAACCTCATCTCGCGCATTCGCCCATCGTCCACTCCACCAGAGCTGACATCATATCAGCGGGGTGAGAGCACTTTGCGGTGACGAACTGCGTATGTTGACCACTTCCAGCCGTGGTATTGGCCTTGATATGCCAAGGGGGAAATATTGACGACAGAAGAGCCGAGTATGCTCGCAAGAATGTCTACTTGCGGTCTCAATACTTGCTGCTCGAATTTTTCCGGTTCCGGGTCGCATGGGCCCGGGAATGGGCCAGTTAGTGGTAAATACTGCTGAAAGTCGAGGTACAGCCTCAAGTGACGGAGATGTGCCAGAGGGCGAGCATGCGCGCGATACGCGCCTAGGTACGATCCTGTGAGCACCGCGTCGAAATACCGTAGGGATATCCTTGGACGAGCGGAAGGGTCTCTTCTCTTCGAGCTCCCACGGATCTTCAAAACGCAGGAGCGTAAGCCACTCAAGGCGCGGGAACGCCGTCACCAGCCAATCCAATAGTGCGTCCTCCGCTGCGTCCTTCTCCGCCGCGCCTTCCCCCATGCCGATCGCCTTCTTTCTGGCAACGTACTCGATCTCCAACCGCTCCAGGTTAGGTACGTTGCACCGGCGGAGGATGTCGAGCGTGGTCGACGCGTCGTGGTACGCGTCGCGGTGGACTCCTTCGGCGAACCACACACGCTTCCAGTAGCGCAGCGACAGCTCGCGCAGCGTCGGCGGGAGATGCGCGTACACCTCGTCCTGCGCGTTCGGGCACGCCACGACGAGCCGCTCGAGCTTCGGCCACGGGAAGGGCCCGGAGTGTCCCGGGGGCCAGAGCGGCGCGCGCTCGGTGGCGCGAGTGCTCCAGAAGTCCGGGCAGTCGGTGCGGTTGTTTACCCTGGTGCCGTGCGGGGGGAGGGACTTGAGGGCGAGCGTGCGGAGGTTGGGCATGTTTGTGAAGAGCGCCGCCAAGTGGGGTATGTCGCCGGTGGGAGGGTCTGCGTGGAGGACGAGTGTGGTGAGGCGCGGCCAGTCGAGGTCGCGCAGCGCGTCCACCGGCGCCGACGCGCCAGGAGATGCAGCGTCTCAAGTGTCCTGTGTGCCTTGGACAGCGTGTACGAGAGAGCTTGTGCTTCCGACTGGTGCAACTCGAGGCGAGAAGAAGGGTGAACCTTGTGATAGTTCAGGGATAAGAGCGGCAGCGCGTTCCCGTCTTCCTGCACGTCAGTGGGTAGAGGACTGAAATGTAACCGCTTGAGGGCGAAGTGGCGGAGAGTCGGGATAGCCAGAACACGCCTTATCGTGTCGTAGATAGCCGTGGGAGGACTCCGTTTCGTAGCGAATGTTATCGAGCAATTTGGGACAGAGAGGATAAGAAGGTGTTGAAGGCCGTGTCAAGAATGAGAGACTCGCAGAGACTCGCCGGCTGGTTGACTATGCCTTCTTGCGCAGATCGTTCAGCTGTGGGCAATAGTCTTTGATCACAAGTGACCTGGTCAATCTTATGAGCGAGTAGTGCCGGAATCACAATAGCAAGCGTACCTGATATGGGCGGACAACCCTGGAGAACCGAGCGGGTGTTGTCGGAAGATGCGTAGACTGGGCCACAGTTCGCTAGGATACACGATCATGCTGCTATCTCCGTATATGATAGGGACAACATGCTCTCTCAGACGTTTGCAGGCCGCGCCCAGGTTACGCGCATCTTTGGGTGAACTGAGTAACCCCACGACGAGCGCGATCACGTCTCCGTTCAGTTGGTCGAGGCTCCTGTGGCACGTCAGATAAAATTACCGTCAATTTACTCGTTGTACTCACATATGCGTGGGCTCTTCTGGCATCTGAGGAGGATCACGGGATGCTGGCAAGACGAAAGAGAGCACGAGTCGTTCAATCGCTTACATATCAACGGCGCTTACAGGCGCTCTACTACCGACCAAATGGCAAGACTGAACTTGCAATTGGACTCCCTCCTCGACAAACCTTGCCATGCATCACAACCTCTGTTTATGTTTTCGTTGCGCCTCCGTCCATTGCTGCCCTTAGGCCCCTCAAGCTCGATCCCTGGAAAGCCATCCCCGCGCAACAGCTGACCAGCGGTGTCGTCTTCCAAGTCACCTCGGTGGGAGAGCTGGTCAGAAGCCTCAAAGCGTGATGGGTAGACAGCACGCGTACGGTTGCGGCCGTCTTCGACTTTGCACTCGGTCCGTACATTCCCATTTCGCCCCGCTTAGATCCCCTTCCTTGATCAAGTTCCTCAGCTCACAGGCTCTTGTGTCCCTCCCTCCACTCCCTGGCACCCTGCCTGGCACCACGCAGATGCTGCTCGGACACCTCGCCCTCGCGCTCCCCGCACTCGGTCTCCCTGTCCGTGAGTTTGTCTCCTCCCGCGTTTCCTGCCCTCGCGGGTGCACACACACTAAGCTCACGCTCGCGACCCAACCCCAGATGCCGCCGTGACCTCCCTCTTCATCCCCGCCGCCGACCAACTCGCGCTCGCCGCGAAGAACGTCGGCACGGACGCCAGCGGACACACCACCTGGGTCCTCGCCGCGGGGAGCACCGCGAGTGGGACACTCTCCACCCCGCCCTTCGCTTTCCCGCACGGTACGCCTCCCTCGTCCCTCTGTTCCCTGCGCACCCACCCACACCTCTTTCCACCTCCCCTTCTCGTCGATCCCCGCTCCAACCGCGCACAGCAACGATGGTCGCCGGCTCCTCCGACCTCCACTTCCTCCAGGCCGTCCCGGGCGTCTCTGGGGTCTTCGCGATAGAGGACTGCGCGATCGCAGACACGGTCGCCGCGTGCACGATGCAGTACTCCGTCGCGGGCGCGGTCACTACAGTGGGGACGACGACGGTGCCTGTCACCGCGTTCCCCGTCCAGCTCGTCACGGGCGGGAAGGTGCTCCCGACGGACTCGGCGCTGGCTGCGTTCACGCTATCGACCGTTGCTTCAAGTTCGGACTCGGGCTCGAGCGCGGGGACCGGTGAGGTGGCCGCCACGGCGACGACGACGACTGCGAGCGCAACTGGCACCGGGGCGGGCACGAACGGAGCGGGGAATGGAGGCGCGGGTGTGGCGAGGGCGTCGCTGGTTGCGGTTGGTGCGGTGGTGTTCGTTGCAGGTATTCTTGGGAACGTGGTGCGTCTGTGAGTAGGGTTTTGTGTATTTCTGTTGCGACTTTGTATTGTGTCCTTCACGACCCTTGACGAATATCATTGTGTTGTACTCTACCCTCGATCATGTCGTCCCTCCTCTGGATTCTCCCTTGGTCTCCCGATACGCACACCGCCGGAACATGAGAACTTTCTGCCAACAAGACGAGCTCGACTCCTATCGCTCTTGTATTTCCCCAAATATGGTCCAAGTTTCAAGGCATATAACCGTATCTCTTGACGTAGATCCCGGCCGATACTCATCATTGGTCATAAAACTGTGGCCTCTCAAGTTTTGGGTCAAGCATCTGCATCCCGCGCACCGGCAAGTATGGCAGGGACTGGCATCTTGCTAATCCCAGAAACTGTCGCCGAATTTGCGTTGACCACAGGTACCGGCTTGTCCAGTGCAAGGCTGCTCACTGAATAATCTAATGTGGTGAGTGAGGCGAATGGCGTAAACAGATTGTATGCTTCCAGAAACTATGGAGAACAGTATAACACGATTACATACTCACTACGTTCGCCACAAAACCTTCGACCAAACCCACACCAATCGCGCGACCCTCCACCGCACCATTTGACTCCGATCCTGTCGCATTCGTAGAAGTAACGAGCGGGACCAAGGTCGTGACAAGTGCCCCGGAATCGGGCTAACTTAAACGTCGGTAGGGCTGGCAACTGTGGTCGCTGTGGATCGGAAGCTGCAGATATAAGTGAAGTTGAAGAAGCAGGAAACGGTGAGACTTTGTGTCGAGACATACCGAAATGGAAGTCCGGAGGAGATGGACCGGAGAGTGCACAATTCGACGTAGTTGCGTGTGGTTCCACAGACACCGTGTTGGCGGAACCATTCAAAATGAATGAAAGCCTAGTCCATTGTCCCAATAGCCTGAGAAATAAAGACTCTGCCATGCTTACAGAAGCCCTGTGTTGCCCAGAAAACCCCCCACTAGGGCCACGCCAACCGCGAGCACCATAGACACCTTTGCCGTCCGTAGTCCTCCGTTCCCGGCGCCATCCGTGCCACGGCTCGTTGGGCTCGCAGTCGAAGACGAGGTTCCCGCCGTCGGCGCGGAGGTTGCCCCGGTGTTTGAGCCGGAGAGCGGGGCCAAGGTTGTAACGAGCTGGACGGGGAACGAGCTGACGGTGACCGTCGTGAAGCCTGCGGTGGTGACGGAGCCGCTGGCGGAGTAGAGTATCGTGCAGGCGGCGAGCGCGCTTGCGACCGCGCAGTCCTCCAGGGCGAAGGCGTCGGGGATATCAGGCACATTTTCGACAAGGTGTATGTCGGTGGGACCGGCGACCATCGTAGCTGTTCGCGGGTCGGAGCAGAAGAGAGCGGAGGGGGGGCAGGAGACAGGAGAAAAGGGAGGGGATAAGATTGTATACACACGATGTAAGCAAACCCCAGACATACCCGAGAAGGCGTAAGGTGGCGTTTCGAGTGTGTCGCTTGCGACGCCCGCCGCGAGGGCCCAAGTGGTGTGACCCTCGGCGTCCGTGCCAACGTTCTGTACGGCGAGCGCGAATGGGTCTGCCGCGGGTATGAACAGGGAGGCCTCAGCGGCCTCTGTGGCAAGGGCGTGGGTGAGCTTGATGCATATATGTGGGGCATGATGAAGCAACACTCACTGGCTACAGCACTGAGCAGCACGAGCGGGAGCGCAAGCACAAGGCTTTCGAGCAACATGTTGAACGGCGAAATGCTATTTCACGGTGAGAAAGAGCGGAGGGGGGCAGCAGCGACAAGCGTGCTGGTAGAGAGGAGGCAGCCGTGTCAGTGAACATGCAGGCGAAAGGCTGATGGATAAATCAACATACGTACAATAGTCCTGTTAACTGTCAAACACCGCAGCTGTTTCCTTGGTACATGATTTCGCAGATATGACTCGCCTCTCGGCCCCGGGGCGCACGTACCTCGAGGAGCAGTCCATGATTCTGCGCATTCATCCGCGGCGGCTTTTTGGTGGGGAGAAGCGTCACTTGGGAAAGAGTTGAAGAGACCGGTGCCGGGTGCAAGTACTGAGTGATGTTGGCGTTGTTCCGCTTCAATTTGACCTTGGCGTTATGCATACATCGCGAGACTGTCGAAGATTGTGAAAGAAAACAGCAAAAGCAATAACAGAATCCGAGGGAGCATAAGCACACTGCGCAGATCGAGACGTGCATATTGGCGCTTACTCAGACTCGCGACTAGTGACCGATCGCGACCGTGACTGTGACATACGCGTCCCTGAGCTTCGCGGCCGGGGCGCCCCAACGGTGACCCATGGGCTGCCGACTACCGACTCGCTAACGACGCCCACTACAGCCACGACGCGCTCTCGACGATCTACGATGCCCGGTCCTCGCAACCAGAAAAAGAAGAGACAAGGCAAACCAAGAAAGACAAGAAACTTCAGCCCTCCACCCCTCCCACGGCGTCGTCTTCCCGACCCTTGCCTGTGCCATCGACAGCACCACTGCCAGACACCTCCATCCCCTCGTCTCGCTTGCACGCGTCAATACAGGACGTATATACAAACCAGCCACCACAGCCATCTTTCGAACATAGCTCGTATGCACCCTACGACCATATTGAACCCCCTCACTCACCCCCACCGAAGCTGGCGTTTATCGAAGAGCTCGAGCGCTCCGCTGAGACCTACACCCACACTCCACCCACTCGTCGTTCTTCCCAACCTGTTCCGGAGACGCAAGACGAAGCCCCTATACCCCCTTCGCTTCTGAAAATACCCTTCATACACGACCCCGGCAGCGGCCCTCGCGTGAAAGACATTCGAGCATTCCTAGCATCGTCCCTGTCGGCACCTCCGTCAATAGATGACTCCTTATGCGCGGAGTTTGCGGAGGACGCGGTGCGGGAGATGCTCTGCACCGTTCTCCCGGAGGAGACTGCCCTGGTGCGTAGTCGGTTCTTTCTTGTGCCCCGTCCAAGGCCAGGCGGTAGCTGAGATGTTCTGGCAGATCCTATGGTACAACAAAAGCCGGAGGATGGCTCGCATATGCCCAGCGTGCCAACGGTTATACCGGGTGGGCGAGGCTTTGGCGGACCACTTGACGGATGAAGAGACACGGGATTCGTTGGACCCCCAGTCATCTCCGTACCTGGTCAGAGAGCAGCACCTCAGCGGACTATGTGAGTACTTTCTGAACCTATTGTGCATTCCTCTACACCCTACAACCGACACCCCGGGTGGATCACTTTCTGGCGAACAAAGCACTTCGCTGAGGCGATCGTGATTCATGAGATCATCGTGCATATATGCTCGCGATGCATGTGCGCCATGGTGCATGGTTCAACCGCGGGTTGTATGCATCCCCCGGCGGTCACACAGCGCGTATACGCTCGTAATGCGTAGCCGAATTACCACCTTCAGCTACGTACCAAGAGCTCGGTTGTCGTGCTTGAATCGTATCGGGAATAAGCTTTCTGCGTTTCTCGCCTCTTACCAACCTCCCTACATTTCGATTTATGGTCACAATCTATCCGAGGTACTCATAATGCATGGCGCCGGGTCATCTTCTCGGCCTACGCATTATGAGTGCATTTGCATTCTAAACGTGTAGTTCATGGGCTGCTCATCGGGCCATATCTGGTGGCAAGAGAAACCGCATCCACGCCACCCGGCGCGAAGCCATCTAAGGAAGCCCCGTCCTCTCATAGCGCGTTGCCATCTCAATGGCCACCTCGGAGCCATTCGCTTCCCGCGATGCATGGGCTGAGTGGCGAGCAGACGTCAGACCATGGTGGTCGCCATAAGCTCTAGTGCGGCTGAGTCACTTGGCCGAGCCCTTCATGTCTCACTGCTAACCGATGTTCATACAGGCTCTCCCGTCTGTTTCATTTTGGCCGCGTATAACTACCCCGGTGCCATCCGATCAACGTGGGGTCGTGTTGCCGAGGAATGGACGATGCGACGTGGGACCTCCTTGACGGCCTGGCCAACGCGAGAACGACATGGGGCTCGGTATGTTGCTGAAGATGACGCGCTTACCCGACCTTGGGTTGGCACAGCTGATCTTCCCCGAACTTGAGCTCGACTCGGACTCGACCTGCCACGAAGAGGACGAAGAGAGATGGGAGTCCAAGGAGGGCACGCCTTTGCCCGAGTCTGAAGCCATGCCCGCAGAGAAAGTTGGAATCGAAGATGTAGTGGGTATTACGGCGGATATGGATAATCTCCGGTTGAAACAAGTATGAGACGTCGGACTATTCGCTTTGCTTACCGTCGCGCTATGTTGCTGCACCATCCTACGCTTTCGTTTTCTTTACGTCTATATCAACGCTAGTATGCCCTGAAATTTCAGCCTTCGTCGTGTTTGATGAGACGGAACGATCTTGATTTCGCCGCGTTTGTCGCGCGGCGGCGGAGCCGGCGCCTGATGAACATGCGCGCGTTCCGTCGCCTCCTCCGAGCCCTTGTCTCCCACTTCCATCTCTCCCCTCCTGCCCTCCCCCCTCCGCTCCCATGTCCTCCAACGACGCACGATATGCGCTGGAATCCCCGAGGATCCGCTCGCTTACCGACGTGCCTGAAGACGCCCCCCTAACGCCAGCCGTGCGCTCCCCGTACTTCCACCACGCCGTTTCCGGTTCGGCGACGACCTTCAAACAGGCTTCCGCCTCGGCGAGCACCACGAGCCTGAACAGCGTAGGCGCCCCCTCCCGCACGTCCTCCGCCGCGTCCCAGCGCACGCCGTCCGGACACGCCCGCACGCCGACCGCGCGGTCCGCGAGCGGGGACACGGCGACCCTCAGCGGAGTCACGGTGGTGGCGCCGTCGCCGCGACGGCAGCGCTCGGGGTCGCCGGCGACGCTCCGCGAGCGGAAGGACCGCGACGGTGGGAGCGGGCGCGAGCGCGATCGGGAGCGGGAGCGGGAGCGGCGGGGCGAGGGGCAGGGGGACAGGAAGAAGGCGGAGGAGAAGGGGAGGCCGTACAAGTACCGCAACACCCCGCACCTGCCGCACTCGGAGGCGTCGAGCCCGCGGCGGCGACGCTCCTGCACTGGAGCAAGGCGCCGGTCCACGGGCAGCTCATGCTGCACGGCATCAGGGCGCACACGATGACGCTCATCGACAATATCGCGTGGGTGTTTGGGGGGTGCGACGAGAAGGGGTGTTTCAAGGACATCTTCTGCTTTAACACAGGTCAGTGCTCTGTTTGGTTTCCTGGATCCTGGATCCTTCCTTGTGCGGGTGAAATGCTCGTAGTGCATGATGTCGGACACCCCTCCGGCTATGCACTGTGAGCACACATGCACTGTGAGAGGGCTGCTGGTTGGGGCATGCCGGCTTCTCAGCGCACCAGGGACACACATCATGGGATGATATGCATCATCGGTTTATGTGTAGGATTGGTGCGGGAACCCCTGAGCCTCGCCAGCTCTGACGGAGCGTGGTGGGCTGATGGGCGGAATATGCCGCGATTGGGCAGTGGAGAAGGGAAGTCGTGCAAATTCGCTTGTGACTTTGATTTTGAGGCATCACTATGGCCCTCGAGCCACCCTTGAGGCGTTCCAGGAGAGATGGTCTTAGCGGCGAGTCGCGCAAGCCATCATGCATTGTGAACATGCACATGCCATGGGACCATTGGGGGATGGTGGCGGCCCCGAGCATATACGCATCAGCGACTAATTCTTTCTCAGAACTTCTGCGCTGAGCAAGCTCGGCCGTATTCTGACACCCTTCTCCAGAAACCATGCAGTGGTCATATCCCACATTCTCTGGCGAAATTCCTGAAAACTGTCGAGCCCACACCGCGACGCTGGTCCACAACAAGATCGTCGTCTTCGGCGGCGGCGAGGACACGAAGTACTACAACGACGTCTACGTGCTCGACACCGTCCTCCGCAGATGGACCCACCGCGTCTTCGACCAAGAGGACGACGACGAGCCCGTCCCGCCCCCTCGCCGCGCGCACACCTCCGTGCTCTACATGGGGCGACTCTGGATTTTCGGTGGAGGGAACGGGACCGCGGCGCTCAACGACGTCTGGACGCTGGACGTGTCGGGCCAATCGAGCGCATGCGATGGGAGCACGTGGAGACGCGGGGGAAGCGGCCGTCGCCGCGCGGGTACCACACCGCGAACCTCGTCGGGAACGTGATGGTCGTCGTGGGCGGGAGCGACGGGCGGGAGTGCTACTCGGACATCTGGTTCCTGAACCTCGGTGAGCCCCTCGCGCGTGCGGCAGTCGGAGGGGGGCGCTGACGGGCCCGCTCGCCGGCGACAGACACGCTCTCGTGGAGCTCGATGGTGAACGGGGAGACGTTCAAGCGGCTCTCGCACACCGCGACGCAGATCGGCTCGTACCTGTTCATCTTCGGCGGGCACGATGGAATCAGCTACCGGTCCGACGTCCTGCTCTTCAACCTCGGTGAGCGCCCGTGCCGTCGGTTCTGGCCACGCTGCACGTCGGCTCACCCCGCCCCCGTTTCTCCTGCAGTTGCCTTGCAGTACGAGCCCCGGTACATCGCCGGGAAGGGGCCCCTCGGCCGCGGGTACCACACCGCCTGTCTCGCCGACAGCCGCATGTTCGTCTTCGGGGGCTTCAACGGCGTCGAGGTCTTTGACGACGTGCACATCCTCGACCTCGCCGCCGCCGCGTATCTCCCGCAAGTGACGAGCTTCACCATCGACGCCGCATGAAGTTTCACGAAGCTGCGGGATCCCCCGCTTTGGCGGTTCCGCTGTAATCTTATCCCTTCGTTTTCGTTTTGCTTATGTGCCCGTGTCGGTCCCGGCTCGGCGGTATCGGCACGCAAGAATCGTAATCTGTGCGGTGTACAGCTATCCCGTCTTGTAACTTTATCGTTATCGAGAAGTCAGGACATCGTTCCCGTGTCCCGTGCAGCCTGCTGGGAATGCAACGCGAAGGTGATATAAAGAAGGTGCGTAGATCACAGTATATGCTGACAATCTATTCCATCCGTCCGTCCGTCCAAAAGCCCATTAAACCCGTCAAAAGACCGTGTTCATCAAAGCCGCCACCACGCCCGCCACCGCCACCGCGCCCAACCGTCGCGCCCCCATCGCGGCCGCGGCCGTGGCGCCGTCCGGGACCTGGACGAGGACCCAGCCGGCGGACTGAGTGACCACCGCCGTGGCCGGCGCGGCGGTGCCCGTCGGGAGGAGGCGCAAGCTCGAGGAGCACGACGCGAGCGCGCCGACGCTCGCGAACGCGCACGCCTCGGCGAGCTCGAGCGTCTGCGGCGCTGCGCTCGTGTGGCCCGCGGAGAGGTTCGGGCGGAGCGCGAGCTGGACGCGGACGGCGTCGGTCGCGCCTTCGACGACCGTCGCTGCAGAGGCACGAGAGAAAGAGTTGGCCGCCGATCGCGATCGGGGTGCCAGGTGGGCGTGCGAGGATGAAGTGGGGAGTGTGGCTGTCGTTAGAAAAGGGACAGAGAGTGGGGCGATGGGACTCACCGAAAGGCGGGCTGGGAGTCGAGGAGTGCGTGGTCGTCGTCGCGGGCGCGGTCGTGAAGGGGTCGGAGGAAGTGGTGGTGGGCGCGCCGAGGGCTATCGCCCAGGTGGTCCGGCCGGCGGCGGAGTCGACGCCGAGGATGGACGCGGTGAGCGGGACGTTGAAGGCGAGCGTCAGGCCGGGGACGAAAAGAGAGAGGGCGCAGCGTCTGTAGGGGTGGGTTGAAGTCAGCGCGTGCCGACTCGGACTGGATTGGACGTACCGGCCGAGGACAAGAGTGAAGCGAACGCCAACGGAAGCAGCAAGCGCGGCCTCATGTTTGGGAGAGAGCGCAGTGCGATCCCCAGAGGGAGGGAGGAGCGGGGGCGTCGAGGGACGGGAGGGCCACGTACATATAGCGCCGGTCGGTGGCGGTTCTCTATGTGTCTTGGAACGAGAACGTGCAAATTGCTTGCGGAGGGTTTCCGGAAGGTGCTGTGCGCCATCGAAGGTCGCTATCGTTGGTGTGCGTGACGTGCGTCTACGAGGCTTCTGCGTCGGGGAGGCCGCCCACCAAGCTGACTCCGGGATTCGATTGATGAGGATGGGAATTCCGCATCCCACCAACATCAGAGAAGTGATGTTTGATTACTTCCTTGCTTCGGAAAAAAAACTGCGGGCATGGACTCAGAAGCCGAGCCCGGGCCCGACCCCGGCGGTACGTACGTCGTGCGTTGAATTGGCTGCGGTCGCTGTGGACCCCATCTGGGTCTACGTATTGTCCTTGCTGCAATCTGCTTGTGAGCCTTGTCGGCGTAGCGTGTTGCGATTAATTGCCAAGCATGCGCTCTGACTGGTCCCTACATCGCGGCAGGTGTCAGTCAACGTAAGTACATTTGACATGCTCGTTTCAGGTATGTGTGTCCTGAAGCTCTTTACAGCCAAATTTTCGTAGCGCGTGAATGAACCTGGGTTGTTAGAAAGGTTGAAAGTCAGGATGTTAATCTAGAGGAGGAGGCCAAGCTCATTCGAAGGAGGAGATACGCATAGGCGCCGGGGGCTCGAAAGTCTTGCCAGTTGCAACGTAAGTACTATTGACTTTTGAGATCTTGGAGAGGTCGAGCGCTTGATTCGGCCAGAGGCTGGCGTAGACGCTCAGCGCTTGGCTGGATGTAGGGGCGGCTGGTCTGCCTCACTGGCTCGGCCGGCATCGACACAATCCACATTACAGAACCCGCCACGGTGGCGGTCCGTATCAGCGCAGCGTCACGGAATGCCCTAGTCGGTTCGATGCCGCGTCAAGCGAGCGTCTAACTTAAACAGCCCTATCATCTTATCCAAAACACAAGGACATCGTGGGCACGACCTCATGGTCATCGCAAGCCCACAGCCCTCGAGTTCGTGTTGGTATCGGATCTTATGTTGTATCAGTGACAGGTCTTGGGAACGGTCGGTTGCTTTGCTGCGAAATGAGGCACAAGAATCCCCGGCCTCGGCCCCGAGCGCGTCGTTGAGTCTGACTCACTTCGAACAGCGAAGAGGCCTCGAGGCCTCAAGCTGCTGTCCTTTACAGCGTCTTCCGGCATGATGTTCTGCACCGCCCGTAGACGAGTCTGCATAAAAGTATCAGGACTGTTCTGCATACCGACGCGTGAACGCGTTTCTCCCTCTCCTTGCTCCCCTCGACCGCTCGCAAGACACCACGATGCAGCTCACGCTCAAGCTCGCTCTCGCAACCCTCTTCTATGGCGTGGCCTGTACGTTTCTCCTGCGACACGTCTTGTCCGGTACGAGCTCACCTCCACGGCATCGTGCTTGTAGATGCGGCCATCGTCTCGCTGCACTTCCCGGGTGTGAGCGAGACCCCGAACATCGCGCTCACCGCGAGCAAGCTCGGCGTCGACTCGGCGGGGCACACCACATGGGTCATCGTCCCCGCCAAGTCCGCGAGCAGCACCTTCGGCGTCGACACTGCGCACCCCACCGAAGCCGGTGCGTCTCTCTCCCGCCGCCCTCGTTTGCCCTTTCCCCCCTCTTCCCCTCCTCCCTCCCTTCCGCTCCCCGCTCACGCACGCGCACCCACAGTGACCGTCGTCGAAGACGCCTCAGAGATCGTCTTCTCCTCCACGGTGGCGTTCCCCCAGACGATCGGCGGGCTGGTCCTCTCGCTGCCCACGGACGCGCCGCAGACGCTCGTCGTCGGCGAGGACTGCAAGCTCGCCGCGGGCGGCTCGCAGGCGGTGTGCGCCGGGTCGGTGGTCTCGCCGGCGACGGCGACGGGGCTGTCCGTCGCGAGCTTCACGCTCCCCGCGGTGGTCGTGCCGGTGCAGGTCGACGACGCCGCGCTGTCGGGCGCGCCGCGGCGCATCGCGGCGGGTGTGTTCGGGGTCGTCGCTGGGGTCGTGGCGGGCGCGCTCATGCTGTGAGCCTCGCGAGCGCGGGCGTAGTTGGGTTTTGGGGGCCTGGAGCGGGCTGGAAGGAACGATCTGCTGCGGGATGAGGGTTTCGGAGGCGGGGAGCGTTCTCGGCGTGTTTGCGGGCCACTTTGCGTCCGCGTGGGTTTCTGCTGCTTCCCGTTCTCGTTCGTGTTGAAGCGTCCAAAGAGAGGTGCCGAACGTGTTTTGCGCGCTGCCGATGCGGCTGCCTAGATTCCTGCGTGAGCGAGCGAGCGTTCAAATATTTCATGAATCGCGTTGACGGAAACCGCTTCCGGTGGCGATACAAACGCGGCGACGTCGACAGAGATGGATGAGTGTCAAAATCGAAGGCGTCAGCACCGCCACTCCGAATTGAAGAGCCTTGCCGCGGCGGCCCGCACCGCACCGCGCACGCCGCCCCGCCCGACCGGTAGCCTCCCATTTACCCCGGGTCTGCGCGCAGCCGAGGCGACGCACGGAAGCAGCTCGTCGAGGCCACTCCAAATCCCCGCACCCGCGCGATCCCCCCGATCTTCCAACGGCAACCTCGCCCGTTCTGAACCAGCAGCGCGTGCGTGGGGCGTCCGCAGCATGGGCGCGCGCCAAGCCCCTCCCCCCGCTCCGCAGCCCGGGCGAGCGGAACCTTTGCGCTCCGCAGTTCGCGGCGCGCACTCGGGTGGCTGGCCAGGTGCCTCCATGCGCCCACACGCGTCGTCGATGACGCCCCCGGGGGTGCCTCGAGGGCTCGTTTGAGGTTAGCAGAAGGAGTTTCGTAGCGAGAGGTCCGGCGTTGGCCGCTTCCCGGATGGGCGCTTACATTCTCCCGCCGCCCGGTTCACGGCGCGGCGAGCTGGCGCTTGGCCGGACTGTGCCCCTTCCATCCGTTCCGTCCACTCACATCGCCGACATTCCGCGGAAAGCTGGGAGGTGAGAAGCGGAGGGCACGTACCCCGACGGGCTGTGGACGACAATCACCGTTGATGGCCCCGGCCGGGCCGCATTCCCAATTCGGCCGTGTTCGACGCGGGCTTGGCAGCAACGAACGCTGCTCGTCACCGTCATGCCGATCGCAGGTGGGTTCGCTCGTCCGTTTATCGTTGTTCAAACGTTCACCATTGACGGCCGCGCTCAGCGCTCAGCGCTCAGATGGGTGAGCTGGCCGCTGCGGCACGTCGGCCATGCCGTGCGCCCCAATTTCCACGCATCACGGTGCGTAGGAGGGGCCCTACGCTCAGCGACGCGGCCGGTCGCGACCCGCGCGGCAGCGGCTGCTTCTCATTGGCGCGAATGTGCGTCAGCTTCTCGCCCTCCGCTGGACACGCATGGATAGAAGTCCTGCTCATAGATGGTTGACTGAGGAGCCTGGACATGAGGACGGATGGACGGTGATGCCTTGGTGACCGCGGGCGGCCCGTTCGATACGAGCCCTACAAAGGTCCGCTTTTCTTCCTCTTCTCGCATCTAGATCCTTGTTGATGGTTGGACTCCAAGCTCGTTCGATGCAGGAAGAGCTCCTGGAAGCCTGTTTGCCAGTGAGCTTGCCCTTTGCTTGTCGGACGGCAGCGGATCCACGTTCCCCGCGACAGAAGCTCACGAGCGTCCTCGGCAACCATGCAGCGACACGATACAGCGCCTTCGGCTTCGTCTTCCGATCATACACGACCCGGACAGCAGAGCTTCGACTCTGGTTACCATCCGGCGGGGTGAGCACAGAGCTCGCGCTCGTGCATGTGGGTGCTTTCCGGCACGATGGTCCTGGCGCTGAACGGCCGCCAATCCTGTACGTACGCCACCACCGCCTCTCGGAAGCTTTAGTTCTGACATGTATGTGTGATCCGTCCATAGCAGCATGCACGACCACATCGCGCCCGTTCATACAGCAGTCTTGGCGTGGTCGATGCCCGCCGAGGCTTCATTCGGATGGCGCTCGCCTTCACGACGCTCGACGCGATTCTCATGAGAGAGGAACGGGAAACGGATGGGCGATGCTGTCACCGAAGACGGAAGCCGGAAGAGGCGGTGCTTACGGTGCCTGCCGTCCAGCGACGTGGGGGTCGCTGCCGGATATCAGACCTCAACGTTCAACTCCAGGTCGGACCGTCCGCTCTCTGTGAGGAGAACGCGGTTGACGAGCATGCGATATGCCAGGCGCAATCTCCATCGAGACGCTCGATCCGTGGACGAGGTCGGGAGTCGGTGATGCACGGTGAGCGTTTGGCTGTTCGCCTGCACGATTCCTGTGCTCAGCTCCTCCTTCCCCCGACGCACAGCGCATCTGATCTGTGGGCGCGTGTGCGGGCGAGGTACGGCGATGGGCGACGGGTGATGGGCGGTCGGTGCATACAGGTACGCTCGCGGACGCAGCTTCCACGGAGCCAATTCGTCCGCGCGGGGTTGGCTGTCGGGCGGAGGCACCTCACACGCGCTCCGCATTGCCCGCTCGGATCTGAGCAGCGTGCGGTGGCCTGCCGCCCGCGGTCAGATGCAGATGGATGCAGATGCGATCCTGAGTCTCGGACTCGAGGCAGAGTCTGTCGGTGGCCGTCGTGCCAAAACCCGAACCTGCGCGTTCGCACGCGGCTTCGTCTTTTCATTGCGGCCCTCGAGGTTGTGCGAAGATGCGTGCGAGGCGTATGCGAAGTGTTTTGCGGTGGCATCATGATGGCGGGGATCAGTGCTCGGCAGGCGCCGACGGTGGTGTCGGCGTCGGGCCGTTGACGAGGCACTTTGGCTGGTGGGCGCACAGCACTGTACCTTTCCTTCTGTCTGCGTCTCACGATCGATACCTGCTTTTCACTTGTTTCCACCATTACCCCACGCTGTACGTAGGTTACATATGCGGAAAATGCCGAGACGGAATCTAGAGGCCCGTCGGACATGATGATGTCCAAAGAAATTCTAGTTCACGAGCATATACTCACGAGGAGATCGCCATCAAGCGGCGAGAGCTAATGCAAAGACTCCGTTTTCTGCGGGCGTTCGGCGGGGTGAGACCGCGCTGCGCGGAAAAGATTTTTGAGACATTTTAGCTGGAATGATTCATGCTTGGGTGTCTCAGTCTCTGAGCACTCTGAGGTCTTTGGTGTGGGTGTCGTCATGGGATGCTCCGGGTCCATACTCTTCATGGCCAGGCACGGGGAGCGGGCGAAGGCCCGGGCAGATCAAAGCATATTGCGGGGAGTCCGGGTCGGCCGCTCTCTCGTCGACGCATGTGCGATCTTCCAAGCCGACCTGCATGATGATCTGCCATACGCCCCTCGACTGTCGCCCGGACTGCTCCGAGCCGAGATGGCCAGGGAGGTTGAGGCATGTGCACGAGCTGCCTGGGAAACGAGAGAGGAGCGCATCCCTTGGGCCGGACCCGTGCCTCGCAGTAGCCTCGTAGCGTTCGCCCGTCTCGTCTCCTCCCGTCAGCTGCAGAACTCCAGCCGGGCCCGCCACCCCCGCCGTCGGTCCCGGCGCCCGCGCGCCGTCCAAAAATAGGGACGCGGAAAGAGTCCGGCCGCCCCGGACGCACGTAAGTACGCTCGCTGCGCCCAATGGCAGTTTCTGTCGCGCGAGTGGAACCCGCGGCGCACAGTCTGTGGGGGGCGCGGGGCGCGGTGCACGCAGCATTGAAGCTTTGAAGCTTGCACTTGAGCTCTTGCTTCCGCGTGGGCGTGGGCGTGGGCGCGAGCGACGGATCCGCAACAGTCGCGTTTGCCGCGCGACGTCCCACCCGCGCTGGCCGCTCGGCACGTCGGCCGCGGCGCTATGTCGGCGCATGTTCCGCGCGCGCGACGGGTCGAGACGAGCTGCTTGCTCCCCAGCGGGCGGGCGGACGGGAGGAGGCGATGCGCGCCCGTAATAATAGGTCGCGCACGCCCTCACGCGTGCCGGCGGGCGTGCCTGGCGCCCTCGCGACAGATCACCAGCGGCGGATGGCGGACGTCCGCTTCTCCTTGATGGCCTGCGCCCGCGTCTGCGCCGCGCCAGCGTGCGTGGACGGCGTGTGCGTGGGAGGGCGTGGCGCGCGGACTCGGCGAGCGAGCGTTGGTCGCGCACGTCGCGGGATGGAGGCTGGAGGGATTCCCCTGGCGACAGGCGTTGGCGATAGCGCAGAGGGAGGCCGGGGGGCAGCCGGGGGGCAGCCGGGCGTTGGTAGGGGGACTCTTCGATCCATCGAAAGGTCTGATCAGCCGGCGAGGGCCTGCCCGTTCGGGCCAATCGCCGTGGCGCGCAGTGCGGTATATAGCCCGTCCAAGGCTTGGCTTGCCACCATCCCCTTTCCTCCTCTCGTCTTTGCTACTCGAGCTGTCGCTCGCTCTCCTTCAGGCCGGTGCCTACTGTTCACTTACGCGACCCGGGGTCGTTTTGCTTCTTTCGAGCTTCCACAGCACCCTTCACTCCTTTCCCTAACGGTCGTCGTCACTCAGAACTTCCAAGCATGTACGCCAAGGCTATCTTCGTCTCTCTCCTCTCCCTCGCCCTCTCCGCCAACGCGATCCCCGCTGCGGCCAAGAAGGGCAGCGGCTCGAATGTCGCCACCTGCGCTGTGAGTCTCCGATCTCTCCTTCTGCGTGCCCCTTCCCCCGTTCTTATCAATCGTCTTCCAGACCGGCACTGTGAAGACGGTGACCGTCACTGCCACCGCCGCGGCCGTCACCAGCGTCGCGGCGAGCGCGAACGCCAGCAAGGGCAACACCGGCAAGGGCACCACCGGCAAAGGTGGCAACAACGGTCCGTATATGCACTCTACGATCGCGGGCGACCCGTACTGATCTACCCTGTTCGCTGCAGCGGCCTCGGGCAACAACGCCGCGTCCGGCGCCAGCGCGCAGACGTCGCTCACGATCGACCCTCCAACGTCTTCACCTTCACCCAGACTGGCCAGGAAACGCCCACGGCCGGCCAGGAGGCCGCGCTCACGTCGACGAACAACTTCATCAACTTCTGCGCCCAGTTCCCGAACGTGCAGAAGACGAACGGCAAGCAGATCACGACGGGTCCTGCAACCAGACCCCGATGGGCTCTTCCCCGCGAAGGACAAGATGCCCTCCGCCGCGTTCGTCTTCCCCGCGAACGGCGGCTCGGTCACCGCGAACCAGAACTTCACCGTCCAGCTCGCGATCAAGAACATCGAGACCGGGCACTTCACCAACCCGGACGCGACGTTCCACCAGGCGCCCCAGACGCTCAACACCGCCGGCCTCATCCAGGGCCACTCGCACATCACGATCGAGGCGGTCGCGAACATGGCCGCGACGACGCCCCTCGACCCGACCGCGTTCAAGTTCTTCAAGGGCCTGAACAGCCAGGCGCAGAACGGCATCCTCACCGTCACCGTCGGCGGCGGTCTCCCCGCGGGCACGTACAAGATCTCGACCATCAACTCGTCCGCGACCCACCAGCCGGCGCTCGTCCCTGTTGCGCAGCGCGGCTCGCTCGACGCTGTTGCCTACGTGAGTCTCTTCCGCTCCTCCGTCGTATGTGCTAGGCCTGACCGACTTTGTTTCAGTTCACCGTTAAGGCGGCCGGCGGCAACAACGCCGCGTCTGGCACTGGCGCGGCAACTGGCACCACCGGCAAGACTGGCACCACCGGCAAGACCGGCACTGGCAAGAAGGGCGGCAAGACCGGCGGCAAGAAGTTCGGTGGCAAGAAGTTCGGCAAGAGCCGCCGCATGGTCGAGCGCGACTGAGCGTCGCGCGGTCCCCTTCACGTCTCTCCCCGCCGTCTGATGTGTGAATGAACGCCCCTCATGTAGCCGTACGTTATAACCTCCCCTCCCCCCCCTGCCGCGAGGCGCACGATGATATCCCCCACCCTCCTGCGCGCCTGCTCTAGCGCGCACGTACTAGCATACACCCCTTCCCGCGCTTGGTCGACTCGAGTCGCGGCGGTCTGTTGTTCTTTTTGAACTTACTTTTTTTGCAATCTCTTCGTTTTCCCCCAGATTCGCTCGCACCCCATACCGTCTGGCCTGGGCGGTGTCGACAGGCACTCGTGACCATTAGTAGCAGACATAATGAGAAAGGATGGAAAGCCCAACCCCCGAGTGCGCGAGGAGCGGAGTTTGCGCGGGCGTCGCGCGATGGTTGTGCGCCACGCTGCTGTCTGCGAGAGTTCTGTCCACGCCGGAGTTCGTGTGGGCCGGCGCCCGCCCTTGTGCTCCTTGTCTGTCTATACGGAAGTGCTTCCGCACGAAGCTCGTCGCTCCATACCGCCGCGCTCCTCGTGGGTCTCCGACGGAACGGCGTTGGCGGTGCGTCTAGCAGCGGAGCGTCTCACAGCTCGTCAGCTCAGCGCTCAGCGCAACCTGTCTCTCGTCTCTCGGTCCCTCGCTCGACGGGATTGGCTGCGGGAGACGGCGGCGCACGAACGTCTCAGGCCGCCCGTGGCCAGGGTCGGACGGTCGCGACGTCGGTCCGCTTGACGACCGTCCCCCCCCCCTCCCAAGGCAAGCGCGAAGAGTCAAGACGAACGGAGCCCGCGCTCGCCGCCAGGGTCGCGGACGCGTTAGGCTCATTGCGATCGGACTGGTGGTGGTGCGTGTCTGAGACTTGAGCTTAAGCTTGAGACTTTGAGACCTTGAAAGTTGAGACCTTGAGCCTTGAGTCGTGCGCTGAAGCTCGAGGCCGGATCTCGGTCGAGGGGAACCGCGCGGGCGGCGGCCCTGGGTGACGTTCGTCGCGATGCGCATTGGCTTGGGGAGGGCCGGGGCGTGGCGGGTGTGCGAGACGGGTGAGTAAGCTCGAGGGAGCGGTGGCCGATCCGAGGAAGGACAGGGAAGGACGTGGGTTCGGCGCGATGATGTGATGTCCGTCGTGATGTGTTTTTTTTTCGAAGTCCTCGGGGTTCGTGCGCCCTTGAGCTTGAGCTCTGAGCTTGACGCCGCCGCTCGTGCGCTTTTGACAGTCGAGTCGACCGCGTCGAACGTTCATCGACATCCGCCGTGCGCAGGCCCTGCGGATCGCCCGCACCGAGTCCGAGGACTGGCAGTGCTTCGCCCACGGGTTGGGTCGGTTTGAACGTTGGACACCAGCGGGGGCTAATCGCCGACGACGGCGGCGCAGTGGTGATGCAGATGTCGATGATCACCGAGGCTGACAGCATGCACAGAGCGTGGAACATAACTCAGGAGAAAACGGTTAATGCGGCCGCGCGTTCAATCAAGAAGATCGCGCGCCGGGCATGAGCGGACCCGGGGCATGGGACCGTACTACACGCGCCGCATTTGCGGCCGCCTCATTGGCTCGAGCTCCGCAGGTGCAGCGTGGATCTCTGCCGACCCTTCCGTCTCCTCCGTTTTTCGAAGGTGGTTCGTTTGGGCTTGTCTTGAACCTTTCGACCCATACCGCGCGTCGCTCCCTGCGACAGGCGTCCGAGGTGCGCACCCAGTGCGCGTACAACGCCATGTAAAAGCCCCAATCAGCCCCCAGTCCCCGTCCCGTGGCCTCGGACCGCGATAATGGTGGCCCGGCGCAGCCCCCCCTGCCTCAGTCCCGGCAGCAGGCCGACCAGCCAATCAGGGCCATAGGCTCGCCGACGTCCCCTCGCCCGGATCCGTCCGCCAAAGGAATAGGCGCCCGTGGGGCTCGTCCACCGCATGAACTTGAAGTTCGAAACGTGCTGCGCAGCGCCCCGCTTGAAGTTGTGGGTCCCGGCGGTCGACAAGTTGTGGGGGCGCAACAGTGGCAGCGGATCGCTGCGACGCCGTAAGGGCTTCGGGGGTCGCTCCACAGAGCACTGCTGCTGCCACCCGTCAACGGAAACGCGGACGGGGAGCTATTTGCGGACGGACGGCGGGAGGCCCGAGGGATATTTTGGTGGGCGTCAGGGACCGCGTGCGCCGCTGCCGCTGCCGGCGGTGGACAGTGGACAGTGGGGAGATGGTGAGAAGAAGGCGAGGGCGAAACGAGTGTGCGGGACGCTAGCGAGGGGCTGGCAGTCGTCAGGAAGGCGGGACGGGAATAGAACTCGTCTAGCGCAATGTACTGTGGCACGTGGACATGAGGCCTCGAGGTGTGCGGGTGCGGGACGGCTTGTTCGATGGGGGGAGACGCCTGTTTGTTGGACTCAAGCAGAATTTCTGAATGAGTACATCTACATTCTCAGTGCTCACGTGAAGCACTTGGAGGTCCGGGGATGTCACAGGAGATTGCGCCGGGTTCCAATGACACGGATCAGATAGACATGCGATAGTTTGTGATGCGTGTGCTTGCACCGGGTATGAAAGTGAGCGCAACGGTGTTGAGTCTGAATGTTGACGAGCGCAGCATCCGAATCCTCCAGGCGTCTGCATTGCCATTTCCGGTTGACAGCGAGTGTGTCAGCGCCTGTGCGTCATCCTGCTCGATTTGGCTCGCTTGCCAACCTTCTGACGTCAGCTATGCTCAATGCTGAAAGTCCCACGCATGTGTTCTGCTACCCCCACACTTTGCAGAAGTACAGAGATAAACATCAAGTTTGAAGACCATCGGTGGTCGACGGGGACGCGTTGGACCGCCCCTGCCGGCGCTTGCACATCCGGAGATATTGGTGCCGGAGTTACCGTTTACTTTGAGCAAGCCGCGCGGCCTTGCCCCAGAACTTGGAAGAACGCGCGGACCGCGATAACTCTGCGAAACTCCCTCTCTCTGTACGAGCCTCTCTCTCTCTCTCTGCGCACTTTTACCTACTAGGATCGAACCAAGCCCCGTTGGCGAACGAAATTCTGGCGCAGCGCACCACAAGGTGCGCATCGATGTAAGCGCCGGCTCAAACTTGCTCCGAACCTAAGCTGATGCCTCTGCTGAGGCTTCCGAGTTCCTCGTCGCGTGCTGCGGGGATGGTCGGAAGACTGAAGTGCTCTAGCCCTCTTCGGCCATTGTTTCGCATCCCGATCTTTGTCGCCGCCGTCGTCGCGCTCGCTTCTCTCCCTTCCCTCCTCCTCCTCCCTCTCCGTTGTGCCCTGTGCTCTTGTTCTCAACCGCCGCCAGCGGACCCACGGATGACGATCGAGTCCTGGGCCGCCATTTACATCCCGGTGGATGGCCAATGTGACTTCTGAGGCAGTTTTGCCCGCTTCCCTTGACTTGACCATCGGCGCCGAGTTTATTGGGCTCACTGTCGCGCTATTGTGAGTGTTTCTCTTCGTCGTCATTTGACATCGGCTCAAGTGCGCTCGGTGCGCAGGCTCTATGGCGCGTCGACGGGCCAGCTCTTCTGGTACTTCCGCAAGAGCGAGGGCTTGAATGTAACAGGGTGGATGGTCTACTACGTGAGTTTCCGCTTCGTTCTACGCGCATACAGTCGGGCTCGATCGAACCTTACGATGGACAGATCGTGATGTTGTGGTGAGTGCCAGCCTCGCCGCGTGTCTGGAAACGGGGGGAATCTCACCATGGCTCGCCGATGCCAGGTCGTTGGGCACGCTGCAAGTGATTCTCACCTCGTACCTCCTAGCCACTTACCTCGTCCTGGGGCGGGGCAACTTGGTTGCCGTCTTCGGTTCCGTGAAGGTGTACGCGGTATGTGCCTCTGTTTGTCTGTCGTGCTCGGCCTAGACTTACCTGTATGTTGAATCTATAGGTTAGTGTCATGGTGTCGGTGAGCAACAGCTGCTGCTTGCCTACCCTGGTTTCTCACCTGCGTGATTTCGGGATGGTAGGACTTCACCAGTAGTATGGTCCGTTAGTGAGTGTGACCCCAGCCTCTGCCGCCCCGATCGCTTACGCGAACGACAAACGGCAGCGGGTACCTGTACAGGATCTGGAAATGTAAGTTTCTTCACGGCCTGCCTTGCACGTCCCGTGCTGACCTATGATCTCGAAGTTACCCACAAACGGTTTCTGATATGCCTTGCGCTGGTTCGTACATGTGCTATCTCGAGAATTGACGACATGCTAATGTTATGCTACCAGTGTACGGTCTTGACTACGCTCACGCTCGGTGTGTCACTGTGTAAGTGTCTAAGGGTTGTTGCTCGTGTCTCGTCTACGCTCTCTGACCTGTATGGATGCGTGTCTAGACTTTGGTGTCGTCCTGTACGTCTTCTTCGAATTTCCTTCGCGACGCACAGCTAATGTGTCGCAGCGTCCGCTCGGACTTTCTGTGGCAGGTTTCGTTCCGGGATCTAACCGTGAGTGCTCGCCGCGCGCACGGCACGGCTGACCGGTACTGAACCTCAGCTCTCCAGTGGTCGTACTTCGTTGCATTTGGCGCGCAAGTAATTGTCGACTTGATGATCGCCTTCGTCGTCTTCTCGTCGTTCTTGAAATTCTGCACCGGTATCCAAAGGTGCGCGCCGCTCACCCTGCTCGTCCGCGCGACGCTCATCAGCGCCGGCCGGCCGCAGATTCGACATGCTGATCCGGACGATCATGATTTTCGTGCTCAGCACCGGTGCACTCGCGGTGTACGCTTCGCTTCGCTTTATCTCCCTCTGCGCGGCTCTGACGTCGCTGGGTGTCTGCAGCGCCTTCACCACCGGCGGAATCATCGTCGTAAGCCCCCGTCCCCAGCGCAGACTCGGCGGCCTCTGAGATCTGACCTCGCGCACAGTTCGTCGCGCTCCCGAGGACGTACGTGTTCAACGGCATGTTCTGGACCTACTGCCAACGTGCGTGCTCCCTCCTGCTCACACCGTCTCGCCGACCACGGACGCCTCTCCCCAGTGCACATCTGCTCGTTCCTCGCCGTGCTCAACACCGAGAAGGAGCTCGCGCGGCGCACGCTCACCCACCGCCTCGCGCGCGCGACAGTGCAGCTCACGACGCGCGTCGACGTCGGCTCGTTCGCGGACACGCCGCCGCCGTCGATCGGGGGCGAGGCGGCGTACGGGGGGCTACGCGTGGGCGCGGCGGGGGAGCGCGATGGGGACGGAGGCGGGCGCGAGGAAGGGCAAGGGGGTCGAGGTGGGCGGGGTGGAGATTGTGGACAGGGGATCGGAGGCGGATGAGGACGAGATGGACGAAGGGCGCTTCAGTGGGACGGGGACGGGGAGGGGAGGACGAGTGCGGAACGGGGCGCGTATGGGAGGACACCCGATGTGAGCTTGCCTGCCCTCTTGCGCGAGTAGACGGAAGGGTGCTGATGGTGCGGTCCAGTCCGAGTTCTCGGCGCTCCGCGCGTGAGTGGGTGGTCAATGGACGCGTCTCCACCCACCCACCCGCTGCCGCACCGCGCCTCGCCAATATCGAATGTCACTCACTGGACTTTCGGAACTACGCTACGATGCATATGGCTCCCATCTCCGCCGCGCGCTCTCGCTCCTTGAGACGATCTTGAGCCGCCGGCACCAATGTACCACGAACGTACACAGCTTATTCCATCCCTTATCATTCTCGAACCCGTCCGACGCCTCGCACGGGGGCAAGAGGCTCCCGGGGCTGGTAGACTCGAGATCGGCGCAGGAGGGGCGCTCTCTTGGATGCTCTCCCCGTCTGCCTCCACGTCCAGTGCGTCCCTCGACGTTCTGAACGCTGGGGCCACCTCGCACGGGCGCGGATGCGACGATCCGGGCGACGAGTCAGGCCCACCGCCGCAGTCACGGTCGATCGGTGGCGAGGACGAGAACGGCGGAAGGCGTCGAGCGCGTTGGGGACGAGTCGCTTGCGTGAGTATGCGGGGCAGGGGTGTGCATGTGCGCGCGGGAAGCGGGGCTGGGCGGGCTGCAGACTCGACTGTGGATGGGGTCCGGAGGTGGACGAGAAGGAAGAGGAGGACGGGGAGAGACGGAGAACATGATTGGCTCCCGCCCGTAAGTGATCAGGGGCAGCAGTGCGGTGGAAAGGAACGTTCAATGCAGATCGACAGAATCGAGAGGGCACGCCCGCAGACGAAATGGCGCCTTTGCTTGGGAGTTTGGATGTTCGCTATTCCGTGCGCACGCGCGAACGGCTCGCGGGCATATCGCAGGTTACAATGTTATTTCCGAAAATCGTCTTGGGCTCGGCATAGGACGCACGATCATCCTCCGGGCGTCTGCACTGCTTGCCGTCTCCGGCCTCGATCCTCCTCTCGTCCCCCCTATAGAGACAGCCAAGCGGGTGGCTGATCGCTATGTCTTGTTGTGGGGGGCTCCTCGGCGGGGTCGCTCTATATCTTTCTATCCCCTTCTCGTCATTGCTGCTGCTGCCGTTGCACTCGACGCTCTAGTATACTCCCGCCTTCGTCTGCACACGCGACACCCTCCCAGCGATACGCCGACACGGTCCTCCCGAGCCTTCACCTTCGCCCGCCGACTGTGGAAAGACGGATGAAGGTCGCGCTCTGCGACAACACCAGCACCGCGGCGGATGTCCGGCCCTCACGAGTCCCACCCCCCGTACACCTGGCCCTTTGACTTCACCGCCGGTGCGGAGCTCATCGGGCTCGGCGTCGCGCTGATGTGCGTGCTCGTTCTTCTTCCGGACGCGGGGCCTCGCGCGTGCGGCACGGTGCTGACGTGCGGCCGACGGGCAGACTGTATGGCGCAAGTACCGGCCAGCTCTTGTGGTACTTCCGGAGGAGCGAGGGAGTGCACGCGACGGGGTTTCCGGCCTGCTACGTGCGTCGTTCTCCCATCTTGTGCGCACGCAGTCGGGCTGAAACCTGCCGGTTGGTGCTCGCAGGTTGTGCTGCTATGGTGAGAGCGTCTCGGCCGTGTCTCGTAAAGACAGGCGAACCTTACCGCGGCTTGTGGATGCTAGGCTGTTGGGAACGACTCAAGCGATCATTACCTCGTACCAGATGGGAAAATACACTGTCTCCGGGCGGGGTGATCCCGATGCCGTCTATGGCTCCACGAAAACGTTTGCAGTACGTGCTTCGGTGCGAACCCGGGGTGCCCAGACTCACATGCATGTTGCAAATTGAAGACCTGCATCGCGGTGTCGGTGAGCGACAGTTATTTCTCCTTTCTGCCCGGCATGTTCTTGACACGCACACTTCCCCAATGGCAGGTACTCACCAGTGGTATGGTCCGATTGTAAGCGTGACTCTCCTTTGTGCAATACCGGCAACTCACACATCCCGCCCGCTGCAGTGGGTACCTGTACAGGATCTGGAGCTGTGAGGCTCTACCCGGTCTGTAGTTTGTCTCACGCTGACGCGTCTTGCCCCAGACACCCACAATCGACTCTTGATCGGTCTCGTTGTGGTTCGTACCCACGATGCTTCAGCGACAATAACGTACGAATACCTTGTATTTCTAAGGGCGTGATCTTGTCGGCGCTTGCAATGATATTGTCGCTCGGTGAGCACCCTGTCTCTGTGCTCGTTGGAGTCGGAGCTGACCGGTCCCCCAACTCGTTCAGTCGCCACCGCCTACATGTGCGTCTCCCAGCGACATATCGTTTGAGTGTATCTAATGCGCAGTAGAGCTCAAATGAACTTTGTCTGGGAGATAGGTAGGGGTATTAACGTGAGTGTCTTCTCACAACGCACTTCAGAATGGCTGCCACGAACCCTCTCCAAGTGGACTTTCTACATTTCGAACGGCGCGGAGATAGTCGTTGACTTGATGATCGCCGTCATCGTCTTCACCTCCCTCCTGCAGTTCCACACCGGACTCACTCGGTGCGTTCCTGGCCTCGATTGGCCGTGCGCCACGCTCATAACGAAACTTATCTTGTCACAGTTTCGACTTGCTGATCCGGGCGATCATGGTTTTCGTCTTCAGCACAGGTGTCCTTGCAGTGTACGTTACGTTCTGTCTTCCGTCACGCGTGGGCACCGGTTGAATGTTTCGCGCCCCTAGCTTCCTCACCGCTTGTAGCATCATCGTGGTAAGGCACTCAATTCTTTGCTGCCGCTGGCATCGCTGACGCCCCCATGTGGCCCGTAGTTCTCTCTGCTTCCGGGCGCGTTCCTGTTCAACGGCGCGCTCTGGGTTTTATCCCAACGTACGTCCCCGTGCCCGTCTTCCACCCCCGCAGTAACCGAGCTGGGCGCGCAGTGCACATATGCTCGTTTTTCGCCGTGCTCAACATCGAGAAGGAGCTCGCGAACGAGACGCTGATCCACCTGGCGCGGGATTCGCGCACGAGCGTCGCGGTCCAGCTCACGACGAGGGTCGACGTCGGCTCGTTCGCGGGCACGCAGCAGCTGTCGGTGGACTGCACCGACGACAACCGGTCGACGGACCTGTCGCTCGCGTCCACCGCCGTCACCTATCCGCCGTCGACCTGCGGGCCCAAAGTGTGGGCGTCGACAAGCACGATACGCAACGACTGACGGCAGGCGGTGATCGCGTTTCGCCAGGGTGCATACGATACCACTGCTCTAAAATGTGCACCCGTTTCCCATACGTTACCATTCATACACGCACACGAGACCCTGACCCATAACCGCAGCCCGTTTCTTCTATAGACGTTCAGGATTCCCAGACCGCCGGCCACCTGTCCTGGTAGGGGAGGAGGAGGAGCAAATAAAAACATTCTACGTGCGGCCGACACATTGATCATAATTCGGGAGCGGCAGGCTCGCGGGCGTGAGTCCTTCGAAGGCTCCATGTCGCTGCCAGCGCTGATCGTCTCCAGTTCCCTCCCGCCAGTGCGAGTTCAATTCGGAGCTGCGGTGCTGGCGCCTTCGATTTCGATACTCATCATGAATCTCTGTCGCCGCTTTGGTCGTGGCGCGACCGGGAGCGTTTTCCGTCGACGCGATCCATGAATATCTGGGTGCTCGCTCGCTCATGCAGGCTCTGGTCGGTTGAATGCCGCGGCAAGAAAGCTTCTGACGTACGACCCGTACGACCCGTGAGCAGCTCTACGACCCGAAATACCGTGTCGTGCGCACGGCCCCCCACGACCCTCGCAAGCCGCGGCCTTCGGCGTAGGAGAATAAATTGTACCCCGCAGGTCTTGGGAACGGTCGATCGCTGCGCCGCGAAAGGAGGCCGAGAACCCCCCTCAAGGGCCCAAGCTGCCGTCCTCTGCAGCGTCTCCCGGCCAGCCGTCCTGCACCGCCTTAGACGAGTCTGCATTTTAAGCATCGGGACTGTTGACTGTTCGCATACCGGCGCGCGAACGCGTTTCTCCCTCCCTTGATCCCCTCGACCGCTCGCAAGACACCGCGATGCAGCTCATGCTCAAGCTCGCTCTGGCGGCCCTCGTCTATGGCGTAGCCGGTACGTTTCGCGTGCCACGACCCTTGTCTGATACGGGCTCACCTCCGCGGGATCGTGTTTGCAGACACGGCCATTGTCTCGCTGTACTTCCCGGGCGCTCGCGTGGCCCCTAACGTCGCGCTCACCGCCAGCGGCGTCGACTCGGCGGGGCACACCACGTGGGCCATCCGCCCCGCCACGTCCGCGGCGATCCGCCGCACCTCCGGCATCGACACCGCGCACCCCAGCGGGGCCACGTGCCGTGCGTCTCTCTCCCGCACGCCTTCCCCCTCTTCCCCGTTTCCCCGTCTCCGCTCCCGCTCACACACCCGCACCCACAGCGACCGTCGTCGAAGACGCCCCGGAGTCCGACGTCCGTGACTCCTCCGCCGTGACGCTCCCCACTGCGGCGATCGGCGGACAGGTCTTCTCGCCGGCGCAGCTGTCCTTCGCGAGCGTCAAGCTCCCCGCGGTGGGGGTCGTGCCGGTGGAGGTCGACGACGCCGCGAAGTCGGGCGCGCCGCGCCGCGCCACGGCGGGCGTGTTCGGGGTCGTCACTGGCGTCGTGGCGGGCGCGCTCATGCTGTGAGCGCGAGCGCGAACGCGGCGTACTTGGGGTTTGGGTTCTGGAGCGGGCTGGAAGGAAGGATCTGCTGTGGGGTGTGTTTGTAGCGTGCTCTCCGTGTGTACGGTTAGTTTGTGTCGCCAGCCCAATTGGACTTTGTCTGGGAGATAAGTAACGGTATAAACGTGAGAGTCTTCCCCGGACGACGGGCTGCCGACGAGCCCTCTCCAAGTGGACTTGTTGCGAACGGCGCGGAGATCGTCGTTGACTCGTTGATCGCCTTGATCGTCTTCACCTCCCTCCTGCAATTCCACACGGGACTCACCTGGTGCGTCCCTGGCTCTGATTGGCCGTGCACGACGCTCATAATGAAACCTATCTTGTCACAGTTTCGACTTACTGATCCGGGCGATCATGGTTTTCGTCTTCAGCACAGGTGTCCTTGCAGAGTACGTTACGTTCTGTCTCTGTATTCCGTCATGCGTGGGCACCGGTTGGATTCCCCGTTCCCCTAGCTTCCTCTTCGCTTCAAGCCTAGGCTTCGACAAGCACGATACGCAACGACTGACAGCAGGCGGTGATCGCGTTTCGCCACGGTGCACACAATACCACCATCCTAAAACGTGCACTCGTATCCCATGCATTACCATTCACACACGCACACAATACCCACGACCGCAGCCTGTTTCCCCTGACCGCCGGCCGCCTACCTTGGTGCAGGAGGTAGACAGTTGTGCAAATAAATTCGGTTTCTGTGCGACCTGCACTGATGATTGAAATCCGGGAGGGGTAGCTTCGCGGGTGTGAGTCCTTCAAATCCTCGACGTTTCTGGCGCTGATCGTTTCCAGACCCCAGCTGCAGCCGATAAGTACGCAACGCCGCAACGTGCCCCGCCAGCGTCTCGCCCGAGTTCACTTCGGAGCAGCGGTGCCGGCGCCTGCGAATTTGATATTCATCAATCTGCGTCGCCGCCTTTGTGTCGCCACCGGAAGCGTCTTCTGTCAACGCGATTCATGAATGTTTGGATGCTCGCTCGCTCACTCAGGATTCTGGTCGGCCGGGTGCCGCTCTAACGTAAACAGCGCTATCATCTTCTGCGGTCAGCTTTACGATCCGAAATACAACTTGGACATGATCATCGTGCGCACGACCTCATGGTCACCGCAAGCCCACAGCCCTGGAGTTCGTGTTGGTATCGGATCTCACGTTGCATCTGACAGATCTTGGGAACGGGCGGTCGCTCTGCTGCGAAAGGACGCCTACACAAGAATCCCCGGCCCCGGCCCCGGCTCCGAGCCCGTCGTCGACCCACTCTGAATAGCGGAGAGGCCTCAAGGCCTTAAGCTGCCGTCCTTTACAGCGTCTTCCGGCATGAAGTTCTGCACCGCCCGTAGACGAGTCCGCATATAAGTATCAGGACTGTTCTGCATACCGACGCGTGAACGTGTTTCTCCCTCTCCTTGCCCCCTTCGACCGCTCCCGACTTCAAGACACCGTCATGCAGCTCACGCCCATGCTCGCTCTCGCCGCCTTCTTCTGCGGCGCCGCTGGTACGCTTCTCTTGCGACGCGTCTCGTTCGACACGGGCTCACCTCCACGACATCGTATTCGCAGATGCAGCCATCGTCTCGCTATACATCCCGGGTGGGAGTGAGATCCCCAACGTCGCGCTCACCGCGAGCAATCTCGGCGTCGACTCGGCGGGGCACACCACGTGGGCCATCGGCCCCGCCACGTCCGCGAGCAGCACCTTCGGCGTCGACACCGCGCACCCCAGCGCCGGGGCCACGCGTGAGTCTCTCTCCCACCCACCCTCGTCTGCCCTTTCCCCCTCTTCCCTGTCTCCCCGTCTCCCGCGAGTCCCCGCTCACACACGCGCGCCCACAGTGACCGTCGTCGAAGACGCCTCGGAGCTCGTCATCTCCTCCACGGCGACGTACCCCCAGACGATCAGCGGGCACGTCTACTCGCTGCCCACGGACGCGCCGCAGACGCTCGTCATCGCCGAGGAGTGCCAGGTCGCGGCGGGCGGCTCGCAGGCGGTGTGCTCCGGGTCGGTGGTCTCGCCGTCGGCGGCGACGCCGCTGTCCTTCGCGAGCATGACGATCGCCGCGGTGGCCGTGCCGGTGCAGGTTGACCTGTCGGGCGCGCGGCGGGGCGTCGCGGCGGGCGTGTTTGGGGTCGTCGCTGGGGTTGTGGCGGGCGCGCTGGTGCTGTGAGCGCGAGCGCGGGCGTACTTGGGTTCTGAGATCTAGGGTTTGGAGTGGGCTGGAAGGCAAGATCTACTGCGGGATGTGTTTGGAGCGTTCTCTCCGTGTGTACGAGTTTCAAGTTTGTGCCGCTTTGCGTCCGGTGACTGGGTTTCTAGTGCTTACTATGTATTCTGGTTCTGGATATAATATACATACCTTTGGATCATACTGAAGCTTTCGAGCAGTAAACTCGGGGCTGGTTCTGTAAGAAAGAGATCCGACTCGATCCCTGGCAGGACCGCCGGCCCGGTTGTGTCGGAGTTTTAATGGTCAAACTCCGCCGGGTCAGCGTCCTGAGTACGAGGTGACGTGACTCGTCCCGACGGACGCGCGCGGAAGTCCACTGCGGAGGCATTGAGTACACTGGACGGGTCAGTTCAAACTTCAGAAGGATGGGTCCCGGTCTCTAAGCACGGATCTGTACGTTGCCCTTCCCATAATGCGCTCGATGCATGCGCGCAGGTCATGACTCATCGGATGATAACCGTGACAGCTTCTTGTTTGTAGGATGGCGACTCGCAGCTCTGGACTACTACAGGAGAGATGCCGCATTTTCGTCTCTCGACTCCCGAGGCTCCTTCCCGCCGCTGTGAATAGGTAGTCGGAGCGCGGCTTAGTCACTGATCCCCTTCCTATACTTATCACTCAGCAGAGGTTCATTCCACGAATCATTGCGTCATCGGTCTTCCAACTGACGATGTCCGACTCTGAGCCCGACAAGGCAATCGAGACGGAGTCCGGACCACTCAGACTCCCTTCTGTCGCACATTCCGCACAGATCGCGACACTTGCTCGCCATTCGCAGCCCAATTGCCACCGCGTCCACAAACGTGACCCTGACAAAGCCAACGGTTGAGCAGCGGAAGCCCACCTTTAATGCCGACTTATGTCAGCGTTCGCGACCGGGATTTGAGTACTGCATGTCACCGAGGCAGCTGACTGACACTGGGTTCGAACAGGGTATATATACTGAGGCCTGTTGCAGTCATCCTTCCAACATTCCCACAAATCACAACCTCGCCTTCACACCCCCAACTTCCCTAGGCAACTCCAGCAGCAATGGCCACCGCCGCAGTCCTCAGCCCGCACGACGTCCGCACGACTCTCAACTACTACATCCCGATCGGCTCCGAGGACCCGTACCAGTATGTGCAGGAGCCGCCCGCAGACAAGCCTTCGCACAACCTTGGCACCGACCCGCACCCGGTCACCGTTCGTGACGCACGCGGACGCGAGGACGAGTTCGGGCTCGACAAGAGCGGCTTCCAGTTCGTCAACTGGCCGAGCGCCGAGCGCGAGTTCGACGACGACGAGCGCATCAAGGCGCAGTACTACCCGAGGTCGAGGAGCTGCTGAAGAAGGTCGCGGGCGCGAAGCGCGTCTTCATCTTCGACCACACCATCAGGTGGGTGCATACGGGCGCAAACGTTTCCGTTCGGACGTGCTAATCACCTTTCGTTCTTCCAGGCGCAAGCCGGACGCAAACGCCAAGCCCGGCCCGCAGAACCGTGGCCCGTCGTACGTTTCTTTCGCTCTGTATCCATCCATCCTCACCCCTGTCGCTGCAGGAGCGCGTACACATCGACCAGACGTACACCGCCAGCGTCGATCGCGTCAAGTACCACCTCCCTGAGGACGCCGACCGCTTGCTCAAGTCGCGCGTCCGGATCATCAACGTCTGGCGGCCGATCCACCACCCCGTCGCGTACAAGCCGCTCGCGGTGTCCGACTGGCGCCACCTCGACGAGAAGGACCTCGTGAAGGTGGACTTCATCTACCCGAACCGCACCGGGAGCACGTACAGCGTGCGCTACAACGCCGGGCACCAGTGGTGGTACCTCGCCGACCAGACGCCGGAGGAGGTCACGCTCATCAAGTGCTACGACTCGGAGGAGGACCGGGCTCGGCTCACGCCGCACTCGGCGTTCTGGACGCGGGTGCGCCGGAGGGCGCGCCGCACCGCGAGTCGATCGAGGTGCGCGCGCTCGTCTTCGACTCGGAGTAGACGGAGGGGAAGGATAATCGGAGTGAAGGAGGACACATGAGTTCTGACGCCCCGCTGAGTACCAAGAGAACCTCGATGTGCTGTATTTCTGCTGGAACATGGATTGACGAGTTAATAGACGTGCGACCTTTCTCGATGCCCCTCCTGTGAAAACACAAGCTAAATTTTCTCACGTTCTGCTCTTGTGCTCGGTGGGGGTGTTGAAGTCTCAACTCCGTGATGATGACACAAGGCCGACTGTAGTCTTCCCAGACGGTGTTTGGCGGCTTTTGCGAAGCAGATGATCATGCAGCAGGTATCCACGCTTGCGCGCTCGGTCTTCATGTGCAGCGTCGGTCATTCTTCCATCAAGATGAACTACCATTCTCTGATTCGGGGATAAGTACACTCTTGGAACCCAAAACCTCTATGATGGACGTATTGACAGTTCGCATCTTTGACGGTGTCCCCGCGCGCTCAAGGAGCATAAGTACCGAGCGCGCTGCTCAGTCGTCGCTTTCGGTCTGCGCTCGTCACCGCGCCCCCTCCACACTCCTCCACGACACCGCACGCTCCACCATGAGCACCCACTTTCTTTTCAACCTCACGTTCGCTACGTTTCTCTGGCTCGCAGTTGGTATGTTGTCTATGCTCCCATCTGTCTCGCGTCTGACCGGGTCGTATCGCTGCTGCAGACGCGAGAATTGTGAATTTATTCGTGCCCGGGAAAGCCGCCCTCCCAGGCGTCGCCATAGCTGCCGAAAACATGGGCGTTGACGACGCCGGCCACACCACCTGGCTCCTCGGCCCGGGCGAAGCCAGCGGCACCTTCACCTCCGACGCGAGCGTCCCCACCGACGCCCACTACTGTACGTGCCCGTCCGCCCCTCCGTCCGTCCGCACGTTCGAAAAGAACGTTCAACGTCGACCCTGACCCTGACCCTGCCCCAGTCGAACTCGTGGCGGGCGCGTCGGACGCGCACCGGGTGCAGACCGCGCTGCTCTCCGACTACCTCGTCGACGGGCGCATGATCGCGAACGCCGCGCCCGCGCACACGCTCGTCGTCCACGACGACTGCGCGCTCGGGGAGGGCGACGGGCTCGCGCGCTGCGCGGTATCGGTCGCGTACCCCGGCCGGAGCCCGATCTCGGTGCCGCCCGCACGGCGACGCAGCCGGCGGTGTTCGTCCCCGTCCAGGTCGCGGACTCGGCCGACGGTGCGGATGGCGCGCCGGTCGTCGCTGCTGCAGAGAACGCGAACGGCGCGGGAAGGGGGTAGTGGCGGCGGCGGCGATGTTGGGCGTGGCGGTGGTGTCCGGAGTGGTGTTGTTGACGTAGTGTGGACTTGGATAAGTCACGGATCAACGATCATAGAACCCGTCATGGCCTGTCGATGAACGAGTTAGCTATTATCTCGGACAGAACGGACTGTGGTCGATAACTATATTGAAGCCTCGAGTCGCGTCATGTCTGTTCCATCGTCTGTTAAGTAATTAGTGGGCCACATCGAGCACAGGTGATTTCCCTGGTGCATCCGTTGCGATAGCCTATCGGCAGCTACGGATGCATCTGGACGGATCTGGCGATCCGTGATGCGCGCCCGTGGAGACGCGCCTCGGTGGGCGGCAAGGACGCGTGGCGCGCATTGACGCATGGCTGTGATGCACGCCACACGTCCCTCCCCTTCACCGTTCTTGCTCTCCTCCGCTACCCTCGCTACCCCCAGCCTCCCCGCTCCGCCCAGGCAGACGATAGCGACCATACGGTCGACTGTCGTCTGTTATTGGACTTTGGTGTCACCAGGTGACTCCTCCTTCCCTCCCTCGACCTCAACCTCGACCTCCTCCCTCGACCTCAACCTCAACCTCAATCCCACTCTATACCCACCTTCCCAACCGCACTCACGACAAACACACCGCACAAGGACGTCCGTACGGACGTCCGAAGTATGGAGATGAGGATATAGGGGCCGCGGCGACGTGCCGTGTCCCTTGTTTTGGTGAGTCCTTCGCTCTGCCCTCCTGCATTCCCAACACCCACCAATTCCCCCTCCCGCCCGGCGACAACTACCACAGGCCGAGGACGTCCGCCCGGACCTACTCCTCCTCCCGGCCCTCCAAGCCGCCGTCCCCCTCCTCCGCGCCGCTGTCCTCCGCCCGGGTCTCCCGCCTGCACCGCCCTCCTCTGCGTCGCCCTCCTCTACATCGCCCACCTCTGCGTCGCCTTCCTCCTTGCCCTCCTCCGCTTGCGCACCCCTGCGCCGCCCGCCCACGCCGCCCTTCCTCCGCGTCGCCATCCTCCGCCTGCGTCAACGCCCCTGTCCACACCGCGCTCCTCCGTGTCACCCTCCTCCGCCTCTGCGCTGCCCCGCGTCGCCTGCCTCCCCCGCACTGCCCTTCTCCACGCCGCCCGCCTCCTCCGCGCTGCCCGCCTGCCCGCGCTGCCCGCCTGCCCGCGTCGCCCTCCTGCCCCGTCCTCCGCCCGCGTGCGCGCACGTCACCCAGCTGCTCTGCGCCTCCTTCGCCTTCGCATCGCCCACCCCCGCCCGCGTCGCCCACCACCTGCTCCGCCTCGTCCCGGCCCACCGCGTCCCCCCGCGAGCCCTCCGCGTCGCTCTCCTCCGCCTTCGCGTCGCTCACCTCCGGCTCACTTACCTTTGCGTCGCCCGCCTCCGCGTCTCCCACGTTCACGTCGCCCACGTCGTCGTCGTCCTCCACCTCCGCCTTGTCCCGACCCTTCGCCTCGTGCTGCCCTGCTCCGCATCACCCACCTCTGCCTCTGCCTCCGCATTGTCGTGGGGCGTGGTATTACTTACTAGCGCACCTATGTAGTAGTTTACTAATAAATATATTTCTATCACTAATCATATGCAAAATGTGGTGTGAAACAAAGAGGGAGACGAGCTCACTGTCGGAGACAGCGAGCTCAGGTGGCAGGGCCTGAGGCGCCGGTGTCCGGACATCTCGGGACAGCGTCGCACCTGGGGGTGCGCGAGCGCGCTTGGGGAAGGCGGTGTCGAGCTCAACCGGGCCGGCCGGCACCAGATGCATCCGCATTTGCCGATAGGCTGTCACAACGGATGCACCTGGCGAATCACTACTGTAGCCACATCTGAAGACCTGAAGGCCCAGCCACCACCAGCGCTAGTGCTGCATTCGAGAGTCGTTAAAAAGGAATTAACCCGCAGTCCGAATCCGGACGTATACATGTGCAGGACGCGCAGGATGTTTTCCGACACGTCTGCAACGAGACAACGAAAATTCGGATGATGGTGTAGGTCACGCTAATAGCGATGGCCTGAATGGGTACCAGGGGTGTCTGGGGTCCATATGGCGGACCTCGAGGACATAACATGAGGAACTTGGCGATGTTAGAATATGAGCCACTGGTGAAGTCGAACGTAAGTCGAATTTCGCACTGCTAGAAATTCGCAGTATGTTTAGCCTGGGCGCTCAAAGGATCCTAAAACTTCGTCATCGCTGGGTGCGTATCGCGCGTAACGAATTCAAGGTGCAGGCACGACGTTTGGCATGGATGTACGCAAGCAGGAGTAGGAGGTGGTGGCGCAGAAGGTTTTTGACGGAGAAAGGAGAAGACAAGTGGGGTGGGAGGGTGTCAGAGGTCCTGCTCAACCAACGCTCCTGGCTGTGCATGGGGTCCTGCCACCTCTCCACTTTCTCATCGCCTCTACCACGGGAAGGCAAGCGTATTGTTCTTAATAGCTCAATGCTGCATCGAGATGAAGGGGTGCGAGCACCGTCGACCCTCCTGTGACTTCCACGGTTTCCATTTCCCATGGACTCACAATTCCTCATTCTGCGCTCAGACGAGACTGTTTCAGCAGACATATGGGCGGTGATCAATGATGTTCGGTCCTGTGAGCGGCCTCGTGCAATGGGATGATGACATTCCGATAACCCAGGGTGCGGTTCTTTGTGTGTATTGTCATCATGCTTCTGACTGGCCACGGCCCTAGCACGATGTTCTTCCAAATAGCGACACGGGCCCATCCGGCAGCATGGCAGGAAATATTATCCTTGCTCGCCAGACGATGCCCACCAGATTCGACGATGTCCTCTCAATCCACTGCCGCTAACACCAACACCAACAGCTCCTCGGACGTCCCAGTTCTTTATGTTCTCACCCCCGATACAGCTTCTTCTGTGCAACGGGTCCGTCTGGCATAGTTTTGCAACCTTTGAGCTTGACACTCACTCAAAATTTAGGCGCGACATGATCTCCTCTGGAAGATGGGCATCCAGTTGGATGCGGCTGACGTCGATCTGATCAACGGCGGCGAGTCGATGCATGCTACGACTCCGTCTAGTCTTCCCACTGTTCCACTCGCAAATGTGGGCAGGCAGTGGATGACGTCACGGTCTAGCGTATGCTCCCTCACGGCGCGCCATCCCCACTCAAGACCAGCATGGACACAAACTTCGCGGGGAAGCAAGCTACGCGAGGCCATCTCCAGTCACGTATCTAGTGTTGCGACGGCTCGGCTTCGGCTCGGCTCGGCTCGGCTTCGGGTGGCTCAGGCGAGCCAAAAATGGAGCCATGGCTCCAAAAGTTGGCTCCGACGACCTAAGCCAGGTCCGAGCCGTAACGGGCCGCCACGAGCCGCCGTCTTCAGTTAGCGCCAATACCGAGACAAAGATTTGAATTTTGCGAAGCAACAGAGCAAGAGGAGAGGAGTAGAATCACTCACATGAGGCTCACATGAGGTATAGAAAGTCTTAAGGTTGTTGAAAGGATGATTGGACAAGGTCAACCAAACAACCAAATTTCGTGCAAAACCTGGGATCTGCCCGCAGGCCGCAGTCGCCATTGATCCCTGTTCCGCAGGTCCTGGTCGGGCACCCAAGCACAAAACACTCAACAAAGCTTTAATATCCCATAAATCAATTGCTACCAATAAATCTAAGACTAGATGGCAGTGGGGCATCTGGTATGCATATAAAAGTACGAAGACGCTCACAATGCCATGCTGCCATTTCCAGATAGACGCCCTCACCCGGCTCGCCCACCCGGCGCGATCATGGCTCGGATCGGCCTTTGGCGTCTAATTCAAGGCTCAGAATTGGCCCTGTTGGAGCCGGTTTTGTCACGTGGCTCGGCTTCGTCCTGGCTCGGAGCCGGCTCCGGAGCCGGCTCGAGCCGAGCCCTCCGCAACACTACACGTATCAGCCGGAATTGACGCTTCAGTACACCGCAGAAATCGTAAGTATTCTTGTCGCAGGTCCTTGAATCCCCTCAGTGACGCGCAACGTTTCTAAGCGCTTCAAGCGGGAGGTGCCTATCGAGGGTGCAACCGGCGGCTATACTGATGAAGGACAAGCTACACTTCTGCTTGACTCAGGTACGACCTTTTTCTGCCATTTCGACAGAAACCAGTGATTGAAATACACCCAGTAGCGAACAAATCGTGAGTGCTTTCTGCCATACACGCCAGCCGCCGTAGCTCAGCATCACGCCCCTCCTCCCGCCGCAAATAGATGGCTGTTTGGATTTAGATGCTCCGTTCACGAGGTACATCGGTGGCTCGTCACTCTGACTGGCCGACGTTGACACACTCTCACCGGGATTGCTTGCAGGGCAAGGACCCGGGACAGATGGTTGCGCAAAGACGACACCGTGATAACTCCGACGGACTGGCGTACAACCATCCCTACAATGGTTTGGAGAGCGCCGAAACTCGGTGGACCGAGGGCACCTACGCTAATAGCAAGGAACACTACGCGGTCCGCGACACATCGGTGAGGTCTGTTCGTTGCAATCACCGACTCTTAGTGCGGTAACGAGACTGAGTACTTGTTCCAGCTTACTCGATCGACTTGTCAAACCCTTCGAGGTAACTATGCTAACACCTACCGTTGGAGCCCGGATGCGACCGTCCGTCTCAGGCCGGAACCGCTTAAGATCGATCAGTTCATGGCTGTCGCATATACTGCAGACCGAACGTTTTACAACCAAAAGCATTTCGATGGTATCCTCGGACTAGGACCGGCGTGTCAGTATCGATGCATTACCAGCTTGACATTTCTCATGCCGAGACAACTTTATCTCAGAAAACCCTTCCCAGAACACCCACGCGCAGAGGTAATGAATCCAGTAATTTGGAGCATCCGTGCTATGTACTCACAACCCTCAGGGCTTCGTCGCGGGAATCGCGAGCGAATTGGTCATCAACCTCGCGAGTATGTCCGCCACAACTTCTAGATGGTATTATCTGACGATGCGCCGTCCAGGATGGTCGGGGCGCGGCCGCTTATGTCATACTTTCGCCGCCTGCCGACCTCTTACGGGGACACCAGATCCCAGAGTGTGTCGCGCCTTCAGTTCAAGTCTCCTTGCTACGCTTACTAACGCCCGCGCTCTGATGACAGTCATCTGTTTTCTTCGTATATCTGCGTACACCGATTCGGCGGGGTAGTGAACCAAATTGGTCGCAGCCGAAGCTATACGTGTCACAAGAGGGTGAGTAGAGTCAAAGTATAAATGCCCATCTTCGGAGGTCTCAACGAAACACTTCATCCGCATCTAGGCAGGCAGGGGCCTCCTACTGCTTCCTCGCCGGCGACAGCCTGGATGGGCAAGATTAAGAAGTTTGAGATCGTCAAGCGACTTGCCTTCCCCGCGAGTCCTGACGCGCCGAGCCAAATACTGGGCACAGTACCGTTCCCGAAGACGACAACTCCGTCATATTCGATACGGGTAAGTCCATATATACACGTCCCCACGCGTCTTTCGTGATTATTGATGGTCGTTTTCAGGAGCGTCAGTCTCCTGGGTTCCCCATTCTGTCATCACCTCCCTTCGCGCCATCTTTAAGAAGGGTGGCGTGAACGAGAAGCTCACCAATGACTATCTACGCCGATCCGACTTCTCCCTACTAGCCCCGACTACTACGTGGACAGGGAAGAGGATCTCCATACATGTGATGTCCGCTACACATTCCTCAGTTCAACCGGCGAAGAAGTCGAAGTCGTGGGTCCCGCTGTTCCCTTCCTCGCCGCGCTCAATCCGGAGCCAACGGGCTCGGTCCGTGATCGCATGGAAGGACTTCTCTACGCTCTGCCCGAGCCGAAGGAAAGATATTCTATGACTGCGTTGTTCGGTCAGGTGAGTGTGAAGACGGCTGTTGGACCGGCGACTCCTGCACTGACTCATTGAACGCGAAGGACTTCTTTCACACAATGTTTGCAGAGTTTAGCTGTCCGGGGGAAGACGAACCTCCCTTCATGCGGTTCGCGGGTAGGCGGTTGGGACCGGAAGACGGCCAGTTCATGCTACCGCCGTATTGGAGGTGATGGAATACTTGTGTGTCCGTGTACTGCTACGAATATGTGGTTGTGCCACTATCCGTTTAATTCATGTCTACCTATGCTAGTATGCAACTCATCACCAAGGCCATCTCCGCGGAGGCTGTCGGTCGTCGGATCGCAGAAGTAAGGCACGCGATTTTGGAGCACTTCACGCTGACGGATAGTGTATGCCGACCATTTCCAGCTGTTCCCATCACCTTGATATGCCAGGGGGGAAATTCTGGTGACAGAGGAACCAAGTATGCTCGCGAGGATGTCTACTTGCGGCCTCAAGACCTCCCGCTCAAGTATGGAAGCAATTTCCGCATCGCTCGGGAGCCCTGGTATGACGGCCCGTGACAGATACTGCTTAAAGTCGAGGTATACCCTTGCGTGGCGGAGATGCGCCAAGGGAGCGAGCAAGCGGGCGATGTGCGCCTATATACCATGCTGTGAGCACTGACATGTTGAAACCACGAAAAACCCGCTAGGTGCGTACCGTTGGAATGTCCTGGGGTCTGTTTCCAAGCTCCGGCGGATCGTCATGACGGAGGAGCGTAAGCCACTCCAGACGCGGGAACGCCGTCGCCAGCGAGCCCAACAGCACGCTCTCCTCCCTACTGATTGCATCCTCCTCAATGCCGGCCGCGTCGCCGGGAGCGGCCCTTTTGTTTTCGGCCACGTACTCGATCTCCAGCCGCTCCAGGGTCGGGACGTTGCACCGGCGGAGGATGTCGAGCGTGGTCGACGTGCCGTGGTACGTGTCGCGGTCGGCTCCGTCGGTGCACCACACGAGCTTCCAGTAGCGCAGCGCCAGCTCGCGCAGCGTCGGCGGGAGGTGCGCGTACACCTCGTCCCGCGCGTTCGGGCACGCCACGACGAGCCGCTCGAGCTTCGGCCACGGGAAGGGCCCGGAGTGTCCCGGGGGCCAGATCGGCGCGCGCTCGGGTGCGCGCTCGGCCCTCCGCTGCAAACTCAAGTGTGATGGGGGGGCGTAATTCTTTACCCCGATGCCGTGCGGGGGAGGGACTTGAGAGCGAGGACGCGGAGGTTTGGCATGTTTGTGAATAGCTTGGCTGCGTGAGGGATGTCACCGGTGGGAGGGTCTGCGTGGAGGACGAGTGTGGTGAGGCGTGGCCAGTCGAGATCGCGCAGCGCGTCCACTGGGGCCGAAGCGCCCATGAGGCGCAGCGTCTCTAGAGTCTTGTGGACCCTGGACAAGGTGAATGAGAGCGCCTGCGATTCCGACTGGTGCATCCCAGGTTGAAAAGGATAAACCTTGTGATAGTTGAAGGTAGAGAGCGGCGACAGGTCCGTGCCCCCCCGCATGCGAGTGGGTAGAGGACTGAAATGCAACCGCTCAAGGGTGAAGTGGCGGAGAGTTGGGATTGTAAGAACACGCCTTATCGTGTCGTAAGACAGGCCGTGGTAGGTTTCTAAGTCCGCAGTGAACGTGATTGAACATATTTGGGGGAGAGAGGACACGAAGGTGTTGAAGGCGCGGTGAAGATCGAGAGAGTCGCAGAGGCTGGGCTCCCCGACTTCGTCATCCATCATATAGCGCTCAGAGCCAAGCCGTGGGCAGCTATCTTCGATAACAAGTGACCTGGCCAGTGGTCGGTAAGCTAGTCGTGCCAAGTATCCATATGCGAGTCTCGTACCTGACATACGCAGACAACGCGGGAGTACCGAGCGGGTGTTGTTGGAAGATGCGAGGGCTGGGCCGGTTGGGACGAGGACGTACGAGCATGCGGCTGTCTCGGTATAGGACAGGCAAAACATGCTCTCTCAGACGTTTGCAGGTCGCCGCGAGGCTGCGCGCCGCTGTGCGTGAATCGAGCAAGTCCACGACGAGGGCAATCACGTCGCCGTTGAGCTCGTCGAGGGTCCTGTCACTTGTCAGGCATAGTCAACGCAGGGCACCTGTTTCACTCACAGATGCATGCAGTCTTTTGTCTTTGCCATGGAGAGGATCAACTGGCAGGACACAGGAAATGGACAACCGCTTATCGATCGCGCCACTGCTTTCATACGCATTATGTAAGCACTTCACACAGCGCACATGCCCGAATAGGATGCTTCGTTATCTCAACTATGACAAATGGAGTCACACATGCTTGGAGAACGATGTCGCTTTCTGAACAAACCACGCTACGGACATGATCACAGTCCAGTAAACGACCGTTTGGAACGCGAGATGCGAGAGCCCGAGATCGACAATGACGGAAGACATGATCACGATGCCTCCGAGGATGTAGACGCCAAACACGGAGAACGACCGCTCGACTGCAAACGCAAAGAGGCTATGCCGGGAGTCAGTCATCGCACCCAAACGTTGACGGACGCGACCAGCACCCACAAGTTGAAGAGTCCGAAGGCTGCCGCAGCGCGGGGACCGTACACCGTCGCGATGGTGCGCTGGCCGACAGCTGCGTCGGCCGCTACGTCGACGGCAGCGCCGAGCGCGTGCACGCCGGCCGTGCATAGCCCGAGGACGTGTCCGCGAAGGCGGAGCATGCGCGCGTCGAGAGCGCCTCCACCTGCAGTGTAGCCGGCGAGGTAGGCGAGGTCGACGATCGCGCCGTTGGAGAGTGAGTCGAGGACGGGGCGCTCCTTGAACCGTAGCGGGGGCGCGGAGTACTGCCACGCGAGTGCCAGCAAGACGGTGACCACAGATATGTTCGCGCGTCGGGCGGAGAGCAGAGACGTGGCGGATATGAAGGCGGTGGCGATCCACGCGGCAGTGGTGACGGCGGGGTGGAACTCGGGTAGGAGGACGGTGCCCTCGAGGGCGTCGGCGAGCTTGCGCGGGTTGCGGGCATCTGAAGGGTAATCGTATACGTCATTCACGCCGAAGACGACTGCAAGCGAGCGATGAGCTCCAGACAAGATGGGGGTGGGACCGGGAAACGTGCTTACCGAGGGCAAGCGGGAAGGAGAGCGAAAATAGCTGGAGCGCGGCGTACTTGGCGATTCCCGCGGAACCGTGGGGCGAGTGGACGAGGCCGATGGCAAAGAGGATGGGCCCGAACGCCCACCCCGCAGGGCGCGAGACCCTCACAACGGTGGCAAGAACGGGGGGAACCATGGATGCATCGCAGGGTGCGAGGTCGGAGTGTGACACTGAGGGCTGCGGAGATGCACGTGAGCGTGACCGGGCGCGAAGAGTCTGTGGAAGAGCGGCGAGCTGCGCGGATGACGACGCGCCCCACAATTTGCTCCTCCTCGTCGCGCCAACGACCGCGAACCACGACCCCCGCGCTTTGCTCCCGCGCAGCTCCACCCCCCATGCGCTGGCCGTATAAGACGTCCCCCGCGCCTTGCTGCGCTCCCCACCTCGCCCCCGTCTCTCCCCCCGACTGATCGCCCACCTGCTGCTTTTTGTGTTCCCCCCGCCGTCCCTCGACCCAAGTGACCGCCAGAACACCCAACACGCACATTCAGCACCATGGCTACTATGACAGAGTCCGCTCCGATGATGATGACTTCGGAAGTCCCCCTGGTCGCCGGGGACATGCTCCGCACCATCCGCACTTCCGTTGTTGTGCCCTCCGGCTCTACGCCCTTGTCCTTCCAGCCTAGTGGTGGCCCTTCCATCAGCGCACACCGCAGGCGGTCCAGCGCTGCCTCCGACATGGCCAAGGCTGCAGGCATCGATCTCGAGGCTGTTTCCATGGGTGCGTGGGCCATATGTTTGTGCTAGCGGCGCAGGTTCTAAATATATGCGCTCTCCATAAAGCCGAAGCACGGAAGATCATGTCAGAGGAACACAAGGTTCTTGGTTTCCGCCCACCCCAAGGCTCCTTTGCTGCGGAGGTCCAATCTGTCGCCACCAAGAACCCGGATGGGAAGCCAGGGATCCCAGTTGACACTACGAAGCTGAAGGAGATGGCACGGGAGGATGCGCTGCGGATTCTGTGAGTTCTGCGTTGTTGTATTTCCTTGCGTCTTCTCATTGTACCGCAGTGCCGAGCGCCGCAAGAGCAGCGGATCCGATACTTTTTCGCCTACCTCCAACACGCGGAAGCTCTCGAATGCCTCGCCAGACAAGCCCATCATCCCTGCTCGTGGCTCACCTGTTGACCCGGGCATTAACCTCGGCACCATCAATGCCAGTGAGTGCGCTTCCTGTCGGGCTACTCCTCCGCATCTCAATGTGAGCTCCTTAGCCGATGCCCGCATCCTGATGTCCCATGAGCACCGCGCACTTGGCTTCCGTCCCCCGCCCGGTTCGCTCGCTGCTGAGGCTCAAAGCGCCGCCGCCCGCCACCCCGAAGGCAATGGCACCCACCTCGACGAAGACACCCTGAAGGAAATTGCTATGCGCGACGCGGAGCGCATCAAGGCCGACCGTGAAGTGAACATCGTCGGTGAGGTCAACGTCTCCGCCCTCAGCAAAGGTATGTCCCTTGTCTTTATCGTTCGAGCGTAATATTCATCATTGTCATTCAGAAAGTGCAAATGCCATTATATCTGCCGAGGCCAAGGCGCTCGGTCACCGTCCGCCTGCTGGCAGCCTCGCCGCGCAAGCGCAGAGCGCCGCCGACAAGCATCCTGCGGGTGGCAGCTTCAGCCCCGCTGGCAACCCCATCGAGATGGCCGTCCTCACGGAGGCTGCCGTCAAGGAGGGTGAGCGGCTGCGTGCAGAGGAGGCCAAGGCCAAGGATGTCCCGAATGAGGCGGAGTAAGCTGGCTTTCTTACATCCCCACCCCAACCAAAATGTCTGTACGATAGTTGTATATCCTTATTGACCAAACGTTGCTGTTGTTCCCTCCCTCATCCCCGCATCATACGCATTAGACTCGCGATTGAAGACGTCGGATCCCCATCGCAAATGACAGAAACTCCACCCAAGCTTGGCACCCTCGCGTCCCCAACGCTTCCCCGCACGGAGACGGAAGACTCAGTCGAGATTATTTGTGATATCATCGCGTGAGGAGGATCCCGGCGTCCTATGTACGTTAGCCTGAGTCGAAAGCACCCATCAACCTGTAGTTATATCCATACGTATGCCAATTGTCTTGAGCATCTCACTGTAGCAAACCCATGTATAGTAGACGTATACACATAAGTTAGCTTGTGTTCCGCTGTGATGTCATCAGGTGAAACGCAGAGTGCACTGAGCGCCTTACTAGCTCTTACTAGTCGCCGCTGGCCGTTGTCTTTTCACCACCATCACGCTCTTATATGCGCATACACGCAAGTGCTGCTACCTCTACATACCGTACTCCCAGGTGCGACCTTCACCTCAAGCCGCAAGAACGACCAAGCCTGGTAATCGCGGAGGCCGAAACAAATCGTTATAAATTACGAGGGCTCGAGATCTGGCAAGGCCGCGTTCCGACTCCCGAGCCCCCAAAGCTGCACTTCTTCTGCCGCCTCTGTGAGATGCGTCGTCGTGGTGACATGCAGTATGTCGCATTCCCTGACTCCACGGCCCCAGTGTTTCCAGGACGATGACTGTCGAAGCAGGGGCCGTATTTCTTGCGTTGGACCGTTGGTAGCATTTGAGGTCAGGTGCCGTGTTGCATCGTGACGCCTCAAGAAAACAACACCCGGCTACCAAAGTCCTCAAAACGCCGGTCATCGACCCTGCCGTTCTCGCCGACCGCGGGAGGCGTACAGAACACGGGCAGTGCCAACGCAAGCTTGCCTCTCTCCGGTCTTCACCGTACGTACCATCACCCACGTTCGACCAGGCTTGCCAGATTTTGAACAAACCGGCTCGCTAGTCGAATCCATGCCTACGTGCGAGCCTGCAAGTTCCATCCCATCAGCCCATGCGCCGGATCGGGAATGACGGTCCTGCCATCAACATATGGCCTCATCGTTAGTGAGCAGTGAACGGCTTTGCGCAGCGACTGGAGGTTTCCGTCAGACTAACGACAGCGCCTCGACATCAAACAAACGCAAGCCTATGCTGTGCTTTTCAACCGCGCCCCGTCCTAGCTCGGTCCCGTGGCGCGAAGGCCCCCAGGAGCGAGATCCATCTGCTGCATACCCTCGTCCGACCGATCTCTTGCTCTCCGCTACCACCGCCGCCGCTACCAATCGCACGCTTCAACCGAGCACCACCTCCGCTGCTGTCTCGAGAGGCTACCTAACCCTGGCTTGGCCGCGTCTCCTCTTCGGACTGGCATTCGTCATCGCCGCTCCCACTCGACCCATAACATGGGCCAGGATCTCGCCCTCTCTCCGGCTTCCCCGGCTTTCCCCTCTTCGTCTTCGACCGCGACGGCCTAGCTCCGCGCTCCTTATAGTCTCCTGCTTTGACTCTTGACGGGCGGCGGCATACGGTCGCGCGCATCCTCAGCAACGCCGTGGCTCTCTTGGCCTGGAGGGCTTGCAAGTCTGCCAACGCCCTGGCGCCGTGCTGGGGTGGGCTCTTTCGTCGATCGCCGTAGACAGGCCTGTCTACGCGCTGGGAGGATGAGCGTCGATGATATCATTGCATTGTGAGCATCGTCCATGGTTTGCTCCGTGTTTTTTAAAATATTGGCTCAACGTCATGCATAAATAGGTCGCACTCAACGTACCTGAACAGGGTCGTTCAGTCCGTCTCGTTCAGTGAGTCAACTCTTCTTCTGTCCCGCGTATTCCCATCGTCAATATAGGCATCTCATCCGGCACTGTTCAACGTTCACGGACCTGGCTCCACACAGCGATCCTGTATTTCGACTTCTTTCTCACGCTTCCCGAGGAAATCCCTCGGTACTGGAAGGGCCAAAGGGCGCTCCGAGGCGCGTCCCTCTTCTTCTTCCTCAACCGGTACCTGGCCATTGTGGTCAGCTTCCCGGTCATATACGAGTTCTTCTGGAACATGCCCGAGTCGGTGCGTGCGGCCCGCGGTGGTTTTGTCCCAACATGAACTCATCTTGTCTTCACCTTCTACTTACCAGAGGCAAGTCGAATCATTCCTTCGCCTGGATGCAACTCTGACGTGAATCGCGAGCAGATGCAAGATGCTCCGGCTCGTCCAGCAGGTCGCGTTGGCTTCGCAGCAGGTCATCGTCGGCAGTGCGTCATTTTTTCGCCCTCGACGCCATCCACAATGGACCTCTGACCGCCCTCTGCCGCGTCTAGTGCTCCTCATGCTCCGGACGTACGCGTTGTACAACATGAATAAGCGGGTTATGTATGCGCTTTCGGCCGGAGGCGTCAGTGCGGTCGTCGTTTCTCTGGTCAGTTTGATCTCACGTATCTGAATCGGATCTATTGTGTCTGACGACGCCTTCACCCTCAGTGGGCCATCATAACGGTACCCTCTTCCAGCATCCCGGCGTCAGACCTCTCGAGCATGGTCGGCTGCGATCTTCGGATAGATCATCAGACGTAGGTGTACCGTGTGTTCCCCTTCCTATCGTTTCCTTATGGCTAATATCTTCTGCAGGGCCTGGCGTAAGTCCGCACGTCTGCCTCACGGAGATCGTGCGCCCTTGGCACTGACTGTCGCAATACGGCCCCAGACTCTGCCATCGCCTGGGGCTCCATTTGGTGTATGACGCTGCTGTCTTCTTCATGACCGTTGTCCCTGTGATTGGAGCTGGAAAGACGTGGAACCACAGTCTGTCTGGGATGATGCTGCGGGATGGTCAGTCAGTGGTTCTGCTACCTGATCGATGCTGACGCTTCGGTGTTTCTCTAGAAATCATATACTTCGCGTATGTCCCTCGCGACACATTCGCTCCATGCTCCGAGGTTTGAGCTTTCCCCTCCAGGATCGTCGCCGCGTGCCATGCGCTCAACATCGCCTCATACCTGGTGAGCGTTATCTGCGCGTGCTTCACGTGCTGGACTGACTATGAGTCGTCGTCGCGCCAGGAGTTGGGTATCCAGCAAGGGGGGCACTTTACGAGCCTTACAAACGTGTGGGTTGTTTGCTCTCAGCTTGTGTTCGTTTACGCACTGACACTCGTGAACCGCTCGCAGTATGTCGACCACACTGGTCTCGCGGATGATGTTGAACATCCGTGACCCGAAGCTATTTGAGCTGCCGCATCAGTGGCCGTCGGACCACGAGCTGTCGTTTGCATTTCCGATCTAAACGATGACGAAGACGCGTAGTCGCGTGACACATGGAGGATCAGAGTCGGACTCCCTAGATTTGATGCGCAAGGACTCGTCAAGGACTCGTACAATAGTGTGTATGTACTCGATTATCTCGTATTTTATGTTCCTTTTACGCGGATATGTTCTGTCCAACTCGATGTCTCTTCATAGATGAGGCCAGCATATTTAAGGAGCGTACTGACAGGATCTTGCGCTCTCAGGCCTCAGGACTAGATCTTATCGCGACGCCTCGCAATGAGCGCCCACATGATCATGTACACTCACACCTGCACGCCTCTGTTGATGTGTTCAAAAGCCACCCATCATCGGCCCGTGGCCGGTCACCTGGTGCTGAATGTTTACCGCCGTCCGGCCAAGGTGAGTGCTTCCGACGCTCGACGGAAGCACTCGACTGACTCCTCTTCTTTATCATTCGGCACATGTCTCCAACATTGCCGATTTCCATGGACAGTGTTCACGACATCGACAGTCTCCGGTCGCTGCCGTTTCTCGTTGTTCGCCCACATGGCATCGGAACTTGTGGAAGACGACAGCGCACCCTAGATCATACACACGCTATCAGATCCGAGCGTTCGCCATCCTCCGCCCACCCCTCTCAAACCAACACCGCAACGGCGCCCGCGACCGCGCAAACGACCGCCCCCGCCACCCCAGCGCCGACCGCGCGCGCCGTGCCGCCGACTTGCACGGGCAGGAGCGCGGCGGGCTCGGTGCGCACCGCGAGCGTCGTCGCGCCCGCGCCCTCGGTCGAGAGCGCCTGGGTGCAGACCGCGGCGGAGGCGCCCAGCGCGCAGTCGTCGTGGAGGACGACGGCGGGGGCGGAGAGGAGCGTGACCCCGGTGGGCTCCGCGTGCGTGACGGGCTGGATGCGGTGCGCGTCGGTGGGGCCCAGGACGAGGGTCACTGTGTGTGTGTGTGCGCGCGCGCGATGGGGGCGATCGATCAACGGGGGACGAGAGACATGCGGAGGGGGGGGAGGGGGACGCACTCTGCGCGAAGGACGCGGGCGCGGTGACGCCGTCGCTGGCGGCGCCGGGGCCGATGACCCAGGTGGTGTGGCCGGCGGGGTCGGTGCCGGCGTTGCTGGCGGAGAGGGCGATGCCGCTGGAGACATCGGGGATGAAGAGGGAGACGACGGCGCCGTCTGGAGGGAGCGCTCAGAGGCTCCGTGTTTTGATGAGACGACTAGAAGCACATACTGGCGACGGCGATCAGGGTGGCAACGCAGAGGAATGCGATTCTGAGCATGGGTTGCATCCTCGTCAGCAGATAGTCGAGGAAGAGAGAGGGCTGGGATTGGTGAAGGCTGAGGGGGACGCACTGAGTGGAAGAGCAACACAGGGAACGCCTTTAAGTTGGGCAGCGAGATGCAGAATGAGGTAAGTTGATCTGTGTGCTCGAGTTGCGCACTAGTGTGGGCACCAAGAACGACACGCGCATCCAACGCTCACGTCCTGTCATTCATGAAAGCGCCGAAATGCATGATAGCCTTGCTGAAAGAGTGCCGCAGCTCCAGCTTGACATTCGAGCACGAGTGAGCTGTGAAGAAGCGTAGTGATAAGAGAAGCTGTTATCAAACAGTAGCGGACAACAACACGTGAAATGCAGGCGACCTCAATCCATGATCGCGGGGCAGTGCGCGGAGTCAAATTCGGCGCGACCGCATGTGACATCGGGCCTGCGTTCAATCCAGGCGCCAAAGACTTTGCTCCGTCTTGCTTCCCTGCGTGGAAGGCAGGGGGCAGACGTGAGCTGCCGTAGATCCTCTGAGTCCACGAAAGGCCCGCCTCGTGTGAGGCTTCCGCAGCATCGTGGGTCGGACTGAAGCGACACACTCAAACGCAGCAGACAGATAGGGCCTTAGCGGCATATCTAGTAAAGACGGTAAGTGGCATTCAGTACTCGAGGACACAAGAAGAGGGAGTGATGCGCGTAGGCAGTGCGCTCGTGGTCACAACTTGCGAGCGGTTGTGCCGCTGTCCCCGATAACACATATGTAGATCCACGTCGCTCCGTGGACGCACCGAAGTTGTTGTATACCCTCGATGGGGAGCGTGAGGCAGCCTCTTCACAGTACAAGGGACCATAGAAGGCCGCAAGGCAAGTAGCAGAGCGGACGAAAATAAGAGCACAGACACACCGTCGTACAAAGGTTCTTCAGCAAAATGTACGCCTGCGTCATGGAACGCCGACCGTAGTCCGAGGAGATGGAGCTGAGCGCGAGAAGAACGGAAGATCAGGCAAGTACTTACTTTAGGAGATCACTTATGTCCAGCGAACCCGGCCTCTTCCAGCACATCCTCAACCACTTTTTTGAAGTCCATCCCATCATCAACAATCTAGAGGAAGCACATTTAAGAGGACTGTCTACGAAGAGTAGCGGGCCACGCACCACATTGTTGACCGACGCCCACGTCTTCCAGTTACTCTGCAGCATCTCCATCACGCCGTTCGCCCGGAAGTTCGCGCACGGTCTTATTCCGTCGCCCGAACACGATCCGCCCAAGCCCGTCGAACTCCGCTCGAGAAATCCACTGGGGGTGGCGGGTCGCACGGCACGACGACGCTGCTCTAGACCTTGGGCGGCGGTCGGAAATCGTTTTGTGCTGACATTCATGACGAGGTCGACTTCAGCGTACAGCTGCACGTTGGCGGACAGGCGCGACTAGGGCGCAGATCCGGGGACTGCGACGAGCCGCGTCGCAAACTCCCTGGGAGATGGAAACCGCGGCGCGGAAGAGCGGCTGGTGCGAGAGCAGGCGGAAGACGAGCGGGGCGGAGATCCAGTAGGGCGTGTTCGAGATGCGGACGTCGAAGCAGGGCAGCGTGGACTTGACGAAGTCGCCGATCATAATCTCGAGCTTACGCTGCTCCGACCTGGGGGATGGGGGAACAGGAAGGTCGGCATGGCGTAAAGGCGGGACGGGCGACAAGACTCACTTTCCCTGCACCCCTTCCGAGTCAACTTGGCCGCGATGCGAGGGTCCATCTCCGCCGCGGTAACATGCTTCGTCTTCTTGAGGATGCGTACCGTCAGGTGACCGGTATCTGGATCGACTTTAGTATGTCCATCGGGCGGAGGTTCGCCTAGGGATACAGCGGCCGTTTGAGGCGTCTTGCTAGTCCACAAGGGAAATCAGGCGAGTGAAAAAGCGTAAAGCTAGCAACACGTACGACTCGCCGTCTATAGGTTCTTGAGGATATGCTGGCCGAACCGTTTGGTGCTGTCCCGGGTCACAGAACCTGGGCGAGCGTTTGACGGTTTTGCTCTTGCCGAGGACTAGCGCATCCAGGTGGCTGGTAGGAAGTCGCGCGGGGCATGACGAAGGTACGGGAATGCGCAAGGGCAAAGAAGGGGAGGAGCAAGAGGCAGTCAGAGAGCAGGGAAGCAGCAATTAAGGCTACCTCTCCGATCCGATCGGGACCCTCCAGATGTCGATGGTTCGACACGGTGACTACGAGTGATATTTGCAACGAAAGTATATAGTATGCCCCGCTCGCCGGCCGTCTCCTAGAGCCTTCACACCCATATACTGGACGAGACTGAATGTTCGGACTCGGGATCTCCATTGGGCACCGTCTAAAGTGAGGTATATGACTAGTTATAGATCTATCCCATACCAGGCGAGCTGGAACCATCGCTCCTGTCTAGGGTACGGGCCCATCGTCATGAAGGGATCAACATGTGCCACAGCCGGTCCGCGCGTCCACGCTCGGTACATCGAACCAAACCATCCTACATACCCAATTCCTCCAGTTCACATACTCCGTCCATCGCGGATAGAACCCGGCATGCTCCCAGTCGATGAGATACACCCGCCCGTCGTCACCAATCATTACATTGCGCATGGCTATGTCGCAATGCGTGAGCACCAATGGACCCGTGACGTCCAACGTTCCATCGTGGTCCCCACATGCTCCTCGGGGAAGCATGCCTTCGAGTGCTCGTAGCGCTCGACAACCATGCCGCGAACTCCGCGATGTTCTGCCAGGGCGGGACGAATCTTTGGAGTCCACCTGCGAACATCAGGCTGTATGGTGACAACGGTGTCAAGCCGGCGCAAGTGGACCGGGGATGATGGCGCGAGGGTGCGGATCGCGCGCAACTGGCGGATATAGCTCCGGAGGACGCATGCGACTCGTAGCTTGCCCAGGAGAGAGAGCGTAGGCCATACTTGTTCGAGCGGGCGGCCTGGGATACGGTCCATGATGGTGAGCGTCTGATCTCGGTAACCTTCTTCCACTGTGGGGTACAGCGTGCGACGGACGCGAGGGACGGGTATGGTGGTGTGGCGGAACACAATATCGAGGGCGGTACCCTCGGGCGATGGTCTATCGTGGGGCAAATAACCGTCCCGCTTGCAGATGGTATCATGCGTAAATGGCCAGACGTTCACCAGGCTGGGGTCCAGATCTACGTGCAGCGGGGGCAAGCCAGCACGTTCCTCGCTGCCGTTGACATGTAGGTCCATGAGTTGTTCGTCTGTCCAGTCATCGACGCTTGACGGCTACGGATCTTATTGATGAACCCTTGAATGAACGCGGTCCGGGCTGGACTTACCCTGTAATCTGCGGAAGGTCGCGTGGTGGCGATTATGCGCAGAGTACGGAGGATATCGTAGGAGATGTCGGCGACGGAACCAAGCACGGAGTAGACGCAGACCCCAGCAAGGATCCGCAGGCGACCGAAACCAGTTGCAGGCAGGGGTGGGTTTACCCCACCGCTCATCTTGATTCAAAGGCCTGGAGGGGGTGAGAGGAGCGGAGGGCAACGCGGAGCTGGGTTAAAAAATGATCGCCCCAGACCCTGTGAAAGACGCCATTCTGGGCGCTAGATTGGCAGTGTGACTGGGCCACGCAAGCAACACTGGGTGTAACATACCTTCCTCCACTGCCCCTTCAGGACCCAGAAACACCCCTCCAGTGATGAATGGATTGCTGGCTCCCACTGGCTTCGGTCGCCTGCGGGTCCTTGTCGAGGTCTGCATCTACTCCATGCTCGGTTTCGTCGCCGACATCTCCTACGATGTTCTCCGTGCTCTGCGCATAATTGCGCCTATGCGACCTGCCGCAGATTACCAGGTAAGCACATCTTAGACTACGATTTTTCGAAGGACTAATCCATATCACTGGTAGCCGTCAAGCATCGACGATTGGACAGACGAACAGCTCATAGACCTGCATGTGAACGGCAGCGAGGAACGTGCTAGATTGCCACCGCTGCACGTAAACCCGGACCCCAAGTTTGTCAACGTGTGGCCCTTGACGGAGGACACCGTCTGCAAGCGGGATAATCACGTTCCACATGATGGACCATCTCCTGAGGCTACCGCCCTCGATATCGTCTTCCGGGCCACCACCATACCTGTCCCACGCGTCCGCCGCACTCTGCACCTGTCGGACGAATTGGTGGATGAGACCTTTACCGTCATGGATCGCATCCCAGGACGCCCTCTTGAACAAGTATGGCCTACGCTCTCTCTCTTGGGCAAGCTGAGAATCGCCTGCATCCTCCGAAGCTATATCCGCCAGTTGCGCGCGATCCGCCACCCTCGCGCCTTCATTCCAGGTCCACTTGCGACAGGCTCGACAACACTGCCCCCCAGAACTGATGTTCAAAGGCGCGCTCGATAGGTATGTGACGCCTTGGGAGAACGTGTCCCAGTTCGTCGCATGGTTCGTTGAGCGCTACGAGCGCTCGCAGAGCTACTTCCCTGAGGTACACAAAGGGACGACGATGGAACCGTTGGACGTCACGGGTCCATTGGTGCTCACGCATTGCGACATCGCCATGCGCAACGTGATGATGGGTGACGACGGGCGGGTGTACCTCATCGACTGGGAGTATGCCGGATTTTATCCGCGGTGGGTGGAGTATGTGAACTTGAGGAACTGGATACGCATGATGAGCTGGGGTGGGATGTCGACGAGCGTGGACACGACGGACAAGCTTTGGCATATGTTGATCCCCTTCATGACGATGGGCCCGTACCCTAAGCAGGAGCTGTGGTTCGAGCGCGCCCGCTATGGGATAGATAATTAGACACATGAATTTGCTTGTATTACACAGTGGTTTTCAATGAACGTCCAATCTCGTCTACTTGAGTGCGAGGATTCTCGGAAATGATGAGTGAGCGGCATGCGCCGGATCGCATCAGTGGGTATCAATTTCTCATGGTAGCGGACTTTGAGGATATCGATCCTTAGACATCCACAGCTTCTGTAGACTCTGAATATGTGGTTGTACATGCAAGCATCGCGCAAAAGTACATTCCTTCGCCAATCTACGTCATTGAAGCTACCCGGGGCTCGAGTCTAGATTGTATATCCTGTTCGCATTCTCAAACACGCACGCCTGGCGATACCGACGGCTTGAGGGAGAGTGAGCTCGAAGAGCCGGAGCGATGCTCGAGACCTGTGCGAGACAGTGAGCTTGCAGAATGCGTTCCCGAAGTGGCTGGGCGCACCTCGAAGAGACATTGGCGAGCCTGCATAGAACCCAGGTAGTACGATTCGGGCCAGAAATGCCGTCAGCTGAGTGCATGCAGCCCAGTCAGTAAAAACGAGCGAAGCCAACGAAGCGGCGCACGCACTGGACCACAAGATCTTGTTCGTCGGCGCGAGCCGAGGACCTGCTTGAGCGTGTCGCGCTGGCCGTCGGCGCTCACGAAGGGAAAAGTCCAAGAACACGTTTTCGTACACGGACGTGAGTTGGGGTGCGAGAGAAGGCGGAAGACGAGCGGGGAGGATATCTGGTAGGGTGTGTTCGAGATACGGACGTGGATTAGGGAACGTGGCCTTGACGAAGTCGCCGGTCATGATCTCCAGCTTGTGCTGTTCCGAACTGGGGTGTGGGGAAACGGGAAGGAGTCGGCATCGCGGAAAGGCGGACAGGGCGACATGACTCACTTTCCTTGCCTCGCTCCGAGTCAACTGGGCCGCCACTCCAGGGCCCATCTCCACCGCGGTGACATGCGTCGCCTTCCCGCGGATGCGTACGTCAGGTTACCGGTAAGTACCTGGACCGACTTCCAGCACCATGTCTGTCGGGCGGAGGTTCGCCTAAGGGTACTGCAGTCAGAATTCAGATGGCGCCGTTTGCGGCGTCTTTCTAGGTCTACAATTCTGAAGAGGAGAATGAGGTTGAATGAAGAGAGACGTGAAGCGAGCACTACGCACGATTCGGCCGTCTGTGGGTTCTTGTCACTTGAGGAGACCGTTAGGTGCTGTTCCGGGGGTCGCAGAGGAAGGGCCTGGGCGCGTGTTCGACGATTTTGCTTTTGCGAAGGGCTAGTGCACCTGGGTAAGCCGGTGGGAAGTTGTACGAGGCATGACGAAGGTACGAGAATGTGCAAGGGGCGAAGACCTAAGGGAGGAACAGGAGGCGGTCAGAGAGCAGGGGACGCTGTCTCTCTAATCCGATTGGGACTCTCCGGATGTCGATGGTTCGACACGGTGACTACGAGTATTTGCGACGGAATTAATGAAGCTCGACAAGCGGAAGGGGCGTATTAATATGCATGTGCGTGCAGAGCCAGGCCTGCTCGTCATGCCGCGGTATGTACATCCCTGCTGGCAGGTTGCAAAAGACGAATACTTATGAGAGCAGCCGCGGGTACTTCTGCGCCAGTGCTGGCCTCCGAGTCGGGGCCGACTCACTACCCTTGTCGCCCAGGACCTTCAGGTAGTACGCCCCGCTCGCTGGCCATCTTCTCGAGTCTTCGCGCGAGACTGAATGTTCGGACTCGGGATCTCCATTGAACACCGTCTAAAGTGAGGTGTATGGCTAGTTATCTATCCCAAGGCGGGCGAGCTGGAACCATCGCTCCTGTCTAGGATACGGGCCCATCGTCATGAAGGGGATCAACATCTTCCACAGCCTGTCCGTCGTGTCCGCGCTATGTTTCCGGGCCCACACCATCCAACATATCCAATTCCTCCAGTTCACGTACTCCACCCACTGCGGATAGAACCCGGCATGTTCCCAGTCGATGAGATACACCCGCCCGTCGTCACCCACCATCACGTTGCGCATGGCTATGTCGCAATGCGTGAGCACCAATGGACCCGTGACATCCAACGGTTCCGTCGTCGTTCCCGCATGCTCCTCGGGGAAGCAGGCCTTCGAGCGCTCGTACTGCCCGACGAACCATGCCGTGAACTCCGCGATGTTCTGCCAGGGTGAGACGTATCTGTCGAGTCCGCCTGCGAACATCAGGTTGTACGGGGACAGTGGTGTCAAGCCCGGCGCAAGTGGACCGGGGATGATGGCGCGAGGGTGGCGGATCGCGCGCAACTGGCGGATATAGCTTCGAAGGACGCATGCGACTCGTAGCTTGCCCAGGAGAGAGAGCGTAGGCCATACTTGTTCGAGCGGGCGGCCTGGGATGCGGTCCATTATGGTGAGCGTCGAATCTCGGTGACCTCCTTCCACTGTGGGGTACAGCGTGCGGCGGACGCGAGGGACGGGTATGGTGGTGTGGCGGAACACAATATCGAGGGCGGTACCCTCGGGCGATGGACCGTCGTGGGGGAAATAACCATCCCGCTTGCAGACGGTGTCATGTGTGAATGGCCAGACGTTCACGAATCTGGGATTCGGATTCACGTGCAGCGGGGGCAAGCTAGCACGCTCCTCGCTGCCGTTCACGTGTAGGTCAATGAGTTGTTCGTCTGTCCAGTCATCGACGCTTGACGGCTACGGGTCATACGTATCAACCTTTCAAAGATAGAAGACAGTGTGTGACTCACCTTGTAGTCCGCGGCAGGTCGTGTGGTGGCGACTATACGCAGAGCACGGAGCATATCGTAAAAAATGTCGGCGATGAAGCCAAGCAGGGAGTAGACGCAGACCCCGACGAAAACCCGCAGGCGACCAAAGCCAGTTGCAGGAAGGGGTGGATTTAAGCCACCACCCATCTTGATTCTAGGTCCTGGAGGATGGCGAAGAGGGCCAGAGGCAACGTGGAGGAGGGTCAAAATTCAAAAGTTAGTAGAAATGATCGCCCGCCATCTTAGGCGCCAGATCACGTGTTGGGTTGGTCGCGCTCGGCCTCAGAGCAGCACCGAAAGTACCGAGGAACCCCTTCAGCCTTACGTGAAAGGTCTGCCTCCTAGGGGAGACTAGAGGAACCCAGAAGTCTCCAGAAATCGGCAGGCATCCTCTGTTGGAAGACGGACACGCTTTGACTACCGACACAGGAAGAAAGCCGAGTACGTATGTGCCACTGGCATTCAGTTGAACAACCTACTCTCCGGAGTCCGATCACAGGAACTTCTAGATCATCGTGTCTTGCCCAAAGAAGCCGGACAAGTGATCGTGTGTTCGTTGGCAAAGTGTGATCAATTGACAGTCGCCCTGGATCAAAGCAGGGTTGACGTTGACTATCTCCCTTTATACGCTAATCGCAGCCAATCCCTCAGGACACGATGGCGCAAGCATGCACCCAACGTACGCCTCCATCCCAACCGGCCGGTATATCCATATCTCACCTTCCTCGAACCGCGTCAAATCGTACGTCCCCCGCTTCGGCGGACTGCCCTGGCTCTGCTCGACCACCACCAAGGTGCCCAGCTCGGACGGCTTCACCGCCATCCCGTCCCTCACCGCCACGCGCGGCACCATGTCCGCGACGATCACCGCGGTGTGCTCCGGGTTCCCGAGGACCGCCCACGCGCGCTCGCCCACCCCGCACCGCGCGCTCCGCCACTCGACGACGTCGCCCCGGCGCACGCGGTCGTCCCCGCCGCGCCAGACGCCCCGCATGACCGCGCCCTTGTCCGCGGCGCGCCCGGCGAAGAGGAGGTGCCCGTGCGTGCGCGCGACGCTCTTCACCGGCGGGGGCACGTAGTCGTACGCGTCGAAGGCCTTGAGGGCCTCCGCGGCGAGGTCCCAGCACTCGCCGCGCGCGCACGGCTGGCCGGTGCCCTCGAAGCTCTCCGCGTACGCGGCGACGGTCTCGCCGTACTGTGCGTGCGCGTCGACGAGCGCGTCGCGCGGCCAGGGCGCGGGCCGCGGGAGGTAGCGCGCGCTGCGCTGCGCGGCGTTCGGGTCTGTGGGCGGGGCGTGGAGCGGCCAGGAGACGGTGTAAAAGCAGATGCTGAGGTCGCTGAAGAGGACCCCGCCGGTGACCGTCTTGGTGCGCCCGTCGTGAGACCAGGAGAAGGTGGAGGCGGTGTGGCCGTTGCCGCGCACCGGCGGGGCGCACAGGTTGTCGGAGGTGTACCAGGCGTCGGTCCAGTGCGTCGACGGATGAAAGTAGTAGGCTAGGTCTTCCGCGGCGGAGCCTCGTGTGCACGGAGGCGGATAGGATGAGATGAATTCACCTGTAATGAAGTCATGGGAATGTTTAGTACATGAGAACATGCATCACCATCACGGGGGGCATGCGCTGCGGCGTTCTCGAGTCCTGCCAAACCAGCGAGCGGCTTTGGGGCTCGCTGGTTAGGTAGGGCTGACCACACTCACAGCCCGCATTAATGCCACGTACGGGCTGCGGCAGAAGCTCTTTGGCGTGTAACCCTCGTATACCTAGGCGAAAGGCTTACCCGCTGACTGTGCTGGCCGTGGAGGCGTCTTTGGTCGTGAGATCCTCGCGATGGGAGGCTGTGGAGAGGTCATCAGAACTGCACTAGAGCGAAGCGCGCGATTCACCTACAGGTCCCTTCATTGGAGAAGGAGTGCGCCCCCCGGGAGGAACTTGGACGTGCTTCAAGGTCTCTTCCCCCTTGCGATGCGAGATCGCGACGTTGAGGTGCCGCGAGAAGAACTCGTCTAGCCAGGTGAACAGCTCCTGCTTGTCCTCGGGCGACAGATTTGTCCAGTCGATCCGGTCGACGTCAGCCCCATGGCTCGCCCGCGGCTCCACGATCCTCGGCGGCGGCGGCATCGTCTCGCTGCTCTTCCCAACAGCTGATGCGGCGGCATCTGGACGAGTGTCTCTGCGGATGGTCGGGGGAGGCCCGCTCGGTGCGGCGCTCAAGTAGCTGACGACGCTGTCCGACCGCGAAAGTGAGGGAGGAGGCGCCGCGGACGAGCCAGCCCGTCTCAACGGGACGGGCGGTACTGGCGCCTTTGCGGAGCTGGAGGCGGGCAGTGACCGTTCGCTGCTATTCGTTGAGCCAATCCGCGATGGCGGGGGTGGGGGCCTAGGGGGCTTCGGCGGCGGGGGAGGCTTGGACTTGATGTCGGCGTCCCAGTTGATCTTCTTGCTCGGCTGGCTCTGCATACGATCGCGGGTGTTCGTGATCTTCGTCGAGCCCGCGTCCGCTATCTTCGCGGCCTTGTTTCGGAGCTCTAGCATGGCGTGACCGTGGGGGTGGAGAGAGAGTTGTGAGAGGGACGTAGTGCGTGCGAACGAAGCAACGTCATGGGCTGCGCAGAGATTGAGTTTGTGCGACGCTGGACATACCAGCAAAACTCGTCATCTTGTGTCGTTTCCGTGTGATGAGATAAAAATTGGTGTCGTAGAAGAGGTTTGGTGCTCTAGGGGACAGACGTAAGTACTCCAAGATACCAAAGACATTCCAGTGGTCATCGTATGACGCTGCACTTACGCGATGGATCCTCGCGAGCTGCCCGATCAGAAAGTGTCCTTGCTTCGTCTTCAGATGTTTTTGGCTTACTATTGGAGTGTTACCTGGGAGCCCCTTGCGCGAAGTCCTCGAGGTATGTTGCCAACATGTATCAGGCGTGGGCGTCTCGATGACTGCGGGTTTCGCATTGATAAGATTAGATTTCGCAGGTTCCCACGCAACACTGCTTCGATCTGCTCCCTATATTGACAATCTTATGGAATACCCCAGTCTGGGCCTAAAGGCCTAAGAAATGCGGAATAGTTTGCCCTCCTATAAAACCACAGTATTTCTCCTCCAAATAGCATCTATACATATGATAATTCCCCTGGCCTTATAGCTATTACGCCGCCTGTTTTGCAAGGTGAGCCCGGTACTGGGTTGGCGTGAGGGTTTTCTAAGCAGCAGTCAGTCACATCTCACATCAAGAACTGGAAAACATACCTGAGAAAACGCGTGCATTTGTGCTATTTGCGATTTTAACACTTCATTGACTGTTGATGAACACAGGTACATAGATTAGTGCATTGGTTAGGCGCTTTACAGCCAAGACGGCAATAGTCCACATACTAAACCGATGCCGCGCAAGAGTGTTCTTGCCCTCAAAAGCCTATTGATGATTTGTCGCATATGAGATGGAGCCGGTCCAGTGTACCGTATCGCTCAACCGAGACGTACCTCGCTGACAACGAAGATCGAATAGTTTTCACCGCATCCACTGGATGTGTCTTCGATCTCAAGGTGAATGATCGGCAGAGCCGAGCGGATGGAGGCCTCAAGGTCCGCGGCAGAGATCGGCATGTCTTGAGGGACTACGCGGTCGAAACTGCAGGGTGGGAGTCAAGAGCAAGAAGGGTTGAACTGGCAATCTGATAAGATCTCAGATTGGCCTGGCCCACGTTCTACCCCGGCCCACATTCTACCGCCGCGCTCTGCCAATCGCCTTGTACTTCCTTCCAATCCAACACCCGTTCTCCCATCATCATGGCAGAAGGAACTTCTCAGATTGTCGCCAACCTCAAATCATGGATTGTAGAGCACGGGGGTCTGGTCCATCCAGATGTCGTGTTTGAGTCGGGTGAGCGCCGTTCGAATGTACCAAAGAGCTCATCGGGACTAACTGACCAAAGTCTGACAGTGGAATCTGGTTTCAAGATAGTCGCAGGCAACGACATTCCTACGGACGCGACGATCGTCTCCATTCCCTCTGCGCTTTCGATCACATCGACCGTCTCGAAATCCGCGTTGCGAGCTCTCCTCAACAGCCAAGCAGATGGCCTCTCAGAAAGGCAGCTCGCATGCACATATATCTGCATGCATTGGGTCGCAGGTCCATCCGAGTGCGTGGGCTTCCACGATATCCCTCTTCGGTTCGTTGACAATTGGGTCCTTGGGCAGCGTCCTACAACACCTTCCGTATCTCGCCACTCTTCCTTCGTCTGACAAGCTCCGGACACCGCTACACTTCACCGAGGCGGAGCTAGAGGCGTTCAAAGGCTCGAACTTGTACGGTGCGACATTGGACAGGAAACGCGAATGGCAGACTGAGTGGGAAGAATGTCGAGCCATCGTCGCGGCATCGAACGTGAAGTGGGGGGAAGACTTCACCTGGTGAGCATTCTATCCCTTTCTGCGTGGACACGGGCACTTCCTGAACGGCCCGGAACCCTCAAGGGAACGCTACCTCACTGCCGCAACATACCTCTCCTCCCGCGCGTTCCCCTCCATGCTACTCTCCCCGGAGCCTTCCCTCGTGGCCACTCCCGACTCATACCCCGTCCTCCTCCCGGGCATCGATGCGCTCAACCATGCCCGCGCGCACCCCGTCTCGTGGGTCGTTTCCAAATCATCCGACTCGTCCCCGGACGCCCTCCTCCTCTCCCTCGTCATCCGCACTCCCACTCCCCGCGGCGGCGAGCTCCTGAACAACTACGGTCCAAAACCCAACGCAGAGCTCATCCTCGGCTACGGCTTCGCCCTCCCGCACAACCCCGAGGACACGATCGTGCTCAAGCTCGGCGGCGGGCCCGGCTCTCCCGACGAGCAAGCGCGGTCGGAAGTCGGTCGCGCGGGGCGGGGCGCGGAGGCCGTCTGGGAGATCCTGTACGCGCAGCTGCGCGAGATGATCGAGGCCGACGACGATCCTGCGGACGAGTGGGGCGTCGAGGACGTGATGGAGGTCACGGACATGAGCTGCGCCGTAGGGATCCTCATAGACATAACACAGAGCTTGTATGAGGGACTGCCGCCGTTCCCGCCCCCGCCGGAGCGGGCAAGGGAGATGCGGCCGGAGGTGCTGCAGATGTTGGAGTACTATGTGGAAGGTGCGTGCTTAAGCCGTTGGTCGTGCGGGATGGCAGGCACTGACGCGAGGTTTTGGTGCAGGCCAACGAGATATCGTGGAAGGACTTCTTGCGTTTGCGCGTGCAAAGAAAGCGGAGATCACCAGACGCGAACGGGAACTGGGGATGTACCTTTCTGACGAAGAAGAGTAGGGTGTAAAGCCGTAGGTATCGAGTCCCTTGTACAACAGCTATGTCCATGGTACATGCGATGGTGTGTTGGGTACTACAATTTAGTGTTCTCAAACAAGTACGACTAGCCATGCCAAAGACCTACAGAAGGACCAGCCCGAGCGAAGCCTCGAGAATCTGCGCAGGGGGGCAGTATGCTTGTTTAGCACGTTCCGTGGGTTTTTACGGCCACTTGAAGGTAACATTGAAGGAGTACCCGTGATTGATGAATCGATAACCGTCCTGGCTTATTATTATTATTATTATTCTCATTCTATCCCTATGAGTCACATATGAGCGCGTGTAACTACACAGCTAAGAACGTATCCCGCATTGATAACCGTCCTGGCGCGGAAGCGAGGAAAGTGCGACCCAGGACCCAGACACGTGCTAGTATACGGGAGGAGCGGCGCAGAGCAGGCGCCCAAGGCGTGACGTTCCTCCTGCCCCTTCGTCCGCCTCTATATGCATATATCCTGCATCCTCGGAGTCCGTCGCCTCCCTCCGTCAGCTCGGCACTCCTGTCATTCATGGGAGTCGTCAGCGCTAAGCCTCGCCTCGCACCGCGGCTCCTGCCCCAGAATGGAGCCCAGCGGAGACGTCTCCGCGCGCTGCCGCGGAGCCGTGGAGCATGCGGTGCGTCCAGAGCCGGACGCCGTAGATTAATCCCAGTTGCGGCACTCTGTTAACCGTGATAAATATCGTGGTACATTGGAGTCATAGATTTCCATACGGCGCGCAAACCCAGTACTACTACACAGAATTCGACAATAGCATATCAATCAGACTCTCGCGGCGTCGTAATTCAGCTCTGGCTTGGTGAAATACCCAATACTACCGTGAGGAATCCATCCTGACACAGCCATGGGATTGGCCTGGATACGAGCGTTCTCGCCCGTCCTCAACTCGCGCACAAACCTCAGGAAGGAATCGTGAGTGCCAGGCGGGAAAAGTTTTTTCTTCTCGCCGTGGTAGATGAACGTCGATACCCAATGTAGACATCCAGACCCTTGGGCGTTGAACGTGTACTGGTCTAAGCCCTCGTCCTTGATGAAACGGACGATGAGGTCGGGGGTGATGAGCGGCGTGGACGTGTTAGATGGCAGCTTTTTGTCCCAGTTCGACCGGTTTCCCATGTCAGTAGAGTTGTGCGAGGTGCCGTACACGCCACTCTTCCCCATGGCTCTGAAGTAGAAAAGTCAGATAAAAATCGAGATATTGAATGACGGACTTACGAGACTATAGACGTTCCACCCTGAAAGTTGGGCGAATTTATATCTACCAACACCGATTCCTTTCCAGGGATCTCCAAGACGATTCTCCTATGTGTATGATGAGGTGAGACCATGACGAATCTGAGCTCGGATGATAGCGCGTACCAGTGAAGCAGGCGAACTGGCGTCCCAGCTGGCAGGTTTGGCGGTGTCCAGTTTGGTTCGAGCAAACCGTGGGCATGAAGGGTCATAACTCGGGCGTATCGGAAGTTGCGGATAGAACAACCATCGTTCCCGATGGGGATCTAGAGTATATGGAATCATGTTGAGCAACGATGCCTGCGAATGAATGGACTATCAAGCACTTGCCTGTCCCTGAGCGGCCATTAGGGGAATTTGTACGAGATGGCAGGGGAGGTGCAGGATGTCAGCGGTATGAGCCGCCTGACGAAGCCCTTTTATGCAGACACCAGGGAGACCTGGGTGCTGGGTTTGCTGAAAATATCGAATACAACGCGGTTAAGAATGTCCACACGTACACACAAACCGTGAGACCCAAAGAACCGTCCTGCAACACCGCCAAACCAGCCGGTGAAATGGCAGACGAAATTGCATGTTCACTCACATTCAACACTGATGGAGTTCGGACAGAGAGATACTGCTAAATCTGGCTGCAATCAAGCCGCTTTGAGTGGACGAAAAAACCCGATATATTCTTTCGCAAGATACTACGACGGCGAGACCGATCATTTGCATGTCCACACTCTGAGAACCAGGGCACTCATGTGCCCGAAGAAGACATGAGCACATGCCTAGGTACGCGGCCTGTGTGAAATAATCAGTGGACCCTTGTTCTTCGACATGCGCAACAGGTCGGCTGGCGACCACAGAAGACCACAGAATCCGAGCAGATAATACGTATTCGGCTTCTTTTGTTGTGTCGGCGGTCAAAGCGTGTCCGCGAATGCCCGCCGCCGGTGTTTGGAGACTTCTAGGTTCCTCGGGATCTAAGGACCTATGTGTAACAGATGGATCCCCATGCACTCAGCGACAACTACGGCATCAATCACGGATGATCATAAAGTGAGTAAAAGATTAGAAGGCTCAAGGCCTGAGACCTCGTCGCTCGAGAGAAAGCGACTTCGGTGCTGTTGGGTGCGTTGGTAAACGACCACGGGACCGCCAAATCGAGCACCCGAAGAAAGGCCCGAACGAGACAGAAGCCCGGGTTAAAAGTCAGCTGAAGTCACGGCTAGAAGAGGCAATATCAGACAAACGTGCTGTGGCCATCTCGACGGAGCGGTGTATCCGAAGCCACGCCGCCATACTTACTACCGGTCGTTGGTCTCATGCGTCTGCACCGTACAACGGCGACGAGTGAGTATCATCACTTGAAGACCGTCACCACAAGTTAGAGGTCGGGTGAAGTATGTCATGAGCGCAAATGCCAGAGAGTGCCCTCGTCGTCCTATGGTCTCTCAGGCCTGTGACTGCGACGTCACGCCGCACGTTGCCAGCCTGCCTTTTCGGGCTTTGTTTGTGCGGGACAAACAATTGATCTCGCGTGAGTGATTTGATTACAAAATTCAAGCGCCTAGGGACCTGGGAGTCCTGATGTGACATGGTCGGGACTGACGTTGCCACTTGCCATCTCGCCCGTTCACATACCCTCCTCCGGCCCCTTCAGGACCCAGAAAAACCCCTCCAGTGATGAACGGATTGCTAGCTCCAACTGGCTTCGGTCGCCTGCGGGTCCTTGTTGAGGTCTGCGTCTACTCCGTGCTCGGCTTCGTCGCCGACATCTCCTACGATGTTCTTCGTGCTCTGCGCATAATCCCCCCTGTGCGACCTGTCGCAGATAACGGGGTAAGCCCATTTCAGACTACAATTCTTCGGAAGACTAATCCATATCACTGGTAGCCGTCAAGCATCGACGATTGGACAGACGAACAGCTCATGGACCTGCATGTGAACGGCAGCGAGGAACGTGCTAGATTGCCACCGCTGCACGTAAACCCGGACCCCAAGTTTGTCAACGTGTGGCCCTTGACGGAGGACACCGTCTGCAAGCGGGATAGTCATGTTCCACATGATGGACCATCTCCTGAGGCCACCGCCCTCGACATCGTCTTCCAGGCCACCACCATACCTGTCCCACGCGTCCGCCGCACTCTGCACCTATCAGACGAATTGGTGGAGCAGACCTTTACCGTCATGGATCGTATCCCAGGACGCCCGCTTGAACAAGTATGGCCTACGCTCTCTCTCTTGGGCAAGCTGAGAATCGCCTGCATCCTCCGAAGCTATGTCCGCCAGTTGCGCGCGATCCGCCACCATCGCGCCGTTATCCCAGGTCCACTCGCGCCAGGCTTGATAACACTGCCCCCAAGAACCTGATGTTCAAAGGCGCGCTCGATAGGTATGTGACGCCTTGGGAGAACGTGTCCCAGTTCGTCGCATGGTTCGTTGAGCGATACGAGCGCTCGAAGACCTACTTCCCTGAGGTACACGAAGGGACGACGATGGAACCGTTGGACGTCACGGGTCCACTAGTGCTCACGCATTGCGACATCGCCATGCGCAACGTGATGGTGGGTGACGACGGGCGGTTGTACCTCATCGACTGGGAGCATGCCGGGTTCTATCCGCGGTGGGTGGAGTACGTGAACTGGAGGAACTGGATAAGCGTGATGAGCTGGGGTGGGAGGTCGACGAGCGTGGACACGACGGACAAGCTTTGGCATATGTTGATCCCCTTCATGACGATGGGCCCGTACCCTAAGCAGGAGCTGTGGTTCGAGCGCGCTCGCTTTGGGATAGATAGTTAGACACGTACGAAGTTGCTTTCATTACGCAGTGGTGTTCATTGGAGACCAACGTCCAACCTCTTTTACCCGGGTGCGAGGACTCTGGGAGACGGCGAGCGAGCGAGACATGTGTCGGACAACAAGGATTGGACCGCTGGAACGCAGAGCGAGCCGTCAGGTGGGTAGGATCGCTCGCGCCAACCCCAAGTGGCAGAAGCTGTGGTATCAATCTCCGAACTTCGAGGATATCGATCCTTAAACATCTACTGTTCCTGTAGGATCCTTAATACATGTGATTGTACATGGGGTATTACAAGCATCGCGCAAAAGTACATTCTCTTTGCCAATCTACACCTTTCAGGCCACCCGGGGCTCGAGTCCCAGGTTGTATATCCTGTTCGCGTTCTCAAACAACGCACGCCTGGCGATCCCAACGGCTTGAGGGAGGGTGAGCTCGAAGCGCCGGAGCGAACCCTCGAGGACCTGTGCGAGACAGTGAGCTTGCTGCATGCCGGTCCGAAGTGGCTGGGCGTACCTCGAAGAGACATTGGCGGGCCTGCACAGAGCCCAGGTAGTACGATTCGGGCCAGAAGTGGCCGTCAGCTGAGTATGTGCGCCCGATCAGCAAGAGCGAACGCAGCCAACGAAGCGGCACACGCACTCGACCACAAGATCTTGTTCGTCGGCGCGAGCTCGAGGACCTGCTTGAGCGTGTCGCGCTGGCCGTCGGCGCTCACGAAGGGGAAGATCTCGCCAAAGTCCAAGAACACGTTGTCGTACACGGACGTGAGGTAGCCGGCCTCGCGCGTGAACGGGTACGCGGCGTGGAGGAGGACGACCTTCGTGCCCGGGTACGCCTTGACAAGCGGCTGGAGGAGCGCGGGGGACGCGAGCGCGAGCGTGATGTCGCTGTCGCCGAGCCCGGTGTGGAACTGGACGGGCTTGTCGCACTCGCCGGCGACGCGCATCGCGACGTTGACCGCGTAGTCGTTCACGAACTTGTCCGCGAGCCGGAGCGTGCGCCGGGCGGCGTATACGAGGATCATCGTCATGATCACGCGTTCCACCTGGGACTTGTCGGGGGGCACGGCGACGGCGAGGCCGGTGCGGTAGCAGACGATCGACTTGAAGCCGGCGACGGCAGGGTCCTGGCCGAGCGCGGAGAGCGCGCCGGTGAAGCGGGCCTCGAAGGATGTCCAGAGCTCGCCAGGGACGACGTTGTTGGCCATGATCTGCTCGTCCATGGCTTTCATGAGGAGTTCCTGTGGGGATCCGACAGACGCGGGTCAGAAGGAGGAAGTCGGGTCTAGTGCTGGTGTGGTCCGGAGCGACACTCGCCTCTGCGATGGTTTCTATTCGCACTATACGTTTCGTCGGAGCGCCAGTGAACTGGTCGTGCCAGCTGTAGTCGTTCAGCTTGTCGCGGTCGCCCCCGCCGAGGCCGTCGTCGATGAGGATGCACTGGATGCGTGTCGGCTCTAAGCATGACCTGCAGAGATTTTCGTATTGTGCTGCTCGCCGGAACGACTTTATCGACTCCCAGTCCGAGTTGGGGCTCAGTCCGTAGAGCTTCGCAAGCTGCGCGGTGGCGCGATAACACGCGAGGGTAGTGGGGGCGTCTTCTGTAAGACCGCGGGTGCTCTGGGACTCAGTAATGAGGCCTTCAAACTGGAAGGCATCGCGGAACTCGCTGCGCAAGAGCGCGTGGGCGTGGTTGTCGATCGAAGGGTAGTTGAAGACCACCCGCGAGAGCTCCCAGACATCGTTGTTGATCTCCATGGATCAACCTCTGCGAGAAGTCTACAGAAAGGACGGCATGGAACCCCACGATTAGCACGGGCTTCTGCAAAGCTGGAGTAGGAGCTACCTGAGGCGGTCTCTGAGCGGGGGATCGAGGGAAGAAACATGGTGCGATCTGTCAAGCACTGCTTTAAACTCCGACCATTGAGGCTATTTGCAACCAGGATAACTGGCTATACGCGCCTGTCACACGCAAAAGCGGGGTTCGACTCCCCCACAGAGCAAGTCTTCGCGTCCACCTCCCGACGTCGTCCACACTGAGTACTGAGTACTCCCCGCCCACGCGGCAGAAGCCACATGTGAGATACCCCATCTCTACATGTCCCTAGAACGTGTCGTGTGGATCGTGATGGTCTGTCGATCTGCCATCTGCATGCCCCGCTTGTTCCTCACTTGTCCCCACGCGCAGCACATGGGGCCTGCATCCGCCCAAGTATGCGATATCTGCAGCGCCCCGACGTCGACGCTCTATCATTACTACGCCAGCTCCGCGCCGGGGTCGGCGGACAAGTCCGCAAAAAGTCCATTTCGCCGGGCTCGGCTGTCATACGCTCCGGGCCTTGTATATTTAAAGCGCGTCCTCTTCGAACTTCGAGCAGCTTCCGCTCGAAAGGTCCTGCCCGCGAGACCCTCAAGCTCAAGCTTTCCCCCTCTCGTGGAGGCCCCGCCCCTGACCATTGCTCCCACCATGGCGCCCATTCACACGACCTTGCGGCTTCTGTCGTTCGCGGCCTCTCTGGCCTCTGCCGCCGCTCTGTCCATGCGCACCGCCGGCGCGGACACCAAGGCGGCGACAGGGCACCAGGCGAGCGTGCTCATCCTCGGCGGCGGCGTTGCGGGCGTCATCGCCGCGCGCACCCTCCACGAACGGGGCATCGCGAATTTCACCATCGTTGAGGCGCACGGTGCGCTTCTCGTCTTCCTTCTCTCCGGCTGCGTCGGGCTGATGCGTGCGTGTTCGATCTCCCAGGGGAGCTCGGTGGCCGGCTGCACTCTGAGAGCTTCGGTGCGCCGGGGCGGCAGGTGACGCTTGAAATGGGTGCGTGTTCGCGAGGCCCGGACGCCGGCAGCGACTGTCGTTGACGTGTGCGCAGGCGCGAACTGGGTCCAGGGGACGCAGACGGGAGACGGACCCGCGAACCCAATCTGGACGCTGGCGCAGAAGCACGGGTTGAAGACACAGTTCAACGACTGGTTCGGGAGCATCTGTGAGTGCGCGTTCGAGAGAACCGGCGATGGGAGGAGACTGACAGCGAGGGCATTTGTAGTGACGTTCGACAAGAGCGGGTTCGTGGACTACTCGGACGTCTTCAGCACCTCCGAGGACGCGTACGAGAACCTGACGGTGCTCGCGGGCGCGCGGGTTGACCAGCAGCTCGTCGACCTCACCGCGCGCGCCGGGTACTCACTCGTCGGCGCCAAGTCGACCGACGCGCACGCGATGGCGAGCGAGTACTTCCAGTTCGACTGGGAGTATGCGCAGACGCCGGACGAGTCGTCGTGGATCGCGAGCTCTTGGGTGCGATTCACTTTCCCTGCGGCCGTGCGGCGTGGCTCATGTGACTGGGTCGACTGCAGGGCAACAACTTCACGTACGACACGGACCAGGGTGGCTTTGGAGACGACAACCAGATGTCGATCGACCAGCGTGGGTTCAAGCACTTGATCCAGGCGGAGGCGGCGGAGTTCCTCCAGCCCCACCAGACGCGTTTCAACGCCATGGTTCGCAGAATCGCCCACCGGAACGATGGGGTGTCTATTACCCTCGACAGCGGGGAGGTACTCCACGCGGACTACGCTCTGTGCACGTTCAGCCTGGGGGTGCTGCAGCACGACGACGTCACGTTTGAGCCGGCGCTGCCCGACTGGAAGCAGGAGGCAATTCAGAGCATGGACATGGTGAGCGCCTTCCACGGGTTTGTTGCTCATCGTCCACGCGGTGACGGTTTTGGCAGGCGACCTACACGAAGATCTTCCTTCAGTTCCCGGAGGACTTCTGGTTCGACACCGAGGCACGTCACGCACCGCCTGCCGCTCGAGCACGAGGCTGACCGCAACGACGTTTGCGCGTCCGCAGATGGCGCTCTACGCCGACGAGGAGCGCGGCCGGTATCCGGTCTGGCAGAGCCTCGACCACGTCAACTTCTTCCCTGGCTCCGGCATCGTCTTCGTGACTGTCACCGTGCGTCCACCGCGTCCTCTCCTCTTCTTCCGCGGCGCCCTCACACCCCCGTCATCACGCAGGGCGACTACTCCGTCCGGATCGAGGCGCTGCCCGACGCGCAGGTCCAGGCGGAGGTCCTCTCCGTCCTCCAGGCCATGTTCCCGAACGCGACCGTGCCCGCCCCGAGCGCGTTCCACTTCCCGCGGTGGCACGCGGACCCGCTCTTCCGCGGCTCGTACTCGAACTGGCCGCCGTCGTTCTTCGGGCAGCACCAGCGCAACCTGCGCGCGAACGTCGGCCCGCGGCTGTGGTTCGCGGGCGAGGCGACGAGCGAGAAGTACTTTGGTGCGTGGCGGCGACGTGGGGACGTGGACGACGAGCGCGGACGCTGACCGGGACTGCGCGGCTTTCAGGCTTCCTCCACGGCGCGTACTTTGAGGGGCTGGAGATCGCGACGGCGATGGCGAAGTGCATCAAGGGGGGCGGGTGCGCGGGTCTCGAGAACTTCCCCCAGGTGAAGAACGCGTTGCCGTACATGATTTGAGGTTGGAGGCTGCTTTTGTCGGTGATTTCGCCACTTGTATCGATAGGCTACTTGCTCGAAGGGAGATCGACGAGTGTTTCTCGGAACCCACATCCGAAAAGTCAAAGACTTTCGGCATCTCGACAGGCGACTCAGGTAATCAGGCCGTCTTTCGGTGACCTCCTCCAAGGTCTCAGCTTCAGGGTGTGGAAGTACCTTACTCGCTGCCCGCTTCCATCGCTACGTATGAAGCCGCATTGACATTTGGGCCGCCCGCGCCCAGGCCCTTACTCACGCAGACCGCGACGCGCCGCCACGCAGTGATCCGCGCGTGGACGCCAGATGTCTCGAGGTGCGAAGACGCGGTGCAGGTGCACTGAGGTGGTGTACCACGTCGTAGAGAGATCATATGGGCCCATGAACCCATCGGAATATCCACGCGCGAGGGCAAAGTGTGGATGCACAAGACCATCACACCAAAGTGGACGAACAACCGCTTTCCAGAGCGACATCCGAGTGTCGGGTCGTAAGGGGTGGTACATAGGTAGTACATGAAAGCGGCGTACATATAAGCCAAAGATATACAAGAAGAGACAGGACGGCGGGCCCCGGGGAGCCTGCCACATCGTCAGTGGGCCGACCGGCCCGTATGAAAAGTCCGAAAGCGTGCAGTACGAGAGCAGCGAGAGAGCGTGGGGGAAAGCGTCCTGAGTGGGAGTCCGTCCTCCCGGGGGCGCGCATGCACAAGTTGCCATGTGCATCGTCTTTATCAAAGGCGCTCCGAACCTGGGGTTCACTTGCGCGTCGCGAGGTCGACGGTGTAGATCGCGGGGCGGTCGATGTCGGCGAAGTCCCAGTTGGAGTCCTTTTTGATGACGGCGCCGTCGAGGGAGAGCTGCGAGAGCGAGCTCGGGGAGCGGGTCATCGGGTTGCCCGAGTCCGGGCCTTTCTCGCTGTCGTTCGCGAACACGTCCGGGTCGAAGTCGGATTCAGTCAGCACGGCCTCGACGTGCACTGTCCAAAGAACGTCAGAGGTGATGGGGAGTGAAGTTGGTGCGTGAGGTAACGTACAGTAGTGCGCGAGGCCCTTGCCGAAGTTGACCCAGGAGATGACGGCGAAGACGCCGGCTCCGATGAGGCAGAAGGTGGCGACCATGAGCATGCAGGCGAAGAATGGCCATTCAATGAAGGTCCACTGGTAAACCGGGGCATCGAACATGGTGGACCAACAGACGACGTAGGCCACGTTCAGGAACACGGAGATCCCCATAAGAAGCTTCTTTTCACGCCGCACAGCGTACCATCCCTATGCGACGACGACGTCAGGACACGCTACAGCATAACGATCACAACACTCACGCAGATGATCCAAGGTACGATCGTCTGTAGACGGAGATCAGCTTGGTGCATGATGGATACCAGTAAGTCAAACGTACCACAATGGTGAAGACGAAGAGGGCGTAATAGAGGGGTGCTTTCTCGGCGAGATATGCGAGTGAACTTGTCCGCAGCTGGTCGATCCACAGGCTGACAGCAGTGACGGTGAAGAAGAACGAGAGTTGGTGGAACATAGAGCCAATCAGGAAGAACTGCGAACGGGAAAGTCAAGATCAGGCGGGTTATGGTCCGTGTAGTCGCTGCATACCCTGTACAGCCGCATCACTCCGGGGGGAGGAAGAACCCGACGAATAGTAGAATTCTTGTAGCCCTGATGGTCGCCGTCAGTTAAAGATGCAGGAACGAAAGATCGGCCAACGAACCTTGACAATACGCCACGCTAACCAAGACGTCGATGCCCACGCAGTAAAGTTCAGAATCAGCTCCGGGATCTACGAAGCACATCAGCATCGTGCAGCTCATTTATCCCGTAGACCACACCGACCTGGAGTGCGATCCGGGTGATGAAGTACTGCGGGAGGACGTCGAAGTGGCAGAAGGTCGTCGGTCCTGTAACGAGCGTGTTGTATCTGAACTGCACATCTGTTGTCCGCCACAGCGTGTATGCGGCCCAAGCGGTTTGCAAGAACCGAGCAAAGACAATGGCCCAACTAGTTTCGGAGTCGATATAAGTTAGTTTTCAGAACGGATGAATGACTCACATATGCGGGATAGAGTTGTACAAGATCTGGGTGGCTTCGATGGGTTTCACGGCGCGGGAGGAGATGAAGAGCAACGTACCCCGAAGGTGGAGATCGCGAGCAGCCAGAACTGGGAGCCAACAAGTGCAAGATCTTCCCTGCGCGAGTTGTCGAGACTGGACATGAAAAGTTGGTAACGCGAAGACAATTGTACAGACTGAGAAACGTACATGCGAGCAGGGTACTCCAACGTGCGGACGCAAGAGGTGCTGAGAGCTTCTTGCTGGTTTCCATTGTCGAAGATCAACAGGATGGACGAGACGTTCCCGGTGATAGGGTCTGCCACGGCTTGGATGGACGAGTCTTGCGGTCCGCGACGCGTCAAGACCTATGAAGGCGCGGTTGAGGGTGGGAGGAGATAGGATATACGCGCATAGAGTCACGTACCGAACCTGGCTGCTCCTACACCCATACACTCTTTGAACATCCCGTCCGCGCGACACGAGAGACGAACACGCACCGAAAGGAACCTCCCCGCCAATGAAGAGTTGGATGCCCCCATATCCGTCGACCACAACGTCTCGCACGACTTGTACACATCTCCTACAGGGGCCGCAGTGCACATCTTGAGCGTAAGGTCGTCCCCATTGCGGAAGAGCCGCGCGACTTCATTCGGAGGAACCTTGGCGGTGGAGATGACAGTGTTGATGAACGCAGACGAACTGGCGTCCTCTGAGTACAGGAACGCGGCGGTGAGACCTTGTGCGAGGCAGTGGATGACGCTAAGGAGGAAGAAGGCAAGGGTGTGGTGTGTGAGAGTGATGCGAGCCAACTGAGGTGGTGGACGCGTCAGTCAAGCTTTCTAGGGAAAGGGAGTCGCGGGGGCACTTACTGCAGACTTCGCCTGGATGACAATTCTGCTGTTGGATTTCGTCATGTTGCGTGTCGTAGCGAGGAGGAAACGAAGAAAACCAAGGCGCGGACTTTCAAAGCCCAAGAAACCTACAACAATACGCCGAAAAGGAAGACGAAAAGTGTCGGGGGAGAAGAGGCCAAGCAGGCTCTGCCTGGAAGGAGAAAAGCCTACAGAACCGCGGTGGGACGCCCCGTCGTTATTTAATTATGAGCCGCCCAGAGGATGGCGGCTGATGGCCCTCGAAGCAACGGCGATGGCTGTCCAACGATCTCTCGCTAGTAGCTAGTTTGATGTCCGCGTCGGGGTATAATGATGGGCTGAGGGCTGCTGAGGGCTGCTGAGGGATGGATTGGACGAGCTAAACCCCTCCAGTTTCTCTGCGAGTCCACATATATCATTTCCAGGTGCAGCGACAACAGACCAATGGATCACCTCGCACGAACACCGCCCGTCATCTGAGTGCGGTTCGCATCCACAGGTCACGTACTCACGAGCAGAAGAACACGGCACAGGCGCACCCATCAACTGGGGCGCGGGCCTGACTTGAGGTCTTCCCGCACTCTGGGCCCTTCGACTTGAACAAGTTGCGGGGAACAGTCTGAAGCATCGCATCATTTGCGCAGCTCCTCCAGGATTTACGCAGGCGTGGGGAAGGAGCGCCAAGCTCGGGCCTACATATCAGCGTTTCATCGCGACGGACGACCCGACGTCGTATCAATTTGGTCGCAGCGGGGCTTTGGGTGGTGTAAAGATGCATACACGGAGCATCATGCATCTTGCGATGGTGGATAAAAGCGGTGTGCACGGATGACGCGGAGAAAGAGCAGGACATGGGGAGAGCCAGGCAGGAGCAAAGGCCGAGCATATGGGCAAGGGCAAGTATATAGACGCACATAATTGATGCAGCCAGCAGTACTTACACATGCTATAACATGACGTCATTGGCCCTTTATGATGGCCAATTCTCCGAACGACTGCGCACGAGTTGCATGCAAGACCCGACGGGAATTTCGGCTCGAGCTTTCGCAGGGGCGCTCGTTCGCCTCTATCCCATTAATTGCATCAATTAAAAGCAATCGCCGTGCAACAGTACATGCATGCCAGATAACGAGCCAGGCTCACTCCGCAGCAGGCAGGTCAAAGCCCGCAGCGTGCAGAAGCGTGGCGAACTGCAAGCAATACGCCATCAGGACGGAAGGCAGCCAGAGCTCAAGGACAGGACAGACCTGAATCTTCGCGATGGACTTGATCTGGTCAAAGTCGTAACCTTCACGGTCGCTCAGGTCGCCTGCGCATGCATATAGTCAGTCAAGCAGATGGCGAACACGAAAGGCGCTTACCGCTGTTGTGGTACATGGGATCTGCGATGGGTCCCGCACGCTCGAAGACTTGAGTCGCGGGAAAGCCCAGGTTGTGGAAGCTCTGCAGGGCGGCGCCTGTGAGAAGGTTATGAAAAAGCAGAGAGATGACTGCTCGCCTGGTGATCACTGCAGCACGCAGGGGTAAAGCCAACAGAGAGCTCAGGGCTGTAGATCGCCGATAGGTTGGACACAAGCTGAGCGACCTCAGGAGTACCGATACTGGAGAGAGGTGCGGCAATGACACTAAGCCTCTCGCTTCACCGCACATTCATCCGGGATCACTCACAAGTCAGGAAGCCCGAGCTGGGCTGGTTCGCCAGGTTTGTGGTACCCGAGCATGTCCGCCTGTATCATGAGGGTCAGGTTCGCCCCGCCCTCGTACATCTCACGCGCGTAGTAGCGCGAGCCATAGAGGCCCTGCTCCTCGCCCGCGAAGGCGCAAATCTGCACGTTCTTGCGGAAGGTGATCCCCTTGCGTGCGATGGTGCGTGCAATGCCGAGGAGCGCGATAGTGCCAGAGCCGTCGTCGTCGCCCCCGGGCGCGCGCACGCTCCCGAACGACCCGCGCGAGTCGTAGTGGGCGCTGATCAGGACCGTCTCTGTTGTGTTCTCCGTCCCTGGGTACTTGCTGAGGTGCGCGGGAAAAGGGGGTGGGGAATGACGCGTCAAACGACACTCCAGGTATGCGTGGATGAAGGGGACGCGTGCTCACCAGATGACGTTCGGAGTGAAGCCAGAGAGGAACGGCTTGAGCTCGCACGTCGCGCCGTGCGACTCGAAGTTCGCCTTGAGCCACTTGGCGGCGATCTGGGCGCCCTGCGAGAACGAGTGGCGAGAGACGATCTCGGACGCCGGGCTCTCGCCGGTGAGATAGCGGATGTCGGAGCGGAGCTGGGCGATGGAGATGTTGTTGACTATTGAGGCAACGTCGGGGTCAAACTTGATGCCGGAGAGGATGTCTTTGACGTGTTCGACCGCCTTGGACGGCACCGGGACGAAGGGGATGGGCTCCACGGGGAGGGGGGACGCGCGCCAGAAGCGGGGGAGGTGCTGGTCGAGCGTGAGCGCGACGTCCTTCTCCACGGAGACGAGCGCGTGTCCTGCGCTCGCCCAGACGACTTCCGCGGCTGAGCGGGGGCTCATGACGACCTGGTCGCCGACGGGGGCGTCGTGTACGGTGATACGCGCCAAAAAGTCGAGAAGGTTCTCGTCATTCTGAAGCTTAAGAGTCTCCTCTACCGCCTGGTGTTGCAGCCACACGAGTTGCGTGTCCCGCGAAGCTGGCTTGTTGAACACACCAGCGACGGAGTGGTCGACGTCGAGGAGGTTGGCCGCGCAGTTGTTGTCGCTGGTGATGTAGAGGTGTCCCGTGCCGTGGCTGCCGTAGTAAGACTGGGATAAGCACGAGTCCTCAGCTTGAGGCGGGCTAGGCGAGAATAGGAGGAATGCGGCGGAGGCAGTCGACAACAACATGGTCGCACGAGGAGGAGGAGGACGCCGTCGTGGTCGTTGTCGCGCGACGCCGACAACGTCATTGCCGCTCACAAGCCTTCGGCCCGCTGGCCGGAATTGGCGCGGAGGGTCGTTGCGACCCAATTATACGTTCCGTCGAAACTGACCTCGGTGATGAGCAGACTGTTCAATATTGGGTGAGATACGGAAGACAGGGTGCATGACACTGAGCCGGCCGGTGGGTGATGTCCACCGGCTCTCGGACTCCAGTCATTATGTTGGAGTCCAATGCGCCGCCCTGCTTGTGGGACGCGCAACCAATGTCGGCAGGGTACATCCTGACAATAATATTGCTGACCGGAAGCGAAAGGGTGCGTGTAAAAAAGATAACACTCCATTCGCGGAGAACTAGGTGGATCGGAGACGTATACAAACACACCCACGACCCAAGTTGAAGCCCAAGCGAAGCTAGACAAAACTGTGTGGGTAACAAAATTTCACTGTAGATCGATACACTGCCCCAGCGTCGGGATATGATACATAATGAGCTCTGTTGTATGTACTTTACTTCTTGCCTTTCTTCTTCTTTTCTCCTGAGCACTTGATCCACTGCTCCGGAACCCCGCGGGCAGACAAGAACTGGACGACGGCCTTCGTCTGGCTCCCTTGAACCATGATTTGGATCCACGTCTTGCGCTCCACCGGGCTGAGAGACGTCGAGCTCGCGCACGCCTTGCGAAGCCCGTCCGCGAGGTCGTCCGTCTCGAGTCCGAACGGCTCGTAGCCGGTGATGAACGTGCACGTCTTGCGCCCGTTCCGGGCCTTGACCGCGACCGCGATCGGCTGGATCTCGCCCTTCCTGTTCGCACGCGTCACATTCATAAGTTCGGGTCAAGAGAGGCAGACGCACCCGCGAACGGTCTTGCGGTCGTCGCCGCCGATCTCATGCCAGGCCTGCATGTTCGCGCAAACGCGCTTGAGGACATCGTCGCGCTTCACGAACTCGAGCTCATTTTCGCCCTTCTTTGCAACTGCGAGTGCGAAAGCTGTTTCCAGGCCAACATTGATGTATTGTTGGTCGTTTGGGTTGACGAGCCTCTTCGTGGCGATGTATTCGTTCACGATCGTCTCGATGTCCGCGATGGAGTACATCTCCGACGTTCTGGAGAAGGCGGTTGGAGAGCATTAAAAGAGAGATTACAAACGCTTACTCTTTCTTTGCTGCGACGAAGAGCGGAACTGTGTTCTGGACAGGTTGCCAGAGCCTTCTGATCCGGATCTCGCTCTTGCGCTTCTCTTCCTCCGCCTTGGCTTTCTGTTCGAGTTCTTCGACGCGCTTCGATTTAGCCTCCAGATCACCTAGGGTGCGGAAGGAGTGTCGACTGAGCACCGCCTGGTGCTCTGGGTGAACTCCTGGACGAGAACCTTTAGAAAGTTGAGTATGGAGCTCGATGCAAGACTCGCCTGTGACGACAATGTCCCCCTTGACGTCTTTGACCTTGATCAGACCTTCTTTCGCAGCAGCCTTGAGGAATGACTTCGCGTTTTTGTGGGTCGAATGCTTGACGTCGAGAGAACTTGCGTCTTCGGAGATCCCCATAAGCGCTGATTCAGGATGTGTTGACAGATGCACTCACCAGATAGGCCGTGTATTTCCAGTGCATAGGCGGGACGTGCCGGCAGGACGTATGAACTCCAGAACGTGGTGGCAGGCATCGGGAATGTCATAATGGGCGCCCTTGCGAAAGTGACGCCAATCGTGTGGAGCAGCGCAGCATGCAAATAGTCGGATACGTCTGCAGCAACAGGCAGTCAGCTTCTTTTCGTTGCGGTGTATGCATTCGTACCTTGAGGAGTCAGTTCGCGTATAGAGATCGCTTCGTCCGACCCGTCGGAAGGTTCGTCTTCCGCTGGCGATGCTTCAGCTTGTTGTCCGTCGTTCGCAGGCTCCGCAGACTCCGCAGGAGGTGCTCGAGGTGCAGGGGGGTCAGCTTCTTGCTGGGGCCCATCTCCCACAGAGCATCTTTCCATGTATGCCAGACGTAGACGGCCTTGCCTCTGAGATCCTGCTCGTCCGCGGATCTCAGTGTGTCGGAAGACACTGCCATTCGGCCGACCGCGAGCGGGGGCCCGATGGCGCCCCTGTGGTACTGTGTCACCGCGACGAGTTGGTCTGGTGCCAGAGCGGTGGGGCTTTGCACGACTGGTACGGATCGGATGACGGGTACTCAGCGTCTGTTCTAGATGGAGGATGTCATGAGGGATGCACCTCCCGGGATCATGAGATCGGCGCCTCCGATGAGCTTTGGGACGACCGCGGAGGGCGTGGAGAGGAAAGGGAGCATCTCTGGACGCTTCCAGAGAGTGTGTACTGGTGTTTTTGTCAGAGGTGCTTCCAAGGAGATCGGTATAGAGCTCACCAGTGGGGATTAAGTCTTCCGAGCCCTTCCCGATCGTGAACCAGAGTGGGTCGCCGTCAGGAGACAGATATACGACCTGGTATTGGCGTGAGTGGTGTTACGTCAACCACCGAGATGAGACCAGGTGTACCCCGGTTCGTCGAGGTAAGTGCTAAACTTCTGAGAAAGCAGTCCATCGGGTACCAAGGCGTCCCCTTCTTCTGGTGGGATCGAGGGGAACGCCTGCAGGACTCGTTGCCTGAGTTTCCTGCGATCAGTGCTGCGCAGGGGCGCTATAGGCGGCTTAGGTTTAATGTATGTTGGCTTTAAACACACATACCAGTTGTCTTCAGCTCTCCCAATGGCTTCTTGAACATCGTCTTGAGCAGAGAGCAAGCAGAGAGCTGCGGTAGCCATTAAGCGCCCGTAGGAGAGCGAAATGACGTGATCTGAAAGTCTCACGCTGGACGCGGCGCCGGAGTTCGAATCCGCGTGCGAGCACTGGCAACGTGAGTTTCTGTGCGCAGCAATTCCTCCTCGCTTCTGCTACTATGTACTAGCGCCTCCTCCTGAGTCCTCACCCTATGACCACATCCATTTCCCACTTTCATTTTCGAGACGATAGGTACACATGATAACTCACCTACTTTCTACCCTCGTAATCACGGGTACCTACCCCTGTCGGATAATTGGAGCGCCCGAACGACACGCGAGATTTCGTTCGCCGACGGGTCTTGTCTCTTGATCATATTAAACGCTGAGCTCTCCCTCCAGACTCCAACCACGATAAGCGAATCTCGACGCCAGTGCTAGGTATGGTTGCCGTTCATGTCCCTGAAAGCCGCCGTCGACTGATGTCCTTACAGCGACAATGCCGACCGCATCAAACAGTACAGGAGTCGTGGAGGAGATGGAGAAATTCGCCGACTCTAGGGACGATCCGCTCTCACACATCCCACCTTCTGAAATGCTCGACGTCACTCTCCCTCATCTCCGCACAGAAGTCCCCACCGACACGTCCGAGGCGTTTTCCAACCCTGCTCGTCTCGCATACGCCTCACTCAAAGCGCTCGCCACCCTTGACTGTGTCACTCGCAAATCAGCCCTAGACACGGACGCAACCTACTCTTTGCTCGGCGCATCAAGGAAGCGTGGGATGACGTCTACTCCTGGCTCGCGTTCATATTCGCGTCCCGGGTGGAAGGACTGGCTCACCGATCCTCGTCGCGACGCCGCGTCCTTCACGCTCGTCCGCGTGTGGTGCAACATCCTTTGGACCGATGCTCAACCTCTTCTTCAAAACGCGCCCGGAGCCGTGAAGATGGCCACTCGCCTCTGGCAGAACTTCGCACAGTACAGTCGGGGTCTTTCCGTTCAATCGCAGCCTCTGGACTACGGCACGTACATGTTCTACAACTTCCTCAGCTCCAGAAAGCGCTCTGAACAACCGCTGGACGAAATTGTCGCCGAAGGTGGAGGAGACGCGAAGACCTTTTCCAAGCGCGCTGTCGCGCAACTCGTCGTGGCTCTCGCTGAGGCCAAGGGAAAACAGGAGAACAATGCTGGACACGCGTCGGGATGCTCATCGACATCATCGATCTCTTTCACCTCTCGGAACCGATGTTCGACGAGTTCCTTGCCAACCACGTCACCATCATCGCCACCAAGGCCCTTCGTGAACTCGTTCTTCTGCCTGATGGACCACCAGTCCCGCACGCCCTGAATCGCATCATTCAGTTCCTCTCCCATTGCTTCGAGGTCGGCGAGGGGTTCTTGTGGTTCGCGCAGGCGGTGAAATCGGGATTCATCGACGCGTTCTGCGCTGCATGCGCGTTCCTCCTCAAGAGCGGAAACAGCTCCGAATACCTCGAAGTCATGAAGGACACCTTCGAGCTTTCCATGACATACCTCGTCTACCGGTCCGTGATCGAAGCCGTCGTTCCCGCTTGCAGAGAAGCCCGTCATGGTCCCTTATGGATATCATCAAAAGTGTCCCCCTGCGTTTTTGAAGTTTGAGACGTTCAAGGGGTTAGCTGAAGGCCGATTTCACCTCCTGAAGGACTTCAGAACGAAAGGATCCGATGATAAGCAGCACCTCCAGTGTTTAATTCCTCGGTGAGTTGTCACTGATCATGGACGCTGCAATGACTAACCACGTCTCACAGTGCAAGAAGAAAGGATCTAGGGAGATGGGATGCGTCGGTGTACCGGATGCCGGATCGCACATTACTGCTCGAAGGTCAGTACTTCAAGGCGAAGCACAGGCGACGATATCTGATCGCCTCTCATCCGCCATATAGGAATGCCAGACGAAGGACTGGAAGGCCCACAAGCCCAACTGCAAGTATCGCCAACACATCTTGAGGAGAGTGAGTATCCGTCCGTGCTGATTTTGCATGTGTGATGACGGGATTTTTTTTCCGATTGGCGACAGCGGAGGAGCGCAGGCGCACCACACGTATAAAGCGCCGCAGCGCGACATGGAGTTCCTGGCCGAGCTCATGGTCGTGATCGCGCGGGACAACATCCGCACGGTCCGCGCCGCCGCGCTGCTGAACTTCCCTCACCTGGCCCCGACAGAGCTCGTCATCTGCATTGACCACACGGTCTACCCGCTCAAGTTCTCCGTGAAGCCCCTCGAAGGCTTCTCGACCGCGACCGAACCGCATCACACCAACGCGGCGGTGGAGAGCATCCGCCGAGCGGTGAAGGCGGCGAACGGCCGCACGACGATGTCAGCATGGCCGTCCCTTTCGGCAAGTACTTCCAGAATGCTCAGGTAGCCGCGCCGAGCTTCATCTGGACGCCGGAGACCATGTGTGAGCACCACAAGCATGACACGCGCTGGCGGTGATATCGACGCACGTCATCCGTGGAAGTGGAACGGCTTGGTTTCTCAAATATGTTGAAGTATATACTATGTATACCAGTCACCTCGTGCCCATCACGCGTCGAGAACTTGCGAGATGCCAGCGGGCGCAGCGAGCCTTAAATCACATGTCGGCATCTCGGCGTAGTCTCGCCAGCGGCTCGACATCCGCGTCCACAGCCATGATCCGGCATTGCGGCCGTGCGGCTTGGCGGGCGTCGAGCACGGCCGGCCATGCTACTACAACCGCCCGCTCTCACTGCCAGAGCATCCTCGTTACCGTTGAGGCTGGGCTTGGAGTACGATCCGAGGTGGGTATCGCTATCTGTCTTTGGAGGACGCCGCTGATACGGCTCGTTCAAGCTCAAGGCTGCCCCAGACTTGTGAACTCCTCTCACAAGCTGTTTAGTGTTCCCGTCCACCGAATGGACTCAAGTCGTGTGTTTACGCATGCCTTTGCACATCAGGACGTTTTCCCGCCGTTTCTACTGGAGGTGTGCGGTGGACCGAGCAACGTCGACGGCTTCTCTCGGCATCGCAGCACGCTCGCCCAAGATTAAAGCGGGCGTTCGCGCGCGCTCCTCTTTGTCCCCACTACCACCATGGTCGCGCCTGCTGCCCTCACCATGCTCTTCGTCTCCATGGTTGGTCTCGAGCACCTCCCGAAGGCGTACGACTGCCTCTGGCGCTCGTACCACGGCATCCTAGGTGCCCAGCATGCGTTCATCGTTGATGATCGCTGCCTCCACTCCTCGTTTAGCATCCTTGAGCTCGGCACAGGGGTCCGTCTCTCGCATACCGAGAACCTCGTCTGGGCATCCAGAGACCCGGTCGACCCCTCTCTTGACGACACTCCGCTCAACGTCGCCCTCGGCCAGCTAGAGCGCAACATCACCGCTTTTCGCCCTACTGCTCACGAACACCCTGCGGCGCAACTTCATCTTGACGTTCCCCGCAACCGCGTTCGCGCCATCCACCGAGGGCAAGACGGCCTGCTTCTCTCCGCGTCTCCGCACGACACGGCCGCCCTCGGGGCGGTTCTCCCGCGATATTGGAGCCTCACTCCCGTCTCGCCCTTTCCCCGCCGCCTCCTCCCTGTTCCCGCGTCGACCAAGCAGCACCTCCGCGACCTGCTTCCGACCATCCAATTCGATCCCGTCACCGCTGCGGTCGTGAACGGCATCTCGATCCCGCACCTACCAACGACATCCGATATCTCACTGGTGAAGATCCAGCGTCGCCCATCGCGTCGCGCCATTCCTTCTCGCAAGACGCCCCCCTCGCGGCCGCGTGGATCAAGCGACAGATAGAGGCCACCGGCGCGACGTGCGCTCTCAAGCACTACAAAGAGAACTTCGCGCCCAACGTCATCTGGTAACACTCCCTCCTCCCTTCCATCCGATGGCCCTTCGTTGACAGAACTCTTTTGCAGCGAGTACCCGGCGTCCGCGCCCGGCACCTCCAACGCCCTCGTCGTCCTCGGCGCTCACTACGACTCGCGCGGCTCGTTTGGGTCCGTGCGTGCGCCCGGCGCGAACGACGACGGGTCGGGCACGGGCGCGCTCCTCACGATCGCGCGTGCGGTCGCGCGGCGCGGCGTCGCCTTCCGCGGACGCGTGCAGCTCTGCGCGTTCGCGGGCGAGGAGCAGGGCCTCGTGGGCTCGCGCGCGTACGCCGGTCAGTCTGCGGTCTGATTCTTCGAATGCAGTTGAGATCCGGTCGTGCTCACGTATGGCGCGGCCGCAAGGAGCCTGGCGCGGCGCGGTGCCAACGTCACAATGATGATCCAGGCGGACATGGTGGGGTACCACGCCCCGGGGGAGCCCGCGCAGCTCGGTCTCTCCAACCCCGGGTTGTAAGTATCGCGGCTTACGACCTGGGCCCGATCTAAACGCGCTCGCTGATGTGCTTGTCGCAGCGAGGGTTCTCCAGAGGTGGTCGCCATTCTCGAGCGTACGGCCGCGCTCTATAGCCCGAGCTCCAAGTTGGGTACATGCGAGCCGTACGTGCTCCTGGCACCTGTTTACCACGCTTGTCGCTGAGAAGTCGTTCTTTGAAGGCCGTTCCCAGCGATCATGTCAGCTTCTACGAGGTTGGCTTCCCTTCTTCTATACTCGCGGAGCGGATAGGGTGGTTCAACGATCCCGCGTACCACGATTCTAGTGAGGGTTGCGATCGATGTTCGCTAATTGACCTTGCTTTCTGACCGCACATTTCCATCCAGCTGATCTCAGCTCGCGCGAAGGCTACTCGTTCCAGCATATCAAAGACATCGCGAAGACGCAGGTGCGCGGCTTACCATGGCGGGAACGAGATCGCGGTTGACTGACTGTCCGATAGCTCGCAGCAGCTCTTCACGTCGCGGGGTACGATCTGCGGGAGGACGAGATGTAGGAAAGTATGCGTGCACGCCGCACGCCGTTCTGTTGTCATGGGTTTCCTGTTGTACCTTGGTCTTCACTGAGACATTGGTGTGCCACGCCTACACTGTAATGATTCATTTGGCTGGGCTTGGGGGCTCGATCACTGTACCAAGACGTGTATATCGGAATAGAATAATACATCGAAAGAGCGCAACACTTTAGTATCTCTGAGAGAAGATATGAACCAACACATTTCACGGACGCCAGCATCATCGCAAGCGCGCACGGTGCCTGTGATGCTCCCGCGTGTGCTCCGGTCTCCAGATGAAGCTCAGTGCGGACACCCAACTGTTCTGGGAGTGCTTGCCGAACGGCCAATCCGTGTAAAGCGACGTTCACTCTCGCGCCCATCGCGCGTCGTTGAACAGCAATTATGATGTTACACCATTTAAGAAGTGTTGTAGTACAGAGGTCACTAGACGCGTCCAGGACAAAATATAAACGACTGCTGGGTTCTCTACCGTACACCTCCCCACCCTCGAGTCCCAACACCTGCGCCCCGCTCTCCAGACCCAGACAGACGGTAGTAATCAAGGTTATAACTTAGTCGCAATGTAGCTCGAAGAAGGCGTGAAGGATGGTGCGGCGGCCGCGGCGGGAACGAAAAAGGTGCAGCGCGGGGCCGGTCGTGGGTACTCGTGACGCGTGAAGGCGCGAAGGCCGGAGTCGTAAGCGAAGAACGGGGTGCGCGCGCATGGCGAGTGGGGGTGTTCTGCAGCGCGTGATGGTTAGAGTCGCGCGCGCGACGAAGGCAATGGCGGAGGAGACGTACTACGCTCACAGCGCGGCGCGAGGGGCGGGGGATTGCTTCATGCAATGGTGCACGTGGAGTGGTCGCCGCCGGAGCCGGTTTCGCGGTCGACGAGGATGTCCTCAACGGTGGGCTCGTCGACGGGGATGGGAGAGGCGATGACGAAGAAGGCGTCCATTGCGGAGTGTGTGGGAGGAGGAAGTTGAAAGGTGGTTTGGGGAGCGGTGGAGAGGAGAGGGCGGAAGCTGGGAGAGGACTTCGCTGCTGTCCCCTCGGACGCTCGGCTATGGGATTTATACGCCCATGGCGCAGCGGAGCGCCACCGCGTGCATGCGAGCAATGTCGTCGACGGAGCTCAGGAGGAGGCCGCGGGCGACCAGGATCTCGGCCTGGCGCGCGCGCGACCGCTGCGAGGGCGAAGACAATAGCAAGAAGCGCCCGATCAGCAGGGGTGCACCAGTATTCCGGCCCCCGCACCGTTAGATTCGCGCGTCAACCTATTTCGCTGAAACAAGAGCATCAGAGAGCGGGATAGAGGGGTTCCGGAAGGGGCGAAGACAATACGCACCATCGGGCGCGTAAGACCGGATTACGCTGTTGGCCTCCCATCGCAGCCCATCGCCCGCGGTGAGCCGCGGTGGATAGGGCACGCACACGGGCCGAACGGCATTGCATGATGGGAGGCGTTTCATATCCGGAGCAGCTAGCGTCCGCAGGCTAAATCTCATGTCCTCAGAACTTGAGTCAGGGCATGAGATTCGTCCCAATTGTGTTGCGGGCACGAATGGCGCGCTCGGCGAGTTCTCGAGGCGGTCAATCTGGTGTAAACTCCACGCTGACCAAGACGGATGAATCACGGTGGAGATGCAGGCTCGAGGTGTGGTAGCGCCTGAGATCAACGTGCACGCTGTGGAGCGGGGTTCGGGCATGGGGCGTGTGCACACAAAAGAGACGGCGCTGAGCATGACGAATCGACAGAATCTTGATCCATAAGGATAGAAGAGTACAGCACGACTCTTTGAAACGTGGCTTTCACAATTGCACGGGGACTAGAAGAGGCGAGTCAGAGACCAGCTGGACACGGAAACTGGGCTAATCGTAAACCTACGGACGTTCGAACACTCTCTTGAGGCCTTGATCAAAATTGTGGGATGATATTAGTGCAAGAACCTCGCATATGGCCGAGGTCCGTGAATGATTGTAACATTTGGTGTTGGCCGTGGATGCGACATGGAGGAAAAAGGCAAGTGAGATAAGCGCCTTTGGGCATCAGCTCGTACTTCTGGTTCTCTCCTGGTACATATGTACGTCACTCCTCTCCGGCGCGATGAGTCCCGTTTCCATTCCGTTATACAATGCTATTCAAAACACATAGAACTACAACACGTGTATCATGCCACACACCAAGCTCAGGGAGAGCCAGTCCGATACTCTACATCTAGTCGAGAACACTGCTTCGTTTTGTTTCGAGCCTCGCCGCATCGCCTCCCATCCAGCCACTCTTGCCCGGGCCTCCGCCACCACGGCGGGCTCACTTCGTCTCTGCGAAGCGCCACAGCGCCGGCACAACCTCGTTCGCGCTCAGCCGCCACTTCGCGTCCGTCGCCTTGTTGCTCGTCGAGCACGTCTCCGCGCCGTCGAGCTCGTTCAGCCGCCTCAGCAGCTTCTCGTCCTTGCCGACCGCGAACACGAAGTCGAACTCGCTCTCGCTCTCGGCCTCGGGCGCGAGCAGCCCTGCGCCCCACGCGACCGCGGCCGCGACGGCGTGACCGGGCACAGCAGGCCCGCCGGGGTGCATGATGGCTCCGACGGCGGTCGAGCGTGAAATGTTGGTGGGGAGGACGAGGAAAGAGGTAGAGCCGGGGACGATGCGGATCCCGAAGCGCTCGCCGAGGGAGTCGAAGATGTGGTTCTGCGCTTCGGCTGCCTGTCGGCGCGCCCACAGCCAGTCCGAGGCGTTGGGGTCCGAGGTCTCCCCCGTCCAGAAGCGCCAGACGACAGAGGCTTCGCGCTCTTCAATGAACGCACCAGGAGTGCGTTCGGAGAACTGCGAGTACGATGTCAACAAGGTGCTCGGCGGAGAGAAGAAGTTGTACGCACGTATTGCAAGGTCTCCATGCACGCCGCCTTCCACGTGAGATTGAACTTCTCGACCATGCTGATCCAGTCCGACTTGTGGCCTTTGTCGGAACGCGGCTTGATGAAGCATCCGTTCTCCGCGCTGCAGGTCACAATGTGAGCGTCGAATCTAAAACGGGGAGGTCTCAGGGACGTACATGATGCCAATCGTTGGCGCCTTCTCGACGACCACGTCCAATACGTCCCTTGGAAGCCCGCTGAGGAGCCAGACCTGGTTTCTCGGGTCATCCGCGAGACGACCAAGCAGCTTCATAGTCTCCTCCGGGGGCTCAAATTCTTTGTGACCTCCGGCGGCAACCCCTGCATTGATCGCGATGGTGCCGATGTCGCGCTGCCAGATTGTACCCTCGAAGTCGACAAGCATCAGGCGCTTCTGCGAGTGGCGGTAGCGGGGGAGGATCCGGTTCGCATCAAGAGTGGCGACTGTCTGGGTCTCCGCGTTCTGCGTGTGGTCGATGTTCGCACGTAGGCAGCGAACAAGGAACGAGGTCACGAACGCCTGAGCGCTCTGGGTGGCGACGTGGTTGTGCAGGTCCTGTAACGATGTCATGAGCTAACGAACCAGAGGAGGAGCAAGGGTACTTACCTCCCAGCGAGAGGTAGCTTCCTCGTCCGTCATGGTGAGCGCCTGGTGAATAGCTTTTGCCGTCCCCTGCTTGTCCCAGGGGTTTACGGGAATGCACGACCTGAACCCGCTGTAACTGTAGGACCCGGTGAACTCGCTGAGGATGAGGGGGCGGTGGCGTTGTTCCTGGCATTCGACGAATTCGTGGGCGCGCAGAGCCATTCCCTCGCGCAGACTGGTGACCATGAAGGCGTCGGCAACAGTAAGGAGGGCAAGGTACTGGCTGAAAGTGAGGTCTTGCGTATGCAGGAAGACGACGGGCTGGTACGTGAGGGTCGAGAAGCGAGAGTTGAGGTGTGAGATGACGTCGGCAACAGCGCCCTGGTTCTCGTTCTCCTCCGTCGTCTGCAGAGCGACCTGGATGAGGACCACCTTGCCTTGGTATTCGGGGTACTTGTCGAGGAAGGCTTCGAACGCTTGAATCTTCAGGCGCACACCCTGGATCCCGTCAAGCTTGTCACGTCCAACAATCAGGGTCATCCCAGCGTAGCGTTGGCGGAGCGACTTGACCCATTCAACAACCTCGGGTTCTTGTCTAGATATAAGATCAACACAAGGTAACCGCTGAAGAAAAAAAATGCTCACTTCTTGGCTGTGATGCTACCAACATCAATTCCCATGGGGAACACTCCGACATCGACGAAGCGGTCTTCGAGCTGAACGCCCTTCGGCAAAGCTTCGGCCGCAAGGATACGGCTGACTGTCTGACGGAAATGGCGGGCGTAGTTCGCGGTCTGGAAGCCAATGAGGTCCGCGCCGAGAACACCCTTGAGAAGATCCTGGCGGACGCTCAAGCACCGGAAGATCTCGGAAGATGGGAAGGCGACATGCATGAAGAAGCCAATCGGCGCGTTCGGAAGGCGTTCGCGGAGCATAGAAGGGAGGAGCATGAGGTGGTAGTCGTTAACCCAGATGATGTCTCCCTCGTTGTACGCAGAAACGATCGCGTCGGCGAAACGTTGGTTGACGGCAACGTATTGTTTGAACGACCCGCTCTCGTAGAATGATTTGGTCTTCGGCGCATCAGGGATGGCATAGTGGAGGGCGGGCCAGAGGACTTGGTGACAGAACTCGTCGTAACAGCTCGCGAAATCCGAGTCCGCAATCCAGACGGGGAGACTGTCGCGCTCCTCGCGCATGCGCCACTCCATGTTGCGACGCAGGCTTTCACGGAAACCGTCCGTGTTCGTGCCGAGTGTACCTACCCAGAGCTTGCGTCTGAGTCTGTCGCCTACACTGTCTATGGCGTTCTTGAGACCACCATTGCACTAACAGTACGTCAAAATCTCAGTAGAAGCGGCTTATGAAGGGAATCTAAACGTACGTGGGGGTTATTCTGTACATGCCACTTCTGGCTGTGCGAGCTAGACTCTTGTCGGCTGGCGGACAAGGACCGAGAGGCGTTGCGCTGCGTGGACGAGCGCGACGAACGGCGTTGTATGCGGTGTTGGGCACCCTGACTGCCATGGTGCGTCGTTTGGTACTGGCGAGTGCTGGCAGGGGACGTTGGCGACGTCGCTCCACCGACCGGCGCTTTCGACCCGTGGAGTTTGTTTGCCAGGGCATCCAGTAGCGAGTACGCGGGCGAAGCGGAAGAGGTAGAAAGCTTCGCAAATGGGTTTATTGGCTCTGAGCGTGGTGTTGTCGAAGGGGTGGGGTGACGACTCTGCGATCAATAGTGAGTATATGCGCTCACCCACAGCTAGAACTACACTCGTCGTAGGTAGACTCAATTTGTAACCGTCGGTAGAAGACACTTTCATGAGATACAACTCCATGTATCACATGAAGCACCCTCCATACGCTCTGATCCCCACTCGAGCATTTTGGCATACTCCCAATAACTCTGATCTCCACCGACGCATGCAGCCAAGCATCGCAGGGACTGAACGGCTCACCTTGTCTTTAAGATCTTCCACTATACTCTTCAAAGGTCCGGAGGTCCGGGAAAGTGGGTGCGGTCGGCCGTGGGCACTCGAGGCGGCGAAGGCGGGCCCCGGGCCGAGATGAATAGGTGGGATCTCTGCTGCCGGAGACGAGGGCAGGGACTCGCCGAGCACGGCGGTGTTGGGAAGGAACAAAGAGGCGATGATGACCCGGTGATGCCTAAGCGAGCTCATCGTGGACGACGGGGAGGGGAGAGGGCGAGAAAGAGCAGCGAACAGAGCGACGCTTTTGAATAGGTGATCGTCCTCATCGGTGACGTCACGTGTGTCGTCGGCTGCTTCGCCGCTGTTCCGCTCGTCGTCGACGGAAGGCCGACCTTTCCCCGCCCTGTTCCTCGTCGACAAACGTGGGCCAGCCACGGCCATCGATCCCGCCCATCCTCCGTTTTCGTGCTGGCCCAAACGCCGATCCCCCCTTCAATGCGTTCTTGAACACCCAGCAATCTCTTCAGTACGTATTTATCTGGTCAAGCTCACCAACCGCTTGGCTGCTTTCAGAGGGTTTCAATGCTGGCGGTCCGACCGCCGGGGGCATGCCCGCTCCCTCCAGGTCTCGGCCGACGTTGAAACGTTGACGATGCGAGGAAACAACGTCCCAGACGGGCAGTGGTTTTCGCGGCCATAGACCGGCCCCGAACCATTCGATAATCAACGACGGTCGCCAACCACGGTCGCCAACCAGGTCTCAGACACAAGCCATGCCTAGGAGGGTGGATGGGGCAGGATCAGCAAGAGGGCGCATAGTCATGGACCGGTTCGTTCACAGTGTGTATACCATGCATGTTCGCCGTTCCCCAATCCATCGAGCTCTTGCTTTAGCTTCCATCACTACATTCGTGTGACACACCGCCTTCAAAGCACGTTCTCGTCTCCCGACATTCCTTCGAAGGTCACAAGCCTCTTCTAGACGGCATGGATCCGCACAATTATGTGGTGTGAGGTCCTTCGAACTGTGCTAGGGGCCTCGGGCATTGGATAACTGAAGAGGCAAGGCTAGAAGTGTCGACAGGTAAACCCATCATTAGTTTATGCACGATCTCTCTTCTGACTCGCCTCCTCTAGTGGCCCTTCAAATGGCGAAGCCGCACTGCAGAGCCCGTTGCGATAAAACCTATGCTACTCCAATGTCACGTCAGTGAGGGTCTTCCTACCTGTCGTTCAGAAGGTAGCCCGGCCAGCTATTTTGCAATGAGTATCACGAAGTGCCTACGTACCCAGGCCAATTTTCCTGTCCTAATCCTCCATTTTGGTTAACATCAAACTCTGCAATCACTTACACACGCAGGCCCAATGCATATGGGACGAACCCACCTCGCGTCCTAGGATCCCAATGTGAAACGCAAAATACCTTCCTCGTTCTGAACATTTCCATGATCCCAACTCCGAACGCCCAATTGTTGAAGCTCTTCCATCGCTTCACACCGATCTGCTCCACTGGCAGTCATGCGCCTAGAATTCGCATCAAGCATCAATCCGAGAAGAAGAGAAACCCGTTAGAGTTCGCGTTTACGCACACAGTGGCACGCTCGTCCAGAACACCCGCTGGCGCCCGGGACACAATAACGCGCCGCCCACGACCGCCTCGCTCCATCGGTCACCGCTCCAGCCTGCGAATCGCGGACCCCGATGGGTACGAATGCATGTTTACCGCTTCCCAGAAGCACCCTAGGCCCGCGCGCACCCTCCGCGCAGCTTCCTGGTGCTCATGCCAGCAGGTTCAGGAAGGGCTTAGCGCGATGTCGGCGCCGATTCGTCGACTCGCGTCGGCGGGTCCGGTGTGCACCAGCTCCTTCTCGTTCCTCTGGTGGCTCGGAAAGCGAGCGGGCCTAGACCAGGTGCGTGGATTATCTTCTACTCGCTCGCATCGCTCACGTCTTGTGTGGGGATCTAGATGATGTTATTTTTGGATCCGAACTTGAACGGCTCGAAACGCGTGGAGTGGTCGAGTGTGGATTGCAGGAAAGGACTATCAGCTGTCGCTGCATACGCGCTGAACGACTTCGCGCCAATTGTTTCCCCCGCTCGACCGACGGCCGCATGGTGTGAGTACGTCAAACAAGGCGGCGTGCGGCCAGGGCTGCATCGTCACCTACCTCTGCACGAACCGCCCATCCCACCGCCCGACGTTCAACCCGCAATGGACGCCTACTTCACCCTCCCCGTCGCGTTCCCCATCGCAGCGGAGCAACCAGCCGCTGAGGCGTTTGTCGACCGCGACGACTCCGGCGGCTCGGGCGACCACAGTACCTGCGTCATCGCGTAGACGTACCCTCGTCGCTACCGCTGTCTATTGAAGACATGGATCAGTGAGTTCTTCCTCGGTACTTCTTAGGCCGGGTGTCGCTGACCCGATATTGTTTCCACAGACCTCTCTTTCGCCACGCCGCCCCCGCCTCTCCACGAGGGTGATCCGCCCTCCCAGGCGGCAGCACGTCACTGCAATTTCTCTGGCTTGACGTGTTATAGTCCGTCGCGATTAACTTACCATCTTCGTTATATGGCTCGGTGCACTTTTATGGCGTCGTGGATTTGTTGGATGGTGGATGTGGTGGGGAGAAGATGATACCGTCGCTGTCTTTGTGACGGAGAGTAGCTTCCTTTTCGAATATACACAACATACATATTATCCGTCCCTGAGCACCGGTGTGGAAAACGAAAGAGCGATACATGAGTTACCAGAACCATAAGATACAGATATATAGCCGTCGACCATACGTTGCCTCCGTCAAGGTAAATGTTCCATGCCCGCTTGAGCAACGTCGTGTGGGGCGCTGCCACGGAACATCGTCAGCTTCCTTTCATGGCTGATGATCTCAGTGGAAACTGACAAAAGGGTTCCGCTCACGAGATGACACAAGTGCTATGGGAGCCTGAGCCCCCATATGTCTCGTCGTCCACCAAGATGCTCTTGGGGGACGTCTCGTCGGGAGTCTCGGTGGGGATGATAGGAGCGATGGTGATGAATGCGTCCATGGTTGTAGGGAAGTCGATGGAATCGGCGGTGAATGTGGCGAGTGGACGGTGCCAGAAGACTGAGCTCGGGGAGAGCGGTGGTGAAACGAGGATGAGCACGTCTCGCATTTATACCTGCTGGCACCTGGGCACCTGCTGTTTGAGGAGAGGGGGGAGTCAGCAAGCGGCTGTGGCTTGTGTCCCGGGATTGAGAATGCGGTCGGATCCAGCACAACAAGTTGTGGCAGGCGAGGTCTGGTGTGGGTTTCTAGCGTTGATGCCGGAGTACCACCCGTACCACCCAGCAAACCGTGTTGTGTGAAGGTATGGGAGAATGTCCGCACTCCTTGGTGTGGATGTCCATCTGCTGCTGGAGAAGGGCGATTCTGGCCGCGTGTGCTGTTGACCTGGACCTATTGTTGAAAGGAATGAACGATGCAAGCTTGGTAAATAGCGCTTTTGGGGACGTTTCGTGCGGCTCACCTTCGAGTCTCGCGGGTAGACCGGGCGATTCATCTTGGATTGATCACCTCCTTTTCAGGGCGACATGGTTTCTCTTTGCAAGTGCTGCAATAACATACAGAGAGACGTGCATGCCTGGAAGTTGCCAGGAGTTGCGTACGCGGCGAAGTTGAACTTTCTCCTGTCAAGCCCACCTTCCACGTGACCGACTTCAGGGGAGGCTGATATCCGGCAGATCGCCTCGCGCGCGCATGGAGCTCAAACGTTCAAACAATCACGTCCCGCTCAAGCTTTCACTCGCGCAATACTTTCCGTCTGCTACCTGTGCGCACTCCAGAAATCTGCGTTCCTGTGCTTTGCCGACGGGATCAAATTTGTGCACCCACGGCCCAACCTAGGACGCCTACAGAAGGTCCAATGTTTGTGCCGGTATGTGTCTAGGACCGCATGCTTCGTACGTCGATACACTTCTCGCCATCTCTCACATCACTTATCTGAAGCTTTAGTAGAAGCGTGTCCGTCCACTGGTCCACATATCAAACGCAAGCCGAACGCGCTGAGATGCACACCAATGGTTCAATCACAGAAGATGGGATTATAATTGTACAGTGGTGAATGCGCGTGGTGAGTCGTGATGTTGTACAACAGTGAGAATGAATGTGTGATGTCTCTAGACGCATCCAGGACCATGTGGAAGAACGAAGCACCATCCATCTCCCCTGGGCGCGCCACCTTAGCTCTCGCCATCCGACCGCTCGACCCACTCCCCTCTCGGCGCGCCCCCCTTAACCTCCCGAAAGCTCCCGAAAGCGATAAGTTATTGCAACAGGGCGTGGGACCCAATAAGGATATGCAAGGCAAAGCGCCATGAACGAAGGTTTTGGTGATGCCGTGACAAGTCGTGCGCGCAGCGGATGCTGGCTACTCATGATGTGCGAACTGCGCGTCCGAAGAGTCAGCCGCGCGCGACCGGGGAGGCACGAGGGGGGGGCGACGTACCAGGTGAGTTGTTACTCTCCTCATGCGATGACGCAAGTGCTGTGAGAGCCCGAGGAGCTGGTGGTCTCTGTGTTGACGAGGAGCTCCTCGACGGAGGGCTCGTCGGCGGGGACGGGGGCAGCGATGGTGAAGAAAGCGTCCATTTCTGGTGGAGTGGTGGGCGGGAGAGCGATGAACGCGGAGAGCGAAGGACGAGGAGAGAGCTCGAGGGCCGGTGGAAGTCGACGTCTTCGTTGGCCTCAGAGTGTGGCTCGCTTGCGTATTTATACGTTCGCAGGCATGAGCACGACAGGGTCGAGACGGAAGGTCTTCTGCGCGACGGAGCTTCCACGTGGTTTCCAGAAACGTCCCAGCAGCGTTGACAATAAGCACGGCAGCCGCGGATGCGGGTCCGAATCCTGCCCAGCGGCTCGCGCATGTTTTACCGGACCTTGCGTCACGGCCGCTGTGGCTGTAGATGCGCGCTCAGGTGGCGGGACGGCGCACGTCGGTGGCAGGCCCCCGCCGCACGCACGCCGCCCCGCCACTCAAGTTCACATTGCCGTCCAGCTTCTGTGCGTGAACTTTGCGCGGTGGACTTTGTAGCGCGAGCGAGCGTTGTGCGTCCGAGGTCGCGCGCGCCGGGAGAGGGAGCTGGATCATCTGAGGCGTCGCTATTGTTTGCGACCTCTCGTGGTCCGATTGCTGCTTGCATCGTGAGCGGGCTCATCGGCGCGCTTTTCTTGGTGCGCGCGGACCTGTGATCCGGATCCAAGGGTCATGGCCTCTGCGCGTCAGATTAGGTCTCCCATCCCAGATCTACCAACGCATCGACCACTCCCAACTTCTTACATTCCATCACTCATACTGCTGTGCTTTAGCCCGTTCACATCCACTGCAGCATTCTCCTAATCCCATCTCTCTCGCAGGACAGCTCTTTCCGACCACAAGCGGCCGTCTCCTCATCCACGACGCCCCGCCATCCATCCGGCGCGCCATCCCGCAAGACAATAACGGCGTCTACCACGCGCGGTCCGTCAATGCATACGTTCACTCCCGCCATCGCTTCCAGAACCTGGATCGCAATCGGCGCAGGTGCGCATATCCCCATACTCGTCCTTCACAATAAGCCACGAAGCGCCCCGCGGGGAGAGAGGCGCCCGCCACCGCCACCGCGAGGAACCGTTTGCCGCATCCGGCGTGCGGACCGTCCCCAGTGGCACCTCGCGCTCGCCTGCAGGGCGCCGTGGGCGCACGCGTTTTTGTCTTGCGGAGATACGATGCGTGAGAGTGGGTCTTGCGCGCGCAGCTGCGCTTCCTGGGCTCTGACGGGTCCGCGGAGGAGCCTTCGGAGCTCGGAACCGCGTCTGCGCGGCCGCGACATCCGGTCAGGTCCTGAGCTTAGCCGACCAGATTCGCTCGCTGTGTGGGCGCACGTCGTTGATACGCGCCGTATTGGCTTTTCGTCTGTGAGGATGGGTTCGGAACTCGGTAGGCTTCAGGTCTGGCACCCACCACCTGGCCTCACCGACGCTCACCGAGTCCCGAACCCATCGTGCCCAGGCCGCAAGCCTATTTTAGGCTGGAACGGTCGCCAACGCGCTCTCGAGCGCACCGATGACGGCACCTCACGTTCGACCGTCGAAGCCGCTGCTGCAGACCGCCCTGGCCTAAGAGTTCGGTGCCGTTCAGTGCCCTGCGCAGACAAAAGACGAAATTTGGACGAGGGTTCGCGGAGCGGGCGCTATTATCTCCGCGAGGCCTCGTTCGTGGTTTATGCGGCGACTCTAGGCTCGATGGGGTGCGCGGAGTCTCACCTTCGGGACCGGTCCCCAGTCTCACGCACGTCAGGGCAGGGGGTGCCTGCTCGAGCTTTGTGGTGTGCGTCTGTGACCTGGGTCGGGGGCCGCGTTATTGTATGCGAAGAGGGAGTGACGCGGCGTCGTCGCCTTCGTAGTGAAGTTAGGAAACGTTTTGTAGAATATCTTGATTTTATAATGTCTTGCAGTTTTGTCGTCCTTGGAGCCCAGAAGCTGCGTGCGGAGTTTGTGGTGCTCCCCTGATGATGATATGATTCATTTCCCAAAATATCACGCTCAATTCACGAGAGTCAGACCTAAGTAGAATCGCAGAAGACGCTTCAAACAATCCATCCGAGCTTCACTACATCAGCATCAGCGTTCGAGTGAACGCGCCGACAACCAACATCGCGCAGATCGCTAGCATAAACCCGGTGGATCCCACGAAAAGGCTGGTCCCGCTCGACTAAAAACATTGGGTCGTGAGATGGTGCTTCTACATAGACGAAGTGGAAACGCGCGCATACCTGAACCGTCGAACAGAGCTAAGGTCTGCGTCGAAACACCGAAAGTCGACACCGAGCCGGAAGCAGAAACAATCAGCGTGCACTCGACCTTGCCGTCCTTGATCACGCAGTCGTCAGTGATCAGACCGTCTTCGGCCATTATGTGGGCTTCGTTGGGCCCTTCAACCAGGGTGACTGTACAGCCCATTTATGTAAGTCGAGCGTTGAGACATGAAAGAGGATGGGACGCTCACCAGGGGCGGTGTTCGTGCTCGCCACAGCGGCGGTGTACTTGCCGCTCGGGGTGGGGGAAGCTTGGAGGCGCCAGGTGGTACGGCCCAGGGAATCGACACCGAGGACGGAGCCAGAAATAGGGATGGGTTCACTTGCTGGGTCCACGTCCGGGATGAAGAGAGACACGATAGCGGCATCTAAGTCGGGCCAGGTAAGCAGACGCAGCGGCGACAGATGTGGGGCACCCAGTGCACTGAAAAAAGAGCGCGAACAGAGAGAAGTAGGCGAAGAGCTTGGCGTGCATCGTGGACGTTCGGAGGAAAAGGCGGAGGGTGTATGAAGAAAAGGAAAATAAGAGAAGACGGAGCAGAAGGAAGATGGCTGCCCGCCATTCTGCATTGATTTTTGATCATTCTAGCTCTCTCCCCATTTGGAGACGATACAGTACAGGCATGACACTACCATGCTTTCTGTAGACGTGCAAAGCGTGATATGAAAGCAACGAATATCGCCCCAATCTGGTGAGAGGAAGACGGCGCCCAAGTGGCAGGGCCGCGATGCTGCGAGATGCAATGAGCGGCACACGGTGTAAGGATGCACGATAGAGCACCCGGAAAGCCACTATAACCTTGTCAAACAAAGTGCAGTGCAATCCAGATGAGTCTCCGAAGGCGAGGACCGAGACAGAATAAGCACATGCTTAACTGCACAGCCGAACATGGTATACTTGAGACTGACCTGCATGCTACGAATGGTTCGTATACCACTGCACACCTTTCCTCGCGGTTATCAGCGCTCCATCCTCCCTGGAATCGTTGATGTCAAGCCCTGTTGAGATGATCTCAGGAGAGCGCATATGAAGTCAGTGCTATCAATGACTTTAGCTTTGTTCCAACCAGTGATTTGAGCAAAATCAAAGTCTCCCTATGAACGGCGCATCTTCGAGCACAGCGAGCGAGCTGTGCATGCCACCAAAGAGCCACTCATCCAGGTTAGAACTGCCACTCGTGGCAAAGAATAGTGGCCCTGGGCAAATGGAGTCTGACAGACGGCGCCGCGGGCCGCACCGGTGACAGCCGGGGCACGTGTACACTTCGACGACGCGCGTTCGACTCCGGCTCCCGCCACTGCTCCCCACTGCATCGATCGGCCGCCGGAGACCGTACGCCGTCCACAGGAAAAGGCCGCACACTTAAAGCCGAGAGTTCTCAAGAGAACCTGAACACATCCATCATGGTGAGTGAATACTGTTCATGGTTATGTTTACAGTGCGTCATAGGTCGTCTTCGTCCTAGGCCGACATGACGCAAGCATTGCTCGAATTAAGTGACATTAAACGGGTCATGGACGATACAAGGTCGTGAAGTTTACGTGGAGAGCTCATCGTCCTCCACAGCTCTAGCATAGTGCATACTAAGATTAGACGGCGATACCGAAGGCCATACCCAGGCCTACAAGCACGCTCCCGAGAACAGACGCGCCCTTGACCACCGCCCGCTCCGAGCCACTCGAAGTTTTCGTGGGAGTGCTCGCAGATGAGGACTGCGACTGACTCGTGCTCCCGCTCGACTTCGATGTAGTGGAACTGACAGGCCCGGTCCCAGTGGATTCGGAGGTAGTAGGGTCAGTGGATGTAGCGGGAGGAGTGGTGGAAGAGCTGTCGGGGCTGACACCATCTTGCACGATCTGCGACGGAAATGTGCGATGAGCTTACGCGTCGCCCTAGGTGTGAACACGAGGAACCGACCTGCACGGGTACCTGCTGCAGGGCGAGCGTAGTGACCACGGGGATAGGCCCGTTAACGATTACGCAGTCGGCGGAGTCTTCCCCGAGTTGGCAGTCCGTCACGACTGGCCCATTGATCGTGACGACCTCAGTGGGGGAGGCGATGAGGGTCTCTGATGTGGACAGTGTTTAGCACGATTCGATTACATATTAAGAAATAAGACGACTTGCCCATGAGGTTAGTGGCGAGGATTTGGTAAGTGGTGGAGCCGCCCCCGGAAGCCAATAACGACGCGGTGTATGTGGTGCCGGGTTCACCCTCCGGAATGAACATTGAAGTCAACTGCGCATCTGGAAAAATGGAACCTGGTTGAGCGTGACCTATCAACTGGGTAACAAGTCAGGAAACGTACGAGTTGAGGCGCATGCCAGAGAGAGGACGAGGAAGCCGAGAGAGGTTTTGAGAGCCATAATCCTACTGAAGCCGAAGATCGTGCGCAAGGCGGGTACGAGGGGGGTAACGAGAGAAGGGAAGATGAACTCTGTCGCCCCCAGCATGTCATTGGGGTATATATCCTTGGTCCTCGTGAATCATGACGGTCCTTGGCGTGTGTATTGTGGTAGGAGCAGTGATGTTGTGGTTTAACGACAGGCGCCAGCCGCGCTGATCGACTAGTGCTGTGTCAAAAACCCAGCCGTGTCAATTTCCAATTGTCTGAAGATATCCGGACGCCGCCCTCCTCCTCGTCGGCCACCTCCGTGCCGCCCTCCACTTGCCCCCTTCTATGTTATAGTGTACCAATAAATATATTCCCATCACTAGTCATACATTCGGTGTGTGCCCATGCAAAACCTGCGATAGGAAACGGTGAGGGGGTGGGCAGGACTCGGGGGACGGTGGGCTCTCTGTCGGAGGCAAGACGGGCCTTGGGTTGCAAGGCGCCGGTCTCGGGGTGTCGCGCGCATGATGGCCAGCGGGTAAATGGGTGTGCCGAGGAAAGCCGTCGTAGAAGCTGCCGGCTCGGCAGGGGGACCAGCCCATCCGCGCAACAGATGGCTTTGGGATTTGGCATCTCAGATAGCGTCTTCGAGGTGGAGACTGCACGAATACTAACCCGCGGGGAATGGCCGCACGCGCTAACGTAGCCATCCACGCCAAACGGCAGACTTTCATCTGAAATATCGTGTAGACCTGCTAAAGCCAGTACGTACGCTTTCCCGATCGGACGGCGATCGTCACCATGCGCCAACACTGCCATCACTGAAGCAAGAACCGACCTGCTTCCTCGCGCCGAGCGGTGTTGCCAAGACAGGCTGGGGGTCATGTGATGAGCCGAACCGGATCGGCAACCCTTCTTTAGGCCCTGGTCAACTGCCCGGGGATGGGCTTCCGGGTTTACCGCCAAAACGACCCCACGACGGGATGGGCTGTGGGCTCGGGATGTGTTTGCGCCCGTCTCTGGGGGCGCGGAAACCCATCCCACAGCCCAGCCCACGCACAGCCGACCAGGGCTTAAGTTAATGCGCAGACCCGGGCTCGTCACCGAGCCAGAGACAACGTCGCTCTCTGCAACGTTGTCGATAGCGGTGCAGAGAGGATACCGGCAACTCAGCCGACTTGGCGAACGCCGACGTCGTCGCTAGCGCTCCTGAGGCGAAGGCTACTCAGCAAAAATGCAGAGCGCGTGGGAATAGGTTAGAATGCCTGGGATGCCTTCATATTGGCTCGGAATTCCCAGAACCAGTACGCTGCGGTATTCGGAGGCATCCCAGCAATCCCAAGCGATCCTGGGCATCCGAAGTCATCTGAGAAATTGTGATGCACGGCATCATCGTAGGGTATCGAAATCGGCTCGCGCGGGGGCAGTGTCGGCCGTGGATTTGAACGAAGTAAATGCGACAGAGAGGGGTGTACCACAGCGAAAGCGCGCCGCGCGAGAGCGAGAGCGAGAGAGCAAGCGAGAGAGAGGAGCACGGAGGGGAGAGATTTTACCCGAGCATGGAGGACACGAGGGCGGAGAACCCGACAGAGGACGCGGGGCGGAGGACGCGAGGACGGAGGCAAAAGACACTGCGAGCACAGAGGGCGAGAATGCGAGCGCGGAGGAAGGAAGCGAAGACGTTCACGCGAGGGCAGACCGCCCGGGAGAACATGAAAGTGGAGAACGTTCTCCGCCTCGCGTTCTCCGCCTTAAGGTCGTCCGCGCTCGAGCGCGCTCGAAAGCGGTCGAAATTCCTTTCGAGGAGTCAATCCGCCGTCCACGGGCACCAAGCGCAGATGGTGGGAATCAAAAGGCGACGCGAGGGGAGGCGACGCGATGCTCAAGCGCTCATGACCTCGACAGCGGATGCGCGGGAAGTCAAGAGCGGAAGTGCAGGACACGACGTGCCGCTGCATAGTCCGAATCATACAGGAGCCCGCCCGGCCAACTCCGGCACGCCCCGCTCGTTGCCTTTCACAGTCTAGTCGCGCTCCGGGCCGCCTTGCGGGCAACTCCAACGCCTGTGATCCTGCGTTAAATAGCGCAAACAGCTCATGAATCTCCGCCCCCCCACGGCCGAACGCACTGTTTCTGATTCCCGGCACGCATTCCCAAGCCGACATGACGCAAGCAGTGCTCGAATTAAGTGTCATTAAACAGATCGTGAACGATACAAAGTCATAACGTTTACGTGGAGAGCTCGTCGTCCTCCACGGCTCTAGCGTAGTGCATACTAAGATTAGATGGCGACACCGAAGGCCATACCCAGGCCTACAAGCACGCTCCCGAGAACAGACGCGCCCTTGACCACTGCCCGCTCCGAGCCGCTCGAAGTTTTCGTGGGAGTGCTCGCAGATGAGGACTGCGACTGACTCGTGCTCAGACTCGGCTTCGATGTAGTGGAACTGACAGGCCCGGTCCCAGTAGATGAGGTAGTAGGGTCTGTGGATGTGGTGGGGGGATCGGTGGATGTGGTGAGCGGGTCGGTGGATGTGGCGGGAGGAGCGGTGGAAGAGCTGTCGGGGCTTCCGCTCTCTTGCACGATCTGCGATGGGAGTGTGTGATGAGCTTACGCGCCGCCTTAGATGCGAACACGAGAAACCGACCAGCGCGGGTACCTCCCGCAGGATGGCCGAGGAGACCGAGCGGAGTGGGCCGACAACCTCTTCGCAGACAGAGTCGTCGCCGAGCGTGCAATCCGTCTCAACTCCCCCCACGATCTCAGCGACGGCGGTGGGGGAGACGATTAGGGCCACTGGGGTGGCACGGTTTAGTACGAATCTATGGTTAGAAATGAGACGACTGACCGTCGCCATGGAGGATGGTGGCGAAGAGTTGGTAAGAGGTGACGTCGCCTTCGGAACCCACGACTGACGCAGTGTATGTGGTGTCGGGTTGACCGTTCGGAATGAGCAGTGAAGTCAACTGAGCATCTGGAAAGATGGAACCTGCCTAAGCGTGTCCGGCCAAACGGGTAGCAAGTCAGGAAACGTACAAGTTGAGGCGCATGCCAGTGAGAGGACGAGGAAGCCGAGAGAATTTTTGAGAGCCATAATCCTACTGAAGCCGAAGGACGAGCGTAAGGCGGATACGGGGTGGGTAACGAGTGAAGGGAAGATGAACTCTGTCGGCTCCAGTACTTACTCGGGGTATATATCCTTGGACCTCGTGAATAGTGACAGGTCCTTGGCGGCCCGGGTATCCAGCCAGAGCCAAGACCTCCCTCGCTTCATCGGCATCGCCTCCAGCTGATGGCCATTTGAAACTGTGTGTATTGTGGTAGGAGCAGTGATGTATGGTTCAACGACAGACGCCGGTGCCGATCTGTTGAACGGTGAGCCTAGCGCTGCGCTAGAAACCCAACCGTGCGACGTCAGTCCTCAATCGTCAGATAAGTATCCGGAGTCCATTCTCGGATAACAAAGGCACGCTATAGTAAACACGTCATTGGTCTAAAAGACTTCGTGAACGTACGCACAACGAGGAAGCGCTGCGCGGAGTCCAGCCGTTCGCATCTGAGTTCGGAGAAGCACCTAGCAGAGTTGTCGTCAAAAGCGAGGCTTTGAAGGGCCAGACTGTCGGCTTGATCCAGACGCTCTTCGAGGCGGTGACTGCAGTCTGCACCGTTACTCCGCACGCTTGTCTGATCGGACGGCGATCATCACCATGCGCCAACACTGCCATCACACAGACAAGGAACGACCCGGAACGACCTGCTTCTTCGCGCTGAGCGGTGTTGCCGATCGGACATGGTAGGGGTCATGTGATGAGCCGAACGGTGCCGGCTGCTGGTAGCACCGGATCGGCAGCACTTCCCGAATGTGCAGACCCGGTCTCGAGACACCGCCGTTCTCTGCAACATCGTCAATAGCGGATGGCTGGGGTGCAGAGAGGATACTCGCAGCTCAACTTGGTGAACGCCGACGTCGTCGCTGGGAGGCTACATCAAGACCCAAGCGACGGGCGCGGGGCACCAGCGGGGTGGCACGGAGGGCAGGGAACCCGCGCGCGGAGGACACGAGGGCGGAGGACGCGAAAACGGGCTGTGGGCGAGAGCGGAGGACGCGATGAAGGACGCGAGGCGAAGGACGCGGGCGAAGGACGCGAGCACGGAGAGCAAAATACACTGCGAGCACAGAGAGCGAGAATGCGAGGGCGGAGGAAGGTAGCGAATTCGCGAAGGGCGTTGATGCGAGGGCCGCGGGCCGCGGAGAACATGAGGATGGAAAACGTTCTCTCCCTCGACGTCCTCCGCCCTCGCGGTCGAAAGCGGTGGATATTCCTTTCCAGGATTCGATCCGCCGTCCATGTGCACCAAGCGCAAATCGCATCCGCTGGCGTTGCGAGCGTCACCGCGCTCGTCTCGCGCCACCACCGCTCAGCGCTCAGCAGCATCGTCCAAAACTTGCTCCCTGTTCTTGCGTTCGCCCGCCCACTGGTTCGCGGCGCCCGCGCTCCACGCGACGTCGCCCGCGCTGACCGCACGCCCCTTGTGGAGCCGCTCGAGCCCCCGCGCGATCGCGGTGCGCACGTCCGCGTCGCGTGCCTCCTGCTCGGGCCCGTCGGGGAGGTGAAATGTCTTCTGGTTGAGGGGCGACTGATTCTCTGTCTCCATGGCGCATGGGAGGGGCCTCATACGTACGGAGGAAGCCACAGCAAGCAGTAAGTTCAGCGGCCATGGTCACAAAGCGGCATCATTGAGACATACACATTCGAAAGCTATGGATGCCCTCGGTATGTGATCGCAGGCGGACTAAACGCGGTCTTGTACCCAGTGAACAGAACCTCGGAGAGCGGAAGAGAAGTGGGAGGCGAGCTTGCACCGGTGCGTAATGCGCGGGAAGTCAAGAACGGGAGTGTAGGACACGACGCGCCGCTGCATGGAGTTGTCGCAAAGGATCCGGATCATGCGGGCCAACTCCGTCGCGCCCCGCTCGTTGCCTTTCACAGCCTGGTCACGCCCCGGGCCGCCTTCCGGGCAATCCCAATGCCTGGGATCCTGCGTTAAATAGCGCAGACAGCCCCTGGCCGAACGCACTCTTGCCGATGCCCGGCACGCATTCAAGCCGACACAACGCATGCAGTGCTCGAATTAACTTGTGACATTAAAAGGCCGGTCGTGAACGTATGATACAAGGTCATGACGTCTACGTGGAGAGCTCGTTCTAGCATAATGTATACTGAGATTAGGCGGCGATACCGAAGACCATACCCAGGCCTACAAGCACGCTCCCGAGAACAGATGTGCCCTTGACCATCGCCCTCTCCGAGCCGCTCGAAGTTTTCGTGGGAGTACTCGCAGAGGAGGACTGCGATTGACTCGTGCTCCCGCTCGACTTCGATGTAGTAGAACTGACAGGCCCGGTCCCAGTGGATTCGGAGGTAGTAGGGTCGGTGGATGTGGTGAGCGGGTCTGTGGATGTGGCGGGAGGAGCGGTGGAAGAGCTGTCAGGGCTTCCGCCCTCTTGCACGATCTGCGACGGGGGGTGTGATGAGCTTACGTGTCGCCCTAAGTGTGAACACGAGAAACCGACCTGCACGGGTACCTGCGTAAAGGCGGCCGTAAAGGCCTCGTGGATCCCACTCGCTTCCCCACCGGTAATCTTATCGCAGACGACAGGGTCGTCCCCGAGCGGGCAGTCGAATATGATCCCCCTTTCGACAGTCCCCAATATCTCGACGACCTGGGTGGGGGAGACGATGAGGGTCGCTGGGATGGATAGTGTTTAGCACGATTCCGCATTGAGAAATGAGGCGACTCACCCAGAGCGATCTGGGGGGCGGAGAGCGAATAAGTGGTGACGTCGGCCTGGGAACCCACTACCGACAGGGTATATGTGAGGCCTGGGTCAGTGTTCGGGATGAACATTGAAGTCAACTGAGCATCTGGAAAGATGGAACCTGGCTGAGCGAGACCGGTCAACTGGGTAGCAAGTCAGGAAACGTACGAGTTGATGCGCATGCCAGAGAGAGGACGAGGAAGCCGAGAGAGGTTTTGAGAGCCATGATCCTACTGAAGCCGAAGACCGAGCGCAAGGCGGGTGAGAGAGGGGCAACGAGAGAAGGGAAGATGGGCCTCAGTACTTTATTGGGCTATATATCCTTGGGCCTCGTGCAGTGAATCATGACGTCCTTGGCGTGTGTATTGTGGTAGGAGCAGTGATGTTGTGATTTAGCGGCCGGCAACGCGGGGTCCGGCCGTTCGCGTCTCAGTTCGGAGAAGCACTTAGCAGAATTGTCGTCAAAAACGAGGCTTTGAAGGGCCAGACTGTCGGCTTGATCCAGACGCTCTTCGAGGCGGTGACTGCAGTCTGCGTCGTTACTCCGTACGCTTGTCTGATCGGACGGCGATCATCACCATGCATGATGCGCCAACACTGCCATCACACAGGCAAGGAACGACCCGGAACGACCTGCTTCCTCGCGCCTAGCGGTGTTGCCGAGACATGGTAGGGGTCATGTGATGAGCCGAACTGTGCCGGCCTCCGGGGCTCGTCGCCGAGGCGGGGACACCATCGCTCTGTGCAGCATTGTCAATAGCGGACGGCTGTTGTGCAGAGAGGATACTCAGGGATACTCGCGGCTCAACTTGCTCCTGAGACGGAGGCTACATCAAGACCCAAGCGACGAGCGCGGGGCATGGAGGGCGCAGAACCCGCGCGTGGAGTACATGAAGGCGGAGAACGCGAAAACGGGCAGTGGGCGAGAGCGGAGGACGTTGAGGCGGAGAACGCGGTGAAGGACGCGAGGCGGAGGACGCGAGCACGGAGGGTACAAGAAACTGCGAGCACAGAGGGCGAGAATGCGAGGGCGGAGGAAGGAAACGAGGACGTTCACGCGAGGGTGGACCGCGGAGAACATGAGGGTGGAGAACGTTCTCCGCTTCGACGTCCTCCGCCCGCGCACCGCGAGGGGATGTGACCCGATGCTCATGACCTCGACAGCGGAGCGCCGCTCGCATTCGCGGGCGTTGCGAGCGTCATCGCGCTGGTCTCGCGCCACCACTGCTCAGCAGCATTGTCCAGAAACTTGCTCCCCATTCTTGCGCGCGCGCACGCGCCTCACCCGTCGTCGCCCGAGCTGACCGCACGCCGCTCGCGGCTCGAGCCCCCGCGCGATCGTGGCACGCATGTCCGCGTCGTGCGCCTCCTACTCGGGCCCGCCCCGGAGGCGAGATGTCTTCTGGTTGAGGGGCGACCACCTCTCTGTCTCCATGGTGCGCGGTCGGAGGCGCCGGGCCTCATATGTACGGAGGAAGCTAGAAGTATCAGCGCGTCGTATCAGGCTGAAGAGAAGTGGAAGGAGAGCCTGCACCTGCGTGATGCGCGAGCAGTCGAGGACGGGAGTGCAAGACACGACGCGCCGCTGCACTGTTGTAAAGGATCACGCGGGAGCCGTGAGGAAGAACATGAGCTAAAGTCAATGTGAAACAATATGAACGTACGTGCACAGCGGAGTCGAAAACCCACGCAGAGAGGTGTAAAGAATGCGCGAGCGTGATAGCAGTGTGGACCACTACAGGAGGAGGGGAGCACGCCGCAGAGGTGCATGAGCGAGGGAATTCGGGCGGAAGCGCGAGTGGTGGAACTACCAATCACCGCGGTTCTTTCAAAGTGTCATTCACGATCCCGCGATGCGTGGTCGTCGTAGGGACTGTGCGCTGTGCATGGACGGCATGTCGTGTGGATACTCGGAAGTCCACGGCGCGTCACCAGTTCCCGAATGGCAAAGTACAGGGCCGTGAGCGCAGTCTCGAAGACAACTAGGGGAGGGCACCGGCCGCTGTTAGCGGATATGGTGGGGACGTAGCAAACAAAGCATGCGTACCTAGCTTCAGTTTCAGATCTCATTAGCATTGTGGTCGTGCCTATGATGATCTATGACTGGTGACGCCCGTGACCAGTGAAGTACTGACAAGTTGACGGGCCTTGAGCCTCCTCGAGCCCGCGCTCGTGCCAGCTGGTAAGTACTTGTCGCGAGTCGAGAAAGAGCGGCGCCAAGGTTTGGCGCCGAGAACATCCCAGAAACGACCCGGCCCGGACACCTCCGTCGCGTCCCGCTCGTTGTGTTGCTCCTTTCGTAGCCTGGTCACGTCCCAGACCATTGCACTACCATCCGTGCATCCAAATTTGGCGCCACATTACCAGCCAACAGTGCGCAATTCTAATCGAATGCACGGAGTCCTTACCTGGCCGGACGCGCCTTCACCCAGGCTGGGCATGCGTTCCCAAGCCTAGCCGACATGACACAATCATGGCTCGAATTAAGTATCATTAAACAGTCGTGGACGATACAAGGTCATGAAGTTTACGTGGAGAGCTCTTCGCCCTCTGCAGCTCTAGCATAGTGCATACTAAGATTAGACGGCGATACCGAAGGCCATACCCAGGCCTACAAGCACGCTCCCGAGAACAGACGCGCCCTTGACCACTGCCCGCTCCGAGCCGCTCGAAGTTTTCGTGGGAGTGCTCGCAGATGAGGACTGTGACTGACTCGTACTCCCGCTCGGCTTCGATTTAGTGGAACTAACAGGCCCGGTCCGAGTGGATGTGGTAGTAGGGTCGGTGGATGTGGTGAGCGGGTCTGTGGATGTGGCGGGAGGAGCGGTGGAAGAGCTGTCGGGGCTTCCGCCCTCTTGCATGATCTGCGATGGGAGTGTGTGATGAGCTTAGGCGTTGCCCCAGGAGTGAACACGAGAAACCAACCTGCACAGGTACCTCCTGCAGGGTGACCGGAGCGGACGCGTGGATGCCACCGGCGACAATGTATTCGCAGACGGAGTCGTCGCCGAGCGTGCAGTCCGTCTCGGTTCCCCCCACGATCTCGGCGACGGCGGTGGGGGAGACAATGAGGGTCACTGGGGTGGGCATGGTTTGGTACGAATCTATGTTTAGAAATAAGACAACTCACCCGGGTCGCCTATGATGATGGTGGCGACGAGTTGGTAAGAGGTGACGTCGCCTTCGGAACCCAAGACTGACGCAGTGTATGTGGTGCCGGGGTCACCGGCCGGAACCAACAGTGAAGTCAACTGAGCATCTGGAAAGATGGAACCTGACTGAGCGTGTCCGGCCAAGTGGGCAGCAAGTCAGGAAACGTACAAGTTGAGGCGCAGACCAGTGAGAGGACAAGGAAGCCGAGAGAAGTTTTGAGAGCCATTATCCCACTGAAGCTGGAGACTGAGCCCAAGGCGGGTACGAGTTGGGTAACGAGTGAAGGGAAGATGAACTCTGTCGGCCCCAGTACTTACTTTGGGTATATATCCTTGGACCTCGTGAATCGTGATGGGACCTTGGCGGCCCGGGTATCCAACCAGAGCCAAGACCTTCCAGGACATCCTTCGCTTCATCGGCATCGCCTCCAGCTGATGGCCGTTTGAAACTGTGTGTATTGTGGTAGGAGCAGTGATGTATGATTCAACGACAGACGCCGGCGCTGATCTGTTGAACGGTGAGCCTAGCGCTGCGTTAGAAACCCAACCGTGTCAGTTGATATCTGGAGTCCATTCTCGGATAACGAAGGCACGCTATAAACATGTCATTGGTCTAGAAGACGTCGTGAACGTACGCACAACGAGGAAGCGTTGCGCAGAGTCCAGCTGTTCGCATCTCAGTTCGGAGAAGCACTTAGCAGAGTTGTCGTCAAAATCGAGGCTTTGAAGGGCCAGACTGTCGGCTTGATCCAGACGCTCTTCGAGGCGGTGACTGTAGTCTGCACGGTTACTCCGTACTGTACCATTTCGACCCAAAGTTCATCGATTTTGGGCGTGACCGCGAACATTTCCAGCCGAGAAAGTTCATGGCCCTGCGTGACCGCGGACATCAAAGTTCGCCCTGTTCATGGGCCCCTGTGACACCACGAATGTTCATAGCGCCGGTCGACCCTCCAGCCGCCCGCGACCATATGATGGTGAAAGACGCGCAATATTGCGGGCATCAGCGGCTTGTCTAATGGTGTCAATGCCCTCACTGAAATGATTATAATGTGTGGGCTATAATGGTAGTGAAATTCAATCGCCAGCGCTGACGAGAAGCAGACAGCAGCCAGCAGCATCTGTCGCATCGCCTTCACCCGTAGTACCTCAGTTTGAACCTGATACCCGCGCCAGGCATCCCTCCATCCGCAAGGATCCTGTCACGGGCGACCTCGACACGCATGATCTGACCGATAGTCTTGCCATCGAGGAGGGCATTCGTCGCAAGTCGACGACACAGAGCACGAGAGGATGAATGTCAACAGTGGTGGGTCGGATCCGCTGTGGGAGCAGTGTGCTGGCACGGATCTAAGCGCCCTATGAGTACCTAATCCGGAAGGCGACCTCTTCCCACGCAGCTCAGAGAAGAGGACGAAGCTAGAGTGGGTATCCATCATTATATTTCCAGCCTGACTATCTCAATGGACATGTAATGCCTCCACTGTACATAATCCGTCGTTTTTTCGTCGCTCGGACCACTGGAACGGCGGTAATTTAGACGCCGTGACCTTCCGTGTGCGGAAAGTTCATGGCCCTCCGTGACACTTTGATCGAAAGTTCATGAGCCTCCGTGACGCGTGACATGAACTTTGGGTCGAAATGGTACAGTACGCTTGTCTGATCGGACGGCGATCATCACCATGCACCAACACTACCATCGCACAGGCAAGGAACGACCTGCTTCCTCGCGCCGAGCAGTGTTGCCGATCGGACATGGTAGGGGTCATGTGATGAGCCGAACAGTGCCGGCCTCTGGCAGCATTTCCCGAATGTGCAGACCCGGGCTCGTTGCCGAGGCAGAGACACCGTCGTTCTCTGCAACATCGTCCATAGCGGACGACTGGGGTGCAGAGAGGATACTCGCAGCTCAACTTGGTGAACGGCAACCTTTGCAGCTCCTGAGACGGAGGCTATATCGAGACCCAAGCGACGAGCGCGGGGCACGGAGGGCAGAGAACCGAGAACCCGCGCGGGGAGGACACGAGGGCGTAGGACGCGAAAACGGGAGGAGAGCGGAGGACGTTGAGGCGGAGAACGCGATGAAAGACGCGAGGCGGAGGACACGAGCACGGAGGGCAAAAGACACTGCGAACACAGAGGGCGAGAATTCGAGGACGGAGGATCGAAGCGGAGGACGTTGACGCGAGGGCGAGCGGCGGAGAACATGAGGATGGAGAACGTTCTCCGCCTCGACGTCCTCCGCCCTCGCGTCGCGAGGGGTGGCGACCCGATGCTCACAGTGACCTCGACAGCGGAGCGCCGCTCAGATCCACGGGGGTTGAGAGCGTCACCGCGCTGGTCTCGCGCCACCAACGCTCAGCAGCATCGTCCAGAAACTTGCTCCGCGATTGCGCGCGCGCCCACTAGTTCGCGGCGCCCGCGTCGACTGCACCCTTCGCAAAGCCGCTCGAGCCGCCGCGCGCATGTCCGCGTCGCATGCCTCCTGCTCGGGCCTGTCGGGGACGTGAAATGTCTTCCGGTTGAGGAGCGACTGATTCTCCCCCTCGGTGGTGCGCGGGAGGCGCTGGGCCTCATACGTACGGAGGAAGCCACAGCAAGAGGTAAGTTCACGTGGTCACAAAGGGGTATCAAGACATACAGTGACCCACGCTCATTCGAGAGCTATGGACGTCCTTGGTATGTGATCGCAGGCGGGCTAAAATCGGTGAAGAGAACCTGAGAGAACCGTGGAAGGTCGAAGTATCGGCCCGTCGTATTACTGATCAGAGAGCGGAAGAGAAGCGGGAGGAGAGCCTGCACCTGCGTGATGCGCGGGAAGTCGAGGACGGGAGTGCAGGACACGACGCGCCGCTGCATGGAGCTGTCGCAAAGAACCATATGGGACCTGTGGGGAAGAACATGAGCCAAAGTCGACGCGAAACAAATAGGAACGTACTTGCACAGCGGAGTCGAGAAACCAAGCTGAGAGAGGTGCCAAGAGAAATTCAATGTGTAAGCTTGCAGAAAAAGTGACAGCAGTGTGGGTCACTCCACTCACTACAGGAGGAGGGGAGCACGCCGCAGAGGTGCATGAGGGAGGGAATTCGGATGGAAGCGCGTGCGGCGAAACTACCAATCAGTGTGGTTCTGTCAAAGCGTCATTCACGACTGATCCCCTAACGCGTGAATGGGGACTGGCCGTCACTGTGCGCTGTGCGTAGACGGCATGCCGGATGGTGACTCAGAAGTACACCGCGCGTCGCCAGTCCCCGGATGGCAAAGTACACCGCGAGAGTCAAGACCTGAGCGCAGTCTCAAAGAAAACTAGGGGAGTGCACCAGCCACTGTTAGCGGATATGGCGGGGTAGCGAACAAAGCATGCGTACCTAGCTTCAGCTTCAGACCTTACTATCATTTTTGTCGTGCCTATGATGGCTGATGACTGGTGCTGGTGACTAGTGCTAGCTGGTACTTATCGCGAGTCGAGAAAGAGCGGCGCCGACGTTTGGCGCCGGGGACGTCTCTGAATATTAATGACGCGGGCGCCCGACCAACTCGGTCGCGCCCCGCTCGTTCAAGTGTTGCTTCTTTCATAACCTGGCCACTCCCCAGACCAAAGTTACTCTACCATCCGTGCATCCGAATTTGGCACCACATCCCCAGCCAACAGTGGGCAATTCTAATCGCCTTCTAATAAGTAGCCGGGCCGTCATCCATTGCCTGGGATCCTTACCTGGCCGAACGCACTTTTACCCAGGATGGTCATGCATTCCTAAGCCAACACGACGCAAGCATGGCTCGAATTAAGTGACATTAAACGGGTCGTGGACAATACCAGGTCATGACGTTTACGTGGAGAGCTCGTCGCCTTCCACGGCTCTAGCGTAGTGCATACCAAGGTTAGACGGCGATACCGAAGGCCATACCCAGGCCTACAAGCATGCTCCCGAGAACAGACGCGCCCTTGACCACTGCCCGCTCCGAGCCGCTCGAAGTTTTCGTAGGAGTGCTCGCAGATGAGGACTGCGACTGACTCGTGCTCACGCTCGACTTTGATGTAGTGGAACTGACAGGCCCGGTCCCGGTGGATGAGGTAGCAGGGTCGGTGGATGTGGCGAGCGGGTCTGTGGATGTGGCGGGAGGAGCGGTGGATGTACTGTCGGTGCTTCCGCCCTCTTGCACGATCTGCGACGGGGTATGCGATGAGCTCACGAGTCGCCTTAGGTGTGAAGACGAGAAACGGACCTGCACGGGTACCTGCTGCAGGGCGACCGTAGAGGTCGAGCGGATGCCATTCGGCCCACCGACGATGTCTTCGCACACGGCGGAGTCGCTGCCGAGCATGCAGTCGGTCACGATCCCGCTTGCTGAGCCCACGACCTGGGCGATCTCCGTGGGGGAGACGATGAGGCTCACTGGGATGGGCATGGTTTGGCACGAGTCTGTGTTTAGATATAACGCGACTCACCCACGCCCTGGATGTTGGTGGCGAAGAGCTGGTAAGAGGTGACCTCGCCCTCGGAACCCACGACCGACGCGGTGTATGTAGTGCCGGGGTCACCGTTCGGAATGAACAGGGACGTCAACTGAGCATCTGGAAGGATGGAGCCTGCCTAAGCGCGTCCGACCAAATGGGTAGTAAGTCAGGAAACGTACGAGTTGAGGCGCAGGCCAGGGAGAGGACGAGGAAGCCGAGAGAGGTTTTGAGAGCCATAATCCTACTGAAGTTGAAGACCGAACGCACGGCGGGGGCAAGATGGGTAAGGAGAGGAGGGAAGATGAAATCTGCTGGCTCCAGTATTTACTTGGGGTATATATCCTTGGACCGTGAATCGTGACGGGACCTTGGCGGCGGGGTCACCCCGAGCCAAGGTCCCCCTCGCTTCATCAGCGTTGCCTCAGCTGATGGCAGTTTGAAACAACGTCATCGGCAGCGACGCCCGCGTCCGGCCTGACGCGATCGTCCGCTGGAGAGCTGGAGGCACCGTTCTCCATGTATTTCCTGTCGGGAATAAGGACACCGGTGCTGTGGAGGACGTCTGTCTGATCAGTGATGAAGATCTCAGCTCCACTTACTAGCCTTCGTGGGACATGACATAGCTCGCTGGGCAATCTCAGAAGCGAGGGCGCTAAGTTTCACGCACCGTCTGGTGTGTAGTATGTGATATACGTATTCAGTACCAACTGAGGGCGCAACCGCCATAAGCCGTGCGGCCGCTGACCCGTGGGCCGACTCGACAGTAGACAGACATACCTGAAGTACTCCTGTGAGAGACTCCGTATGAATCAAGTAAGTGAATGATCATACAGATGCAAACCGTGCCTCAAAGGCTGTCTCAAAATGGTTTTCGAGACACAGATCGTCATCAAATTCGGATCAATGAGCACGACAAGCGCTCGCATAATACTTGCTCCCTGGCGGTGTTTGGGCGGTGTTTCCAAGACATGCCGAGGGCGAAAGGATGCCGGCCTACGTACCGGATCGGCACCACTTCTTGGATTGTGCAGACCATCAACACGCCTCCAGAGGCGGAGGCTACGATCGTGCAGGACGCGGTGCCGTCATCGTGCAGCCATCGTTGGACACGGCACCGTCGACGTTGGCAGAGAGGTGGGCAGAATCCGCATTCTCGACTGCGTGTTCGCGTAAGCATGCGCCCCAGACAGCATCCATTGGGGGAATTTAGAGCACCTGGGGCAATTTGCGCTGTTGATTGGGTCGGTGAACTTGCCGCGGGGGTAGAGAAGGCAATCGCATGAAAACGCATGACTAGAACGGACCTGAAGGCGGCCATTTTATCTGCGCCTACTTATCCGCCTGAGGGCGACTCAGTTCCGCTGACAACATAGTCATCCGTGTCCGATCAAGTTGTACCATTGACGAACCAGAACGACGCTTTGTCGTGGTCGGCGAAAGGACGCCACGCGAAAACGCCCTGGTCCAACGAGATGAAGACCCACAGCGCGCGGTCGATATGTATCCTGTCGCCGTTGTGATATCACTGCAACACTATGGATGTCGGTACCACCATCAGGCTGCCGGAAGAACCGTTCCGAGGGAAAACGCAACTTGCCTGCTTTGCGCCGCTTCTAGCCGGGTTCAAGTCAGATTAGGAGCAGACCAATGACAGCGTGAAGAATACGACTGGACTGTCGTTGGTGCGAATGAAAGCGGCGCTCAAGCCAGTGTGTTGTGTACTACTGACGACTGTCGCTACGGCTATCTTGCCTGTGTTGTTGCGAGTCCACTGTATACATAGAGTAGGCGCTATACGGAACGTGCTGCCTGGGGAAGTTAGGAGGCATTGCGCGATGCAAGTTCGGGCTGACCTCTTTTAGCCAGCTGGGACCTCGTCCACTCGTCTCAATCGGGCCGACGCCGTGCTGCCAGCTCGGAGCCGGATCGGTTTGATGTGTCGAAAGACGTATTTCAGGCGTGGTGCCACAATGTGGTGGTGCACATAAATCCTCGTTATTCGCCACCTATACGTGACCATACCGATAACAGGATAGTCTGTGCACGGGCTCCCGCGTGAAACCCCTCACGCGAACGCGACAGACATCAGACAATGCGAACGAAGTCACACACAAATGCACGAACGTGCTTTGTGTCGTCCCAAGATGGCAGCCTTCATGAGTCGGGGTGCGCTTGTCGCTCCAGGACCATGTCGTGCTAACGGCTCGCGCTGCGCGAGACTTGGAAGACGAGAGCGGAGAGATGGAGCGAATATGGCAAGGGGCATGTCATGGTCGACGATGACGGTCGAGAGGTGCGGGACAGAGCCTCCGCGTCGCGCGCGTCGGAGTCCGCCCCAGGGCCCCATCGTCGGCGCCGCCACAGTGGGCGCGACCGCGCGACCCGCTTTGGGCGTTTCACGGCGTGCTCCCCGACGACCATATCCTCCGCTCCCCTTCCGCTCACGACTTGGTTTATACCCTCATCATCTTCGCCGTCTATCCTTATGTCTGGCACTGCAACTCCCACTGAGGTCGCCGGCGAGGTGCGTCCCTCATTGCACCATGCGCTCTTGTCTGGACCAGGCCTGACATCTTGCGTCACGATTGTCTCGACCCCGGTCCATCCTAATACATGAATGCCTCCGGCAACCCTCACCTGACCGTGCACCCACGCCCTTCAGGCCGTCCCTGCCTCTCAGAAGGGCAGCTGGACCAGTTTCCTCAAGTCGTACGTTTCCTATCTCCTCCTGCCCTGCACATTGATCTCACCGATGTCCCACTCTCCCCGCCCGCTCTCCATCACAGGATCGCCTCGTTCTCCGGGGACCTCTCTTCGCTCACCGCGCCGCCCTTCATCCTCTCGCCCATCTCCCTCACGGAGTTCCCTGGTGCGCCCCTGCTGCTGCGCTGCTTCACAGCCATCGTCCTGACGCGCGCGAGCAGCCTACTGGTGCGAACGCCCGGCGTTGTTCTCTGCGATCGCGGATGCCAAGAACGAGCAGGAGAGGTCTATCGCCGTCCTGAAATGGTTCATCGTGAGTGGTTTCTAATGCCCCTGATGCCCGCGCTACATGTCCTTCCGTGCTGCACAGAGCACCCTCAAAGGCCAATACACATCCCGTAATGAGAAGCTCGGATCTGAGAAGAAGCCCCTCAACCCTGTCCTTGGAGAGTACGTACATTTACTTCTTCTTTCTCACCCCCTCCAACGTGTCATCCCCAGGCTGTTCTACGGCTACTGGCCCGACGCCAACGGCCGCGGACAGACCAACCTCGTTGTCGAGCAAGTCTCGCACCACCCGCCCATCACCGCCTACTTCATTTGCAACCCGTCGAGGGGCCTCGCGCTCCAAGGCCACAGCGCCCAGAAGACGAGTTTCTCGGGCGGCAGCATCATTGTCAAGCAGATCGGCCACGCTATCCTCACCGTCGACCTACCCTCAGGCGGCACGGAGCAGTTCTTGATCACCCTACCGCGGCTTCGCATTGATGGCCTGTGGTACGGGTCGCCATACATTGAGCTGGCGGAGACCTCGTACATTCAGTCGTCTTCTGGGTGGCTATCAACGGTGCGTTATCTTTCGCTTAGTGTCTGAATGGCTACTTCTTGCTTTCTGCGCCAAGACGCCGTGTTTCTTGCTTCCCTTGTTCGCATGTGCTGACGTGGATGTTCTGTAGATTGAGTACAAGGGCAAGGGCTACTTCTCCGGCCGCTCGCACTCCTTCAAAGCCTTGCTGACGTCCCCAGGATCGAGTCACCCGGTGAAGAAGTATGAGGGCGTCTGGCACGAGGTCTCCAAGGACCTCGACACTGGCGAGACCTTCACGGACGTCACTTCGGCCAAAGAGGAGGTCACGGTCGGGACGGTCGAGGAGATGCACGAGTTCGAGAGCAGGAGGCTGTGGCAGCACGTCGCGCGGGGCATCCGTGAGGGCGACTACGAGCTTGCGAGTCGGGAGAAGAGCAAGATCGAGGTGTGTATGCATTTGCTGCAGGGGGATTGCATTCGCTCACTCCGTTCGCTGGTTTCCTGTGCATGCGTACACCTACTTCGCACGTTTTCCTTGACAACCATCCCCCCACCCTCTCAATCCTGCGCACGATGGTCTGCAGAACGACCAGCGGCAGATGCGTCGCGACGAGCAGGCGGCGGGCTCGTCGTGGAAGCTGCGCCACTTCGACCACATCGACTTGGATCCCGTGTACGAGCGCCTGGCGAAGCTCTTCAACGCCACGCCGCTCGTCGAGGACACGTACGACTTCCTCCACAACCACGACGGCACGCCGTCCGTTCCCAAGTAGACCATGTAGCCTGCGCGTGTTGTAACGTTGTTCTGAGCTCGGAGCCATGTAGAGACGTGCGTGTAGCGTTGTTCGCGGACTGACCACGACCCTGATAATGTAATGGACGTTGGGAGAGGCGGTGGCTGGTACGGATATATGAGGAGCGGACGGTATGCTAGCTGTAGGTACATGCCTTGAATCTAAAGCGTGGTCTTACGGCAGCACTCGCGACACCACCGCGGCCGTAACCGAAACCGCCACCCGTGTGGGCATCGGACGGATGGTAGCATCGTCGACTTTCTTTACGGTGACCCGAATGCGCGCGGACATCGCACAAGGACCCTCCAGCTGTAAGTAGGCATTCCGGAAAACAGACACCGCCGCTCGATCGTTGAGTGGGTAGAGGTTTCGATCGAAGAGCTCGGAACTGCAATGTTATCAACACACTCGTTCTACAGAATTGAAACGCGCGGATCAGCGGCGCTCGAAGCTGGAGGTCTCAATTTTTGAAAGTACTCGAGTAGAGTGCAAGTAAGTAACGATCTCATGGACGCCCGGCTACTGGGGCGCCGCCACTTGCCAGCCACCACCATTGTCGCCCTTCCCCGCCGCCGCCTCCGCCCTCTTTTCCGCAGACGGTGCGTTTCACGGCTCCGCGCGGCGCGCAGCACGAGACTACGCTGGTTTACCCGGCGAATCTACGGAGAAACTGCTGGAGATATCTTCCTCCCATACCACGCGACGGATCTGGCCTGGAAAGGATCGCTCGTCCGCTGGGTGCCTTGGGGAGGCGGCGACATGTAGGCCGCCTTGGAACCGCACCCGTGTCTCTGATCGTGTTCTGGTCCTTTCTCTCCAACCATCCTGTACTGTGACGATTGGGTTCGAGCACCGAACATACTTGCTGGTAGATGGCCGTGACGTCGGCTGGGCGGACCGGGCCCAATTGCGATACCATGCCGTTCCCAGCAGGGCCCCCATTGGGGAGAGGTTTACCGGGACCCTCCGCCTGTGGAGCTCTACAGCTCTTAGGGCAATGCGCCTCTTCTCTGTGCGTCCGCCACGATCAAGCATCTCGCCCGGCGGCGTTCAGAACTCAGGAGCAAAGACCAGGCGCGGGGCGGATGTCCACCAAAGAGGTGCGCGTTATCGCCCCGCGCCTCGCCGCCACTGTTGCTGTATCAACACGTCAATTTCTCGGCGCGAGGCTCACGTGCCGCCGGAGCATCGTTCACAGACGGACATACTTATAGCTTCATGCATCGATTCCTTCCATGTCGCGTTTCGCGCCCCTTCTCCCCGTCCCCCGTCCCCCCTCGGCTCTGCTCTGTGCTGACCACGCTCAATGGACCCATGAGCTCTCTCGCCTCAGCCGGCGCAGAAATTCTCACGTACGTGCTCTGTCCCTCGCCCTCCTGAAAACCAGCAAACTAACTCAGACACCCGCAGCGCACAGTCGGCTTTCGCCGTCCGTTATGTGTCCACTCTTGCATTTGGTAAGCGCATCTACACCAGCACCCGATCCCCACGCTCACCGCCTTGCCTCGCTCCCCAGTGATCCTCTATTATGACTACTTCTTGACCCTGGGGCCGGAGGTCGACCGCTATTGGAAGGGTGGCTTCAGCCTTGTTTCCTGCGGATATTTCCTCAACCGCTACCTCTCCCTCTTTGGTCACGTCCCCGTGATGATAGAGTTTTACATGTTGCACGACGAGGTCGTAAGTCCCTTCCGCCTATGTCGTAAATTTCTCACGTGCTCATGCTTTCCATGGCAGATGTCAGTTCATCTGTCTGCTGTTACTACGCGTGGAGCATTGCGGATTCTGACGTTTCTGGCACGCTGCGGTGATTTGAATGTTGCAGATGCACGCGGTTCCAGGTATACCACCAGCTCCTCTCTGGGGTCACGCAGGTCATTGTCGGCCGTGAGTGCTCATCCATGCGTTTTTGTCGCCTACGCTGACACAACCAATCCTCTCGAAGTGCTCCAGGTCTTGCGCTTGTATGCGTTGTATGGTCGCAATCGCCGAATCGTGGTCTCACTCCTCACCGTGATCGGCCTGAGCTGTGGCACCAGCTGGGTAGGTCTTCCAGCGTGCAGCTTCCAGCTTCTGGCAGGCGTCCGCATTGCCCTGTGTCTGTCCTGGTGCTGCTATGTGCATGCGCACCACGACGATCAGGTTGCCGTCGCGCAAAGTCCGATCCCTGGCATCTCACGCTGATTCTTCTCCTCCGCCTTTACAGTGGGCAGCGACCAAGACCTGGCACGCAAGCGATCCCACCGCCTCCGACCTCAGTCATGACCCACGCTTCGTCGGCCTCTTAGGGTGCGGCCTTGGGCTGACCTCCGACCAGTGAGTCCCGCCGCCAGGCGCGCGCCGGGAGAACAGCAGCTGATCGCGCGCGACGCCTCCCGCACAGGGGCTTTTGTGCGTCCCCTCTTTCCATCCCATGTGGCCTCCGTGCGCGCTGCAACTAAACTTGGCGCGTGCGACCAACAGACATCGCGATCGTGTGGGCGACCGTGCTCGTGTTCGACGTCATCGTGTTCGCGCTGACCGCGTACCGCGTACTCCGGGTGGGCAAGAAGTGGCACGGCAGCCTGTTCACGCTGCTGCTGCGCGACGGTGAGTTCGTTGGACTCTCGGCTGATGAGATGTTGCTGACCGGCGGTGCTGGTCACGCCAGGCGCGCTGTACTTTGGGTGCGTGTCTGGTTCTGGGTGTGACCTTGTTTGGCCCGGGGAGCTGATTTCGTGTTGACGTCAGGGTGTTGGCGATGTTCCATCTCACAAACATCCTCACGTGCTTGGTGGGTGCCATCTCGAACGGCAGTTTCGCCACCCGAACTGATGATTCTTCCTTCACAGCTCGCACAGGTCCGTCTTCGGATGCGTTCTCACCGGTGTCATATCGTCCCGAGCGTTGACATTTCCCGGTTGCGGTCTCACAGCCCGCCTACAGAGGGATCAGCGTCACCGCGACCAACGTGTACGTCGTCTCCCGTTCTACGACCTCGTTCTCGTGCTCACAGCCTCCGACCGCGTCTCTGCGCGCAGGCTGTCGACATCGCTCATCGGGCGCCTCATGCTCAACATCCGCGACCCCGACGCGCGCGACGTTCTTCGATGGCCCTCGGACGTCGAACTGAGTGCAGAGAATGCCGTTTGAGCCCCCGGAGGAGATGCGTCGCGCGACCCCACCCCTTCCTCCCCGAACCATGTGTTGGATTCGTTCGTACCATCGCGAATCTATTTGCACATGTGCTTCGACATCTGGCTCGCTCGCAACGGCGCTGTTGCGATCCGCTTCCCCGAGGCCCCAACTGCGGTGTGCGCTCGGCGCGAGTCTGAAACCGATCGATCCCCCGACATTGCCACCTCGACAACGCTCCGTCTCGTTGACGGTGTCGTGTGGGGCGAACTCGGGCGTGCGCTCCACCAAACCTAATGCTTTCGGCCCACATTTGGGACTGAGGTTGCTATGATTGGTGTGCCCCCGGCGCGCCGCTCTGCTTACTGGCGTCGCGAACCCCGCGCGCTGCTAAACAAGGCGTTCGCGGCACCACGCTCGACGGCGCATCCGCTGCGAGCGGGGCGGTGGCACAGCGCCTGACCAACTTGAAGGCTTCTCTCCCTAGTGGAGGAGGAGGAGGAGGTTGGTGACTTCAGCCCCTCCAGCCTCAGTGCCGCAACACCGCTAGAAGCGCCGAGGAATCCTACTTGGGACCGCCAGTGCTGATCGTTTGAACTTTGACCGCCGGCGCCTCTCGGGGGTACTATATACATGCGTGCGCTCGCGGGTCCTGTCCGTGCACGAGAAGCCCCGCAGACAACACATAAGTAAGGACGTCGACCCGCACGAGAAGCCCCGGATTCAAGGCGCAAGTGGCCATGTCGCTGTCCGCCGACAGCTCGGATCTGGTATCGTGAGTGGTTGCTTGCAGCGGGGGTGGTATGGGTGCAGTTGGCGCTGACGGACGTTGGATGTGCAGGGAGCTGCGAGATGCGGTGGTGCGCCTCGTCCTCACCACCATCGCTTTCAGTGAGTTATATTTCCGCGGCCCTTCGGACGTCTTTTCTGACATGTCGCAGTGATCCTCTACTACGACTTCGGGCTCACCTTTGGCGTGGAGGTGGAGCGCTTCTGGGAGGGCCGGAGGCTGAACGCGTTGAGCTGTGGGTTCTTCCTCAGCCGGTACATGTCGCTGGTCGGGCATGTTCCGGTGATGTATGAATTTTATGGGGCGCCTTCGATACACGTGAGCGTGACCTTTCGGCGGTCCTTCAGCTCATGTATGCTGAACGATTTCTGTCCAGGTGTGGGTGCTCTATGGAACGGTGATCCTGAAATCTGCCTCAACTGGCGCATATTTGCACAGGTGCCATAGTCTGCAAACGTTCCATCAGCTCCTATCCGGGTTTGCACAGGTGACGGTGGCGGGTACGTGCCGTTACAGTAACACTGCATCCAACAGGGTGGCGCTGATGCGATGCTTTTGGCAGCACTGCAGATCTTCCGGGTGTATGCCATATACAATAGCAGCCGCAGGATTTTGTACGCACTGATAGGTTTGTGCCTTACGTCGTTCGGTGTCGCAATGGTGCGTGAATCTGTGATGTACTCCGTGCGAGAAAAGTACTCACCGCATTTTGTTGGGTAGTGGGCCATCGTAGTGTCTTGGCATCTTGGTTCGGACACGTCGCCGAGAGTGGTGGGACTGCGAGAATCTGGCAAGCAAATCGGATGCAATTTGGGCCAGTCAAAAGGACAGTGAGTTATCACAGCTACACCTGAGTTGGAGTTCACATTCCTTATCGGGTCCATAGAGGACACTGTGAGCATTCCACTCACCCTTTCCGCCCTGTACGTTCTGAACTCTTCTAGACGTTGCGATCATATGGGGCTCGTTTTTGGCCTTCGACGCGATCGTGTTTGCTATGACTATCTCTCGCATCAGGGGACTGGGGCAGACCATGCGGGGAGGCGTTTTCTCAGTGATTCTGCGAGATGGTAAGTCGGAGATGCGCTTCCAGACAAGGCCGAACTGACCGGAGGTTTCCCAGGGACGCTATATTTCACGTGAGCGACTATCTGCACAGTGGACGCGTGATCCGTCTGACAGGAAGATCTCGTCCAGCATATTATTGGGTTTCCATCTTGCGAATATACTGACCGCGCTGGTTAGTACCACACGCGGTTGTTTCTTCAACAGCATGTCCACTGACCATATTTGTGGTGCGACAGCTCGAGAGGGTACGTACTCTCGGTCCAAGGATGCCAACTTCTCACACCATATTCCGTACCACAGCCTGCGCTGAGAAGCATCAGCGTGACCGCCACGAACATGTGAGTGCGCTCGCAGACGTCCGCTTACCACACTGTGCCCGATCTGACGATTCGCGGAACACACCAGTTTGGCGACGACGCTCATGTCCCGCCTCATGCTCAACATCCGCGATCCAGCGCTGTTGCATGTGCGCTTGGGTCCATTGTGGGAGATGCAGACCGTGGAGGCAGGCGACGAGCAAAGATGGCCTGTTCCACGAGGGCGGATGTTGCGGCCCGCCGGCGGACGGCGGCGGGAGGGCGAGGTTTATATCCCGGCGTGAGGACAGGATGTCTGATGTCCGTTTGTGATTTTCTTGGTGTCATACTGCTGGAGTGAGTAAAGGGCGCAAGCAGATGGACGGCGAGCCTCAGGGTGTTGAGTCAAGCCAGGCACCGGGAAAGGCAGGCGGAAATTCCCGGCGGTCGGGATTATTCGCAGGCGGGTTGTCTAGGCGCCGACATGATGCCTTTCCTCCACCCCCACTCACGTCGTGGCTGTGTGCATTTACTCATCGAGCCGTCTCAGAACCTCTGCTTAAATGGCCTCTCTGAGGTGCTGTACAACTCACAGATGTGACGAGCAAGGGTACGAGGTAAGCCAGTGTGTCGGGGGTGTCTTCTTACAATGCACACAGCTTCACGAGTTCCGTGTATACAGCCTCACGCGGAGCGAATTGTAGTTGCAAAATCCAAACCAGACGCATAGCAGAGGGTGTTTTGTGGTTCTTTTTGATGTGGCTCGAGAATCGCTGAAGCTACGCACCGCCAGCTTCTGTGTCGGGGGTCGCCCGCCCAGATATGACGCGTTTTCCTTGGTGAGTCCATCCGCTCGCGCTTGAAATCCGGCCTTGTTAGATGCTCACGAGAAAAGTTTTAGCGACATCCAAGCCCCTTAGCCCCATTCGCGAATACGTGGGCATCCACTGCACAGAATAAAGTTCAATTTGACTCGCGCAAGCGCGACCAACAACTGATGACCGCTGGCGGGCGGTGGTCTCACCCCACCCGACGATGCGCCCCGCTTCCACTTCGTGAATACCTGGTGCGTTATCTATAAACTCAATGGATGCAAAGCTCGGGTGCGCTGACGACAAACGGGGTAGCACAGGGATTGGTGCATGGGGGTGCGGTGCTGCGTGGGGCCGCGGCCTCCGGGATACGCGGCAATCTGGCCGGATTTTGCGCTAACGGCCGCTGAAGCACTGCGCGAGCAATGTGGGCGAGCCGACGTTACCCGTTGCTGGCATCGAGCCTCCACTGGTGCCATATATACACCCGGGTCGTGTGAGACCCTCCCTTCCTCTCTTTCTGCTGTGTTCGTATGCAGCCTCCATGACGGTCGAGGAAGATGACGTCCTCAAGTGAGTCGATGGTCCAATGTTCTGGGGGGCCCAAGCCAATACTGATGCGGTCTGGGGTTTTCTAGACTTGAAGGGGTGCACTGTACAGACATAGAAATGTTACTCTTGGGTTTTGGGGCAGCTGGGTTTGGTACGTTTCGCTTCTCAAGGCTATCGTGATAGCTGGCGCCTGTCGTGAGCTCACCACACGATCACAGCGATCCTCTACTACGATTATTTCCTCACTTTTTCCCTGGAGGTCGAACGATTCTGGAGTCGGCGCTTCACATTGGTATCGTTCGCGTTCTTCCTCAATCGTTACGTGCTGCTCTTGGGACACATCCCCGTGATCTTTGAGTTTTTCGGAACGAATCAGTCCTCGTCTGTGAGTGTTCTCTCCTCGTGATCACGACTGTTCATGCTCACGCGTCAATCAAGGTGTGCGCAATCTTGTCACAATCTCCGCTGCAAAACGTTACCAATCTTCATTGCAGGTGCATTCCCTTACAAGTATTCCATCGTGTCCTGTTTGGAGCATTAGAAGTATTCACCGGTGGTGGGTACTCATCGCTGCTCTTGGCAGATGGTTTCTTATAGGTGTCCTTGAAGTCCTTCAGATATGGCGGGTCTATGCATTATACAACCGCAGTCGGCGCATACTGGTCTTCTTCATCGTCGTGGCCATAGCCGTGTGCGGATTCTGCGCTGCAAGTGATTTCCTTTATGCCAGACTCGATGCGCTGACATCGGTTTCGCAGCTTTCACTTGTCAAGATCGCGCAATTGAGTCAAACTCCGGGCATCCTCTCGGTCACGGACCCGTCGCTGATCTCCATCGGTTGCAACTATTTTATCACCAAAGAGCAGTAAGTGAGCGCACAGTACTTTCATGTATCTCCTCCCTAATCGGCCACTCAAACAGAAGCCGTCGTGAGTAGCCAGTCGTCCTCGAAATGGCTCGCGCGGATTGACTATGTTGTGCAGACTTCGCGTTCATTTGGGCTGCCGTTCTCGTGTTTGATGCGGCGGTCTTCGGGCTCACAGTGGCAAAGGTTCTCAGGGTCGGACGCACGTGGCAAGGAAGTCTTTTCACATTGATGCTCGTAGACGGTGGGGTTAATCCTTGCTCTACAGTCTCCATTGTCTAACTTGAGCTTGGTCAGGTGCCCTTTACTTCGGGTAAGCATACTAATTGTGTGTCAACCAGCCCCATTGACGGAAGTGGGTGCGCAGGGTGATGTTCTTATGCAACCTGGCGAACATCGTAGTATACTGGGTGAGCTTTATTTTCCTTGTCGAGACACGAGCGAGTTCTGACGTCGAGTAGACTTGGACCGTGAGTCGTTTCGCCGTCATTTTCCGCGAGGGTCTTTCCGACACCCTTGCGTCCTCTAGGGCAAGTCCGCTTCCAAGAATGCTAGCGTCACCATGACAAATATGTGCGTGCTGTTCTCTCAAACTGCTTCTTCGTGATTGTGACGTGACTTCTCAGCTTGTCAGCCACACTCATGTCGCGTCTCATGCTGCATATCCGTGACCCTGAGCTCTTGGAAGCTCGCTTCAACTAATGTGGACCTTGTTACGAGCTCCGAACTGCGTTGGATCTTCTCACTCCACATTGGCACTTGCAGGTGCGCGCTTGTGATCACGATAAACTCAGTAAATAATCACGGTATTGCTTCCATTCATTCGTGGACACAGGATTGCGGAGGGGGGCACGAAAGATGATCGAGAACCCTTACCAATGTGGCCTCGACAGACACTGCACGGCCTGATCCCACTTTTATCAGAGCCTGAACGGAGACAGCTAAATGTGGACGTTTGTGGTCGCGCTCGAGCTACGGCGCAGTCGGCGATGGACTTGGCCGGGAGCGAAGATCTTGCGGCTGTCCTTGCTTTCCTATGCTGGTTTTCAGCGCATCTCATGTCGGTTCCAGTGGCAGTGCACCGTCGTTCTCGGGACCTGGAAAAAGGCATAATTTTTCCCTCGCTGCTGGTAAGTCGCGATGCCATCTCTTCGTTTGGGCATCCAACGTGGAGTTTGCAGCCATATGAGTTCAAGATCAAATCAAGAAGGGTGGTCCGCTTCCCTCGCTCGAGTATTTCGCATGAAACTGATCTTACCTCTCGACCATGTGCTTCTCGTGTTTCCTGTGTGGTGCGGAAATCGCTGATGTACAACAAGGACTGTAATCTCACAAAGCGCTGCCACGCTGTCGACCACGCACGGCAAACGACGCTGGTCGCCTACGAGCCACGAAGCGCGGCAGCGCGGCCAGTATTCCCACCGACTTCAATCTGTCACCATGCATCATTGCGCCCCTGGTATCGCCTCAGCGTCCCGCCCAATCTACAAGAAAAAGCTTCCCGTTGAAACCGAGACCATCTTTTCCCGGCCACCATCGCCCTCTTCTCCCTCTCTCTCCTGTCCGCATCCATATGCCTTAGCAGCGGTGCGTTGCCTACACAATGAGCGTCACGCATCTGAGCGACACCGAACTGTGAGCGGAGTGTCCATTAACTTCCGCTCTCACTCGCACGGCTTCAGTTGCTTACATTTTCTGAACAGCTCGTTCGTGAGCGACTCTTTTGTCCGCCTCGTATTTGGCACGATCGCCTTCGGTGAGTGTCCTCCCCTCGGGCCAACGGCAATTTAATAGCTGATACCACATCGATCGCAGTCATTCTTTACTATGACTACTTCCTAACTCTCGGAGATGAGTTCCAACGGTACTGGGGCCGTCCGTCCTCGCCCGTCTCTTTCGGGTTCTTTTTCAACAGGTACCTGTCGGTGCTCGGGAACATTCCCGTGCTCATTCAATTCTACGGCAATCCGCTATCGCCAGTGAGTCTTTCACAAATATGCTGCGTATTTAATCCTTGGGGCTGATGAGCATTCGGTCAACTTCCAGCTGTACGTGTTCGCAGCCGCCTTGGGCTCCCAGTATTGAATTCCAAATACCCACGTCCCCCGCAGCTGTCCGCATCTGTCGTTAATTCATCAGATGCTGATAGGCTTCGTCCAGCTCGTCACCGCCGGTACGCCTCTTGATCATTGATAGCAGCTCCTATGTGCCCGACTACGAGCTCATCTTCGCTTGTCTGCTCCAGCACTCCAGTTGCAGCGCGTCCACGCGCTTTACGGAGGCAGCAAACGCGTGCTGGGTCTCCTTCTGGCCGTCGGGAGTATATTGGCGTCAGTGGTCATCGTGCGTGATATCCGCACTTCTGGTTCGATCGCGACGGCCGCTCATGGACAGTCTCGGCTGACGAACAGTGGGCATGGGTCGCGTTGATGCAAGCGGGCTCTTCGCCATCCTACAATCATTTGGTCCACGAGTTCGCGCCCGTCCTCGTTGGATGCAATACGAGCGTATCGGAGACACAGTGAGTACTTCCTGCCCCCAGTTTCTCTTTGGCCGTGCCTGCTCACATACTTTTCAGGGGTATTTGTGAGTACCACCCTCGAGCAGAAGTCAATTAAGGTTCCCTTAAGCACGGTGCGCCGCATCGCAGATCTTGCAATCATATGGTCGTGTTTTCTCGCGTTCGACATGGTGGTGTTTGGTATCACAGTGCAGAAACTACTGATATCCGAAGGGCATGGGTGAAGAGCGTCCTAACGGTCATGCTCCGAGACGGTGAGTTTTTCGGTATTACTCGCCGTCGCCCCCTTGTTCAGCGTTGTGACTTCGTCTTCCAGGTGCCTTGTATTTCGGGTACGTTGGTTTTCGCGTCCAAGTGGGGCTACAAAGATATCGTAACCGAAATCCACTTAGCGTGATCCTGTTGCTGCACATGTCCAACATATGGACATCGGTAGTAAGTCTATGCATCTTACGTCCCGGCGTCCGGCGCGGCTGACACAAAGCTCCGAATCCTCAGTTCACCCAAGTATGCCACGGCTCTCTCATGTTCCGTGTCTCTGAGTGACTTTCCACAGCCCACAACAAAAAGCATCAGCGTCACGCTGACCAGCGCGCAAGTGCCCCCTCCTGCTCTCCTTCGGCCTCCCGCGCTTACCTCGCGCTCCCTCCAGCATCGCTACGACCCTCATGTCCCGCCTCATGCTCAACCTCCGCGACCCGCGCATCCGCGGGGACGCCCTGACAATGCCGTCCAGCTCCATCGTCCTGACGTCCGAGATTGTCATAGATCAATGAATCGCCGTGCGCCGCCACTGCATCCAGGCACCTGTCTCTTGGAATTCGCATTGGATCCACTCTCGTTGTCAATCTCTGCGCCCCGCCGCTCTACTCGCGCTATTTATTCGCGGACATGGACGTTCGAAACATGTGTCATACTCTTTCTGCTTTGTATACCCGAACCCTACGCCCACGGCGAGCATTGTTGACGGGGTGTTTCTACTGAATTGGACCGGGCCTCTATGTAGCGACTATGAATCGATGACGTTACCCACCTGGGCCATGTACAGGTCCTCCGAGGCAACGTTGACTTGTCCCAGGTAATCAGTCAGAATCGTAACACGCTGAGCAAACACAATATTTGTATTAAGAGGAATATGAGGGTATCAAGATGCAACCTGTATACTCACAGCCCGCCATCTTATCCGAATGTAAGGAAAGTGCCCAGAACACAATAAACCTATCAGACTAATGCCCTAATCTAAGCATGCGAGCGGCAGCGTCTGCAGACGGCCAAACACCACCGCCTGGATGGTCGCGTTCGCATCGACCTTGCTCCCTGCGTCGATCACGCTCACGCTCGCGTAGCAGCCCTTCCCGATGACGCTGCCCTCCGACGGGAGGTGATCCTTCCCGCACGCCTTCGCGTCGGTCGCGAGCGGGTTCCAGAAGAGGCGCGAGAACACGAACTTGTACGCGTCCGCCGACGCGCACTTGTCGATCGACGCGTAGTTCACGTTGACGACCGTGTCCGCGGGCAGGAGCGCGCCGGGGGAGGACGTGAGCGCGGCGACGAAGGTCGAGGTGAGGGACGCGTAGATCTGCGCGGCGTGCGAGGAGGCGGCGGTCGGGTCGGACTCGAGGGTCGTGTAGGAGACCTGGGCGCCGGAGGTGCCGGAGAAGGCGACGGCGGGAATGCCGCTGCGCGCACCTTCGCAGGCTGCGCCTCTGTGATGGGAATGTAAGTCCCCGTGGAGATTAAGAGACTCTTGGAGAAGTGAGAAGCTTACACTGTGCCGGAGAAGAAGACCTCAAGTCCGATATTGACTGATAGAGATGGAGTAAGCACGTGAAATTGCCGGAGAGTGTTCTGGACTTACAGCCGACGTTGGGTCCACTCACTACGAGGTCGGGAGCAGAGCCGTTGAAGAATTGTGGTGCGAGCGTTTGTATCCCGTACCTTGCGGCATCGACTCTGCGTTGTGAACATCTCAGTATGGCCATCCACGGTATCGAACATGAAGACTCACGGATACCCATTCACGTAGTTGAGATGAGCTGGAAGCACGCACGTTCCAATGTTAGTACAACGCCACTACTCAACCATGTGATCCTAATGTCGCGGTAAATCACTAGGAAAGCTCCCCTCCCTCACGAGCGCATGATGCGATTGAATGCAGTAATCCTGGTCGGGCTACCTGCACCACGCCCAACACTATCCCTTTAGGATTCTCGAAACTCCAATGCAGGAAAAAGGGAGTCACCGCCTCCACGGGCATCCAGCAAATCTCAGGTGAAGACGCTGCAGGAACTGGATAGCACCGAGCCAGGGACCGGGCCGCACGGATCCCGGTGCTAGTCGAAAGAGGCAAGTTACGGTGGGATGCTCACGGGTGGTCTCGTTGTATCCCTGTGCCGGAGAGCCTGTAGGACACGAATCGAATTCGCAAGGCTTGGACATGGTGGCCGGAGTCTTCGTCGAGGAACCCTTGCCCGACTGATTGAGCGCAGGGGCGGAGAGCACAACCTATATGCGCGTGAAATCTCAGCTACGCGAGGGTGAGGGAGCATATATCCACCCGACGTACGCTGTGGCCTGCGTCGGCGAGAGTGCTGACCGCTTGGCGGATCTGAGCGGTCGCCCAGCCATCATCGTTGGACACGATGATGTTCTTCGCCGCCGCGCCCGCTGATACGAGGAAAAGGAAAAGAGTGAGGGGGAGCGAAAGCATCGCAGAGGCCAAGCAACGAAGGGCGGCGACGGAGAGGACGGGAATGGGAAACGGTCGGGTTCGCGCCCTAAAGCATTTATACGGACGAGCTTCACGTACAAGGGGGTAGTACGAGAAGCTGGGCCGTCGATCGCAACGGGCCACCACCTTCTGGCCGGTGAATCAGACATGTAACGAAGAACGACAGTCGCGTATCACTCACGTTCGTCATCCCACCTGCAGCCGTGCGCGCTGTCCAGTGGGCAAACGGAGCTCGCCCAGTTGGCGCATTGTGCGTCCCCAAGGATGAGGCGGCAAGCAACGTGCGTGCAGGAGACCAAGAGCACCCTCCAATCGCGCGCGGCGGTAGTTGGAGGGAGGGAGCTCAGCAGAGACCGCATGACGAGGGACCAACCTGAAGCAGGAGGCACAGAGGATGACGGGTGAAGCTTGAAGGAGAGCAGGAGCACGAGGTCCGCAGCTTAGCCGGGGTCGGCCTTGCAACCACCGGAGCGCCCGCGCGATAAACCTTGCTCCTGATCTCTTTGCACTCTTGCCAGCCACCAAACTTTGGACCAAAGCCTTGGACGAGCACTCCAAATATACACGCGCACGTAAACGTCTGACGAAGAAATCTCAAATCGCGTGATAGCTCCTGAATAGCCACGTGAAAAACTGAATGTGAGCACAAACACCCCGTCATTGAGCGGTGTCCATGGTGGACACATAGTCTCACTGCTGCCTTACTAAAAGCAGCAACATCACTTCAACTGGATCGTGCTTTGAATATGCAATAGTTGTGGTATATTCATACTTAAGCCGCGACACCCTGCTCTTCCGTGGTCCAGGGATCGACGCGGCCCGACATGCAATCGGGACAGAGATTAGATTAGATCAGATTCGAAACGGGCCATTTTCCGAAGCAGAGGACGAGAGAACATGACTCGCCACCGCCTTCTACACCTCTCCCACCAACCACCACATTCTATTGACCCCCCCCCTCATTCCAGCACTCATGGCCATTACCCAAATCACCTCCGACACCATCGAGAGCGTCCTTCCTGCACCTCTCACCGTCCCAGTACCCGCCGAGCTCGATGTATGTCCTCCAGATCGCCTTCACTGCTCCTTAGGCATTATTCTCACGGAACTCACCTAGGCTTCTAAGCTTGAGATAGACCTCGCCTCTGAGCTCAAGGCCGTACCGCCGGCTTCCGAGCTGACGTTTGGTCAGGTAAGTGCCCCCGTCTGAACTCAGTGCGCCGGCAGGAGCGTGAAGGTCTGCGTAACTTCGGTTGGGGAGGAGGTCGCCCCAGCGCCTCCAGCATACGCTCGGATCTTCGTCCGGTGTTGGGCGCGTACATACACCGCCGTTCGGAGCTCACCCGTCCCACAGGTCATGACCGACCACATGATGATCGCTCACTATGACCCGGTAAACGGTTGGAGCGCACCGCAGATCAAACCATACGGTTCCTTGTCAGTGGACCCCGCAAGTTCATGTCTTCAGTACGCGACGAACGCCTTCGAGGGAATGAAGGTGCGTCTGTTCCCCGATCTCGTTTGCTCCGCGCCACTTTGCATCCACCATGTGACCGCGACGAGAGCGCTTGCGCAAGGTCCAACCACATCGGACTTGACGGCGGGGGCGCGCGTGTAGCCACGGCGTCCAACCTATTCATCGATTATGGTCTCGCGTACAGTGCTTGATGCTACGGAGGTGACAGATAGGCGCGAGTGCTTGCATTGGTCGCACGACCGTCGCGCGGAACCTTCTATCTCGCTCTCCAGTCTATGCAACGGCTGACTTGCGTGTAGGCATATCTTGGACCGGATGGAAAGCCACGTCTGTTCCGGCCACAAATGAACATGCAGCGCATGGAGACGTCGGGAGGGCGCCTTGCTCTTCCTCCGTTTGACACAAACGAGCTCCTCAAACTCATCAAAAAGCTCGTCCTCATCGAGCAGCGATGGATCCCGACCGTCCCTGGACACAGTCTGTACCTCCGCCCCACCATCATCGGCACGCGCAGCTGTGAGTCTTATCTTCTTCTCGTCTTCCTGGACATTGTGAGAATGGTACTGAGTGCCCCACGCGCAGCTCTGGGAGTCGCGGCTTCCGACCGGGCAACTTTGTACGTCATCTGCAGCCCGACGGGGCCCTTCTTCCGCACGGGACCCAAGCCAATCGCGCTCTTCGCGGTGGGTGAGCACGTCCGCTCCTGGCCTGGCGGAACAGGCGGGTACAAGCTCTCCCTCAACTACGCGTCGACATTTCGGCCACAGCAGGTCGCGGCGAAGCTGGGATACGACCAGTGCCTCTGGCTGCTCAACGGGACGATTGCTGAGGCGGGCGCGATGAACGTTTTCGTGGTGTTGAAGCGCGACGACGGTGGTGAGTGTAGGCGCTTATCAACGACCCTATCTTTTCTCATCTGCCCTACTCTTTCAGCGCTCGAAGTCGCGACCCCTCCGCTGGACGGGACGATTCTGCCTGGAGTCACACGCGCGTCCATCCTGGAGCTCGTCGCGGCGCATCCCTCGAAGACCACTCTCCCTGGGCTTGACCCCTCCATCGTGCTACATCCGGCCGAGCGCACGATGACGATGGCTGACCTTACTGAGTGGTCCGAGGAGGGTCGTCTCCTAGAAGTGTTTGCCGTCGGCACCGCGGCCGTCGTCGCGGCGGTGGGGAGGATCGGGTACGAAGGCAAGGATATCGTGCTTCCCGCTCACGAAGGCGCGCTCGGCCCCGTTGCGCGCGGGATGTACGACCGCGTGACCGCGATCCAGGACGGCAGGTTCGACTGGCAGGACTGGTGCGTGAAGTGCGAGTGAGCTGCCCGGCGAGCTGCCACGTATACCACAATTAGTGTAATTTGCCGTCGTGCTTGGATTATAATGTACCTCTAGATCTAGCGATGCATATGTATGTGCTGCTTCTTGAATTGTGGGTGCTGATCTCCCCCCGCCTACTCGCCCCCATCGTCCTGCACCTCGGTTGTGGCTGCAGCCGCTGCCTTGCGCTCGGCCCTCTTCGCTCCCTTCGTCAGCCGCCACCGCTCGTTGATCTCCTCTGGCGTCCGCAGCCGCTTGCGCCGCAGCAGCGGTGTGTAGGTCGTCCACCGCCGCGACGCACCCCCGCCGAGCGGCACCTGCGGCACGCCGCCCGCACCCACAGGCAACGGCATGTGCACGCTCAGCGCGCGCGCGAAGTGGTCTGCCAGCGCGGCGGCGACCTGCGCGCGGTCCCGCGCGGCGAGCACACTCGCGAGCGTGACGTTCGGGGTGTCCCCGTCGGAGGGGGCCGCGCGCCACGGGGGCGCGTCCGCGGCGTCGTACCCGCACTCCCACAGCACGAGCGGCTGCGGGTCCGCGATCTGGTACTCCGGGCGGCCGGTGACGACCGGGGGCGCGGGCTCGTCGGGACGGGACGCGGGGCGCGGGGCCGCGGGGTCGGCGTTGAGGAGGGCGTCGACGATGGAGGGGCGCTCGAGGCGCGCGCCGACGAGGAAGAGGACGGCCATGATGTGCCGGACCATGTTGTAGAGGAAGGCGGTGCCGCGGAGGTTGAAGACGAGGAGCGCGTCCGGGCGCGGGTCCGCGGGGTCGACGGGGTCGATGGAGGCGGCGAGGATGCGGCGGAGGAAGACGGTCTGCTGCTTGCTCGGGTCGATGCGGCAGAGGTTGCGGAAGTCGTGGAGGCCGACGAGGCGGGCGGCGGCGTCGCGCATCGCAGGGAGGTCGAGGCCGGCGGGGGAGAAGAAGTACTTGTAGTGCCGCCACTTGCAGTGGAAGCGGGCGGAGAAGTCGTCCGGGACCGGCGCCCACGAGAGCACGCGGATGGTGGGCGGGAGCAGGCTGTTGAGCTTGGGTACGTAACCGATTTCGTCGTCGTCCGTGAGGGCGGAGGAAGCGGGGGTAGCGGAAAGGGAGGAGTTGGAAGGTGCTTCGTCGGTGAGGTCACCGAGGTCACCGAAGTCACCCTCGAGTCCGGGGCCGTCTTCGTCTTGAATGACGGACGCATCTTCAGAGGGCGGATGGAGTGCGTCTCCCGAGGTTGCTCCCTTCACGAGCTTCGAACCCAGCGCACTGCGAATCCAGAAACTCACCACCTGCCCGGCCCCGCTGACCCCCACGTCCGTCCGCCCGCACTTCTCCCATCCGCATCCTTGCAAGCCCTTAGCAGGGTCAATAAGTCGTGCATGGACCAGCGCGTCGAAGAGCGTGCCCTCGACCGTCGGGAGAGATCCATACGCCTGTGACTCGAAGCCACCATGGTGGACGCCGTTGTAGGACACCTTCAGGGCGATCTTCCTCCGTGGGTACGCGTCGAAGTTGAATCCATCGTTGGGGCGGTGTGCTTCTTTTTCCGGTTTTTCCGGAGGTTGGTTCGCGGTGAGATGCTGAAGTCGCGCAATCAGCTCTTCGCGAGTCCAGTGTTTGTACGGGTCCATGCGTGGAAATGACAAGCTTGCATAACGGCGTGAGATTCGGTAGCTGACGCTGCCGATCATGCAAGGTGCCGGACGTACTTGGCTGTCCTAAAGTGTCAGCAGAGAGAGAGAGGGGAGCTCAGGAGAGTTTGCGCACCTCGAGTCGGACAAGCTCGAGTATACAAGCAGAAGGCAGTTTGACTGGAAAGGTAACTGGTTCAAGCAAATTCAGACTCCGAAAGGGGGTCCCTGAACACCATCATCTAACAAGTTGACTAGTGACTCTTCTCGACTTGTTCTCGACTACACCTTCCACGTACGAACAATATGGACTTGGCTGTTTGGTGCACTCCGCCAACTGTCTTCTTCACTTCTTAGTCACAACAGGAGATTAAATCTTTCATTTATCCCCAGGATATTTCAGACGCCAAGAGTGCGCCCATCACACTGGAAGCCTTAGAACTGGCCCGTGCGCCGGGTTGACATGAGATCGATTGGCACCACATTCCGCTCTTCGACCGTTATCTTGGTGCTGTTTCACTACAAGAGGATCAAACGCCCATATCTGCAGGTTCCAAATGAACTATTGTTGAAGGATCCTCCGCGCGCCCTCGGCACGGCCCGTTCCTTGTATGCTCCTTTCAAGACCGCGGCCGCCAGAAGCATCGACGAGGCTGTGTGTGTGGTCTGCGGTAGTACATAAAGCGTTTCCGGCACGACACCTGAGACACTCTCGCTCCGTCATGTCCGCACTATTTGGCGATTCTACCAACCTCCAGCCCCTTTCCGAGCCTGTCGAAGCGCCACCAGCCTTCGCGCCGGTCGCGCCGCCGCCGGCGCGGAGCTCGCCCGAAGCCCGTACGTCGGCCCGCCACCGCCACGCGAGCGACATTGACGCGTTGCTATTTGGTCGTCGCCGTTTAGCACGCATAAAAGCGGCCGATCTCCCCGATGTCGACGACTTCGAGCAGCCACAGTGGGAGACTCTTGAGCCCGACGGTGACACTTACATGACAGAAGGTATGTCGCCTGCGTTCATAGCGCCGCTCAGCCGACGGGCTTATATGTGCACTGTGCAGGAACCGCAGAAGACGGGGAGCTGAGCTCTGGATTGTTTGACCATATTGAGGTCTGTGTATCACCCTCGCATCGCGGCAGATGTTGAACGCATATATGCGCTCCAGACCTTCCCCGGAGACATCCCAGATGAAGGCCCAAATCGCCCCCTCATCGCGCCGCTCGCGCCAATGGCAACACTGCGCGCGGAGTACGAGAACGGATCGCAGGGCTTCGTGAAGCAAATCGACTGGCTCATGAGTCAGGGGTGGGTCGGCATCCGACGCACGCGTGGAGACGGTACGTCCTCCCCCTCTGCCACTCCCTGCCACACACACGATCTCGACCTCATGATCCCTCTTTTTGCTCGTCTGCTATCGCTGCGCGCTAAATATGCTCGCGCAATCTCAGGCGACTGTTTCTATCGGTGTAAGTACGGACCTCCGTCTTTTCTCGCGCGCGACGGCCGAGATATCGACGGGCCGACGAGAATAGCCGAGCTGAACGCTATCTGTTCTCCCAGCGCTCGCCTTCGCATACATCGAGAGCATCCTGAACGCCCCAGATACACTCCTCGCTGCCACGAGTGCGTTGTCGGTCCTCGAAGCGACACTTCCGCAGCTGGAGGGCGTAGGCTTCCAGAGGCTTGTCTTTGAGGACTTCTATGACGCCTTGGCAGGCCTGATCAACTCGATCATCACGCCAGTCAACGGACAGATCTTGACGATCGACAGGCTTCTGGCGGAATTCAACAACCCGGAAGGTGCGCATCCCGCTTGTATGCGAGTGTATACGCGATGATATTGACGACGGAGGTGCTGCAGTGTCAAACTCTGTGGTCGTCTATCTGAGACTGCTCACTTCCGCTGAGATCAAGACCAACGCGGAGTATACAGGCTTCCTGTTGCACCCGGAGACGGGCGAAGAGCTTGATCCCGAGAGCTTCTGCAACAACTTCGTGGAAGCTGTAGGAAAAGAAGCTGGTGAGTCTTGTCCTAGTATATGCGCTTTAGTCTTCCAAGTATCAGCACTATGCGCCGGTGTCGCGATCACGACTCGGGAATTCGTCCTCGCGATTGGTCCATCGAGTCGACTGGGATGCGGGCACCGAACGATTGTAGGATCCAGTGCTCAGGCACTCACTCTGGTCTCCATTGAGGTCCCTTGGATGTTTGACGGGTACGAGTCCATCGATGTCATCGCTGCGTTGCGAGCCTGCCACAGCGGATAACAACCTGATGGGCCTTTTGTGCTCTCCCGCGTCTTGGGCCGGGCGAATTCAAAAGGTCCATCGGTTCGTTACCGGCTGTAGCGACTGTCGTCGCGTGGACAGGGAGAGTCCGGGTTCTCGCACGCAGGGCGACTGGCGCGGGTGTGGGGCGGGCAGCGAGGCCGCCCGCGCCCACTCCTGGGTCCGAAGATGGCACTTGACACACCGGAGGGCCGATTGATGAAGGTGGCTGCGCTGTGCGAAAAAGCATCTGTCGCGCGGAGACAGCCCGCGGTAGGGCTTCGTTCATCACAGACACGGGGGAAGTTTTAGGGGGAAATAGGATGTCGCATGGGCGGCTACTGGCCTGGCTCAGCGCAGGGAGCCTGGATTGGGACCACAGGCGCGTCAGTGGCGATGTTTGAGATGCTTGGGCGTTCACTGCGTAGGTGGCGTGCTCAGTTGGTCGTGGAGTCTTCCCTGCCGGCGCGCGGGTCACCGGAAGTTCCATACAGTCCAGAAGGCATGCGCGGTGGCAGGGCAGGGTTTTGTTCGCACGTCGTTGCCTCGCCGGAATGGCCGTGCTCATTTCCAGCGTCCGCTGCGGCGGCCTGTACCGTTGGGAACGCCGAACTCTAACGCCGCGCGCACAGACCACGTACAGATGAACGCACTCGCAAGCGCGCTGAAGGTCAACGTGAACGTCGCGTACCTCGACGGGCACAACGCGAAGGGGGAAGTCAACTTTGTGCCGTTCCAGAACGCGGCTTTCACGGTCACCCATCCGGTCAACCTCCTGTACAGGTGCGCGCGAGTTGGGGTCGCTGCCGCGAGGCTCAGCGTGCTGACGACGGTGCGTTTGCGCCGCCTTATCAGGCCCGGTCATTACGACATCCTGGACAAACGGGACGCAGATCCCATGGCGTCGCTTCTTGGGTGATGCCGCGGTCGAGGACGGAAGGCGGGTCGCACGTTGCGGCATAGGGGCGCGGCTGGCGTATCACGACGCGCGGCGTGTTTGAGCTGGCACGTCGGGCAGGCAGAGGGCGGGTCTTGTGCTGTACGCTAGGAGGGTGGAACGGATATCTTGTCTTCGCGATACCTGCCCGCGCGTGACTGGCTGGAGTATGCTCAGGAACGGCGGGCGATAGCTGGGCGAAGCAGAGATGCGCCGAGACTCGGCCGAGGGGGGCGGGCAGCTACGCGGCCGTCACAGTCACGCGCGCGCCCCCGCTGGTCCGTGCGGAGCTCACGTGGGGGCCTGTCACAGGGGCTTAGGTAAGGGGGGGTGTTTAACTCTGATTCTCACAGCGGAGGCTGCGCCCCACCCAGGCAGAGCCCTCTCACCCGCCAGCCAGGCCAGCCAGCCAGCCATTTTCCTCTGCCTGCAAGCCTGCGCCTAGCGCTGCCCAGTCTCCCCCCGCCCGCGACCACCACCAGTGCCGCCACCTCCCCCCACTCTCCCTCGTCCAGAACTCATCAGAGGTGTGTAGGCCGTCGTCCTCGCCATCGTTCCCCGCCAGCGCGCGATCGATCCGACCTCGCTGTCGTCGTCGCCGACGCGCAGAGCCCAGGGGCGGCGCGTCGCGCCCAGACGCGTCCCCCGCTCGCGTCGCGGACGTGTTGACCACCCCAGCGCCCCTCCACAAAGCTTCGCGTCGTGTTGAACAACGTGCTGACGGTCTTCTTGGCCCCTCAGATGCCCAAGGAAACCACCAAGGCGACCAAGGTTCGTATATGCGCCCCTCGCCCTTCCCCTATGCCCCCTACACCCGCGCAGAGTGTCCTGGGACGCTGCGCGGGGGTGTCCGACGTGTTCAACGATGCTGACGATTTTCTTTTACCAGAAGCGCACCTCAGCGAAGGCTGAGAAGGCGCCGAGAGGCGCAAAGAAGGCTGCTAAGGGTGCCAAAGGCCCCAAGCGCGCCCTGTCCGCATACATGTTCTTCTCTCAGGACTGGCGCGACAGGATCAAGGCTGAGAACCCCGACGCCGGGTTTGGTGAGTCCAACGCTGCGGCGGTTCGGGTTCGTCGCCACGTTCAACTTGTGCTGACGCGAACGTCTTCGTCCAGGCGAAATCGGCAAGCTCCTCGGTGCGAAGTGGAAGGAGCTCGACGACGAGGAGAAGAAGGTAGGATGATTTGTTTCGTCGCGTGACAAAATAGTTCTAATGTGAACATGTGTTAGCCTTACCTCGACCAGGCTGCCAAAGACAAGGCGCGCGCCGAGGCAGAGAAGAACGACTTCGATGTACGTACCTCGGAGCATCTCTGCATGCATATACTAATACACTCCTCCAGGACAAGAAGGGTGGCAGCGGCTCCGGGGACGGGGACGACGACGACGACTAAAGCCGATACCCCACCTCCTCGCCCATGCTAGATATGCCTCTCGAGTCTCCCTGTCTTGTTCGTCGATTTGTCGTGTCTTCGCTCGCTGCTCGTATCGTATCAAAACTTTAGCACGCACCCTGAATGTGTCCCCCGCTCTCCTTCTCTATGTATTTTCTCCCTCGCTAGTCGTATAGCTTCGTCGCCGGCAACGCGTGTGCATGTCGCGTTCCGGTGGACACCACACGACCTGTAATACTAGACGAAGATGTACTTGTCCGGCTCGACTTATAACTTATCTCGGAATGCGAATGGAGATGTTTAACCCCTTGATGACGCATCGACTTGTGCTGGATGTGTGCGTGGATGCTGCGGTGGGGTGGTCGTGGTTGGGAGAGAACGGAGCGCCGGACAGATCGCAGGGCTGGGGACGCGGCCCGGGCACGCTCACTCTCATCTCTGGTCTCTTCTCGTCCACCATGACCTCACCTACAGCTCTTCCTCAACCAAGTCCCAACCTGCTTCCGACATCACGCCAATGCGCAATATCCAAACGACGCGAGTCTCATGCGATCGCTCCGACGTAGTCCAAAACTCCGAAGCTGTTTACTTTTTTTGAACATATTTCCGCCGTCAAACTGGGTGCTCTTCTATCAGTGCTTATAGAAGTCGGAAGAGGCATGCGCGTAGAGAATTCCCGTTTGAGGTGAACCTCTAAGAATCTTCCGACGCGAACGCTAACGTACAATCTGCACTACACCGCTGTCTTTCGCCCAGGTACAAGCACAGTCCCTGCGCCTCCTGCAGTGCCCACCCCGTGGTTCTGAACCCAAGGTACCAGACGCCCACCACCCCCACCTACTGGTCTACTGGTTGAAGCAAGTCAAGAGACCCGAGGGCGTCAAGCGATTCAGCACTTGCGCCTGAACCGAGGAGTTGACATCCGCCTTGTGCGTAGCGTCCATCACCGTCACGCTCGCGAAGCACCCCGCGCCGACCACCGTCGATTCGTCCGGCAGGACAGTGCTCCCGCACGTGGAGACATCGTGCGCGGTCGAGTTCTTCAAGAGGCGCGTGAAGACCCACTTGAAGTCGCTCGCGCTTGTGCAGCCACCGTTGGCGGTGCCCGACGAGGTGAACGTCGTCGCGCCGTAGTTGACGTTCACGATCATTCCGGAGGGGATGATGGGGCGCGCGGAGGGGCCAAGGAGAGTTTGGGTGAAGTTGGTGGTGAGTGCGGCGTATATCTGCGCGGACTTGGACGACTGGGAGTTCGGCGAGGATTGGAGAGTGGTGAAGGAGACCTGCGACGCGGTCTTGGCGGAGAAGGCCACTGCGGGGAAGCCTTCCTTGGCGGCTTCGCAGGCGGCACCGCTGTGTGGGTGTCAGCGGCGCCGGGCAAGACGAGCGGGCATCGAGGACTCACACGGTGCCAGAGTTCGCAGTCACTGTGCCGAGGTTGTCTGAAGAGAAATAGGTGAGTGCATGCGTCCGTGTGCGGTCGTTGAAGTTCTCACTTCCAACATTAGGACCACTGACAATAAAGTCAGGCGCAGAGCCGAATATCTTCGGCGCGAGGGTCTGGATCCCGAAGCGCACCGAGTCCACCCTGTGAACAGAGTGGGTGAACTCCGGGTCGGAGATCCGCAACAATCGGCTCACGGGAAGGAGTTGACGTAGTTCAACCTCGCTGCAGAAGCACCACACCTAAAGTCAATCACTGCGGCTTCCATGTTGCGGTGTGTACATACCATTGCTCGGATCACTTCCCTCCGCCGGAGAGCCCGTCGCGCAAGTGTTAAACTCGCACGGCTGGCTCAGCGGTGTGGGCGTCGCGCTTGATGATCCAGTCCCCGACTCATTTTCCGCGGGCGCGGAGAGGAGGACCTATTCACGGATCACGCGGGTGAGAGTCAGTGACGTCGGTTAGAGCGCTGGCTCTCACTCACGTTGAAACCCGCCGAGGTGAGGGAGTCAAACTGCGCGCGGACCTGCGCGACCGCCCACCCGTCATCGTTGGTCAGCACGACCTTGGTCTGCGCCGCCGCGGTCGAGATCAGCACTGCGAGTGCCGCGCCGCGGAGGAAGCTCGTCCAGTACTGCATGAGGTCCTGTTCTTGGATGTTTGGAGATCGTTTGCGAAGTGCGCGACACGTGGAACAAAGGCGTTGGTCGCGACTGACTAGGGGTTGGACGCCGATCAGACATCCCGCCCCTCGCTTTTAAACCGAAGTGGGGAAGAGACGGCGCAGGTGGCTTGCTTCGCACGTTCGTGCTCGGAAGGCTTGGCCGCCAAAAACACCATGCGTGCGTCGACGCGGTGAGAGCGCAAGGATTCGTCTGGAACACGGGACGCCCGAGGACAGAGCAGGGGTGCAAAAGAAGCAGGCCGGCGTAGGGCGTGTCATGCGGCTCAAACTCAGCCGCTCGTCTCCGCTGACGTTTTGCGCCGAAGGACCGAGGCACGTTTATCTGCCGTTCCTGGGGATGCGCGGCCATAGGACGGAGCGAGGTGCGTGCTTGCTGTGGCATGCGGATGAGGCTGGCGAATACTAATTGGGGACCAGCCCGTACGGTGCTATATATAATGAGGAAAGCTAGCAGGACTGGTGGAAAGACGCTCTATAGTACAGGTGCACAATCATGTACTTTCACATTGCTAAAGCACACGGCGACTGATGTCTATTCGCACAAGCGTTGTCCTCGCCTCAGTCAAACTAGTGATACCAGGTAATATAAGGCTGAGGCCTGAGGACCGAGCGATGAGCAGTATTCTAAACGGCAGATTCGGAGCCTGCAGACCAGGCTCATTGTCACCACGTGGTAACACCAGCTGCCACGTATACAGGAAGGCGCACCGAAGCGATGCAGCTTACCATCCCTTGCCCAGCATCCGCTTGAGTCGTGCCTATAGCTTCGCATTTGGATTGTATCACAAATGTCGAACAGATCGTTCTCACCTCTCTTCATGCAACCCCATATCCCCTTCGCCCCGGCGGACGGCCTTGCGTACAAGGGTACGGAAGAGGTGCGTACTACCGTCTTTCGGTGTTGTGCACTTACTCACATTGATTTGAATAGGAGGATGAACATATCTATGCCATGCAACCGTTGAAGGACAGCGAATTCAATCCGATCCTCCGCCATCCTAGTACCGACGTCATGTACAGACCCCCGATGTTTCGATACGCCTGGATCATAGACGACGACCATCTGAAGCGCACCATGTCAGAGAAGTTCCCAAAGTTTATTACATTGGTCGACCGTCCTTCCCAGGACAAACCCACTCTTCCGCCAGAGTACTACAATTACTTCGAATTCAGCGAGAACCCGAGTCCGAAGACAAAGATCGGCAGTTTCACTCTTACACTCCAAGACGGCGGGCTCATCGAGGGCTTGGTTGAATCCACCAAGCTGCCTAGTGACTATGTGGATCACCTCGAATACGTACTCCTAGTCGACAAGAATGGAAGTGCGATACAGGGGATGCAGATAGGGTCCAACTACCAGGACGTGATCCCACCGGAATACGCCCTCAAACTGCGGGAACTGCTTGAGGTGGGCGACGAGGACCCGATGTGGTACATCGATATAACGCAGCGGTATTGGCGGCGTATCAGGTCGCTTCCAGGTGGGTGTCTTTGCTTTCGTCGTTCATATCTTTTATTCAATGAGATCGACATTCAGGTCTCCCTAACAAGAAGATCGTTTACCCCTCCGACTAATGATGTAGTCGCTGTCACGCCGGTGCTGTATTATGTCTCCTCGCTCTGGCATCTAATAATGTAGCTAGAACCAGTCTTCACTTCCTTGGCGACATTTCCTTGCCCACTCATCACTGGGCGGCTGTATTCGCAACACGCACCTCGTCGTTAGAGGTATCGGGCACCCGCATGGTGTCGAGACCGTCGCACAATGAGAGTCGCAAACACGACGCGTCCAAGCACGGTTGGCTCTGCACAACGTTCGATCGGCTTCCAGCACAGAGTGCGTCTGACCCGCTCGCTAGCTTGATAGACATGCCCATGGCTGAGCGGCACCAGCCAACGCGATCTATTCGACAGTGGAGTCTGGTCGCGCGCGACACTGCAGTGAGTTCATACAACACGGTTATTGATGGACCATCAACGCGCAGGGTCGGGACCGCAGTCCGACTGCTACACTTCGGTTTCGTCGAAGCGTCGAAGTGAGATCATACGCGCAACTGAACATACCAAAACCGCGTGTATTAGCTCAGTGTCTACAACATAAAGGCACAGCGAACCAGTGGGGAGCCTGAAGTAGAAAATTTTCGGCACGTCTACCTGCTCGAAGATTGCTCCCGGCTTCTCTACCCAGTGCTTGAACGCGATGGGGAGGACGCGGGTGCTTTTGAACTGGTAGACGGAGCGTCCACCTATGAGTGCAACAACAGATTGCTTCGACAAGTGGGCCATGTATCAGCCTGCCACCTGATGAAGCCTGAACTCCTGTCAGATTGGGCGGCAAATCGAATGCATACTGCAACGCACCTGCCACCCCGAAGAACACTCGCATCCTACGCAATGCCTGTGCCCGCCCTCCAACATCTTGAGCATAGCGGCCATCCGCTTTTCACTGTAGACACGCTCGTCCTCGATGGTGAGAAGCTCCTCCTGGAACGTGCGTCAATCTTGAAGATCCGGTGTTAGAGCCTATTCTCGTATATGTTTAACGCCAAAGACTCCTCAGGACCCGGGGTTGAATCCTTCGCAGCGGACGTGTTAGTGGCGAATGTGGCCGAAAGACTCGGCGCATCCGTGGACTTGAGCTAGACCACATCGGCGGCGGTTGGAGATGGAGGCGTGTGGGGGTGATGACATTGCTAGAGTCGACTTGACCTGAGCCGGGTAGATGGAAGTGCAGCGAGAGGTTGTGAGCGGCCAGAGGAGACAAGTCAGAAGCCCGAGGGCGACGCGGGCCGGGCCGCTGAGGGCCGCCACTGGGCTCTCGTTGTGACAGCTCCGAGTACACTTGAACTCGTACAAGGCCAAATGTCGAACAAATCGTTTTCGCCTCTCTTCATACAACCCCATATCCCCTTCGCTCCGGCGGACGGCCTTGCGTACGAGGGTACAGAAGAGGTGTGTACTAGTGTCTTTCGTGTTTGTATACATATAGTCATGCATTGACTTGTTACGTTAGGAGGAAGCACGTATCTATGCTATGCAACCGCTGAAAGACAACGACTTCATTCCGCTCCTCCGCTATCCTAACAACCTCACTGTGTACAGACCTCCGATGTTTCGCTACGCCTGGATCATCGACGACGACCATCTGAAGCGCATCATATCTGAGAAGTTCCCAAAGATCATTACATTGGTCGACCGACCTTCCGACAAACCAAAATTGTCGCCGAACTACTACAACTATTTCGAATTCCCTGGGAACCCCAGTCCGAACACGAAGATCGGTAGTCTCAATCTCACGCTCAGAAACGACAAGCTCATCAAGGCCCTCGTGGATCTTACCGAGCTGCCTAGCGACTATGCGGACCACCTCGAATACGTACTCCTAGTCGACAAGGATGGCAGTGCGATATGGGGGATACAGATCGGGTCCAACTACCAGGGCGTGATCCCACCGGAACACATCCTCAAACTTCGGGAAGTGCTTGAGATGGGTGACCAGGATCCGATGTGGTACATCGATATAGTGCAGCGGTATTGGCGGCGTATCAGGTCGCTCCCGGGTGGGTGTCGTTGCTTTCGTCGTTCATATGGTTTGCTCAATGAGATCGACATTCAGGTGTCCCTAATGAGAAGATCGTCTACCCCTCCGACTAATGAGCCAGTCACGCCTTGTGTGTACAGCATCGCCGCCCTGTTCTCTTCCACGTGTCCGAGCTGTCAGTGGGCCTTGGCCTTCTGACATGCTCGGAGATTGATTCCTGTGCCAATCGGACTGTAATATTATTTTTCGTTGCGAGTCAAGTCCATTCAACTCGCCCTTCAGTCGTGGGTTTCAGTATGAAATACGTACTAGTGGCGGTCCCTGGCACACATACTGCTCGAATGGGCGCGTCGCTTGCATGTTCACCTTGCCGACCACAAGTATGTTGCTGCTTCGGGGCAGATTGACATAACTACCTTCAGTGTTCGGCGTGCTCAGCGACCACCCCCACCACCTCCACACCATGATCGAACACTGACCCTGCCGCTGCACGCAGTGTCCGGCGTCCCTCGTAGTACGTACGCAACCACGACCTGCCACCTGACGCCGCACACGAGTTCTAGATGCCAACTTGAAGGCATGGCGCTCCGCGGGGTACAACAAGATTTTCTCGCGACCCATCCCTCATAGCAAACTCCAGACGAGGGACTGGAAGGGTAGAGTACTTCGAGCAAGGAACTGAGACAGGCGAGACGCTGCTTGAGCGTGCAGACACGTCTGGTGAATAGTATTTGAATAGCGTGGATTCGCGATCCTAACACCAACGAAGGACAACCCCGATCAGAAGTGGGCGCCTGTCGTATGCCGCCATCGCCGTCTCATGAAGGCCGCCGAGGACATGGGCTGCAGGACAACATATCAGCAGTCAGCCTCTTCCCGTCCCGCACCGTACCGCAAGAAAACAGGAGAATATCTAGACTCACGTGAGCGTGCGTCGTCCGCGCGACGTCGTCCGCATTCGCACCGTACTGGGGCGTGAGCACGCCCTCCACAATCATCTCGCCCGCGTTGGGGCCAATGACACGAACATCCAGAATCCAGCCCGTCCCCGCCTTGGTGATGAACTTGACGATGCTTTCGGTTCGTCTTCACACGCGGGTTCCCGGCGAAGGGAACTTGCCGACCTTGTAGTACTTGACACCGTCCGCCTTGAGCTCCTTCTCGGTCTTGCCCACCCACACGACCGCGTCGTAATTGGCGTGCCCGTGGCCCTTGGGGATGTGCTCGACGGCGGCGATGCCCTCCCCGACCTCGCGCACGAGCATGGGCCCAAAGGTGACGTCACCAATGCAGCGGATGCTCTCGACGGAGGTGCTGAGCTGGCCATCGATCACGACGCGACCCTTCCTGTCGACTTCGACACCGTGGGCGTCGAGATTAGGTCCTTCGGTGTACGGGCGGCGACCGACGGAGACAAGGACGACGTCCGCTGCGAAGGAGGGGAGGATGTGCACTGCGAACACGCAAGACAGAATATTGGCGACGTACCTCTTCCTCCCTGCTACCCTTCGCGCTTCTCAGCGGACAGAATCTGTTCGACATGAACTTGGGACCTTGTGCTAGAAGTGAGCACGAGTAAAAGGGTCAGAGTAAGAGAGACGTACGCAATCTCCTCGTCGATACCCGCACCGTTGATACCACCAAGGAACTCGACACCAGTGATCTGCGCACCCAGACGCTCCCCAGACCAATGATACCACCGCCAATGACGACTGTCTTCCTGGGGACGTCCTTGAGGAGAGCACGCCAGCAAAAGAGACAATCTGCTTCTCGTCGATGGTGATGACGCTGCCGGGGGAAGGTGCGACCTTGGAATTAGTGGCAATGATGATGTTCTTGCCCTCGCCCCCTCGTTGAGCGTGGCGGCGATCTTCGTGGTGGAGACGAACGAGCCGGCACCCTTGATGTAGTCGACCTTGTTTTGCTTGGAAAGGGTCTTGGTACCCTTCACTAAGCCAGTGACCGCTCGCATGAGCATGAAAGAAAGAAAGAGGTCGACCTCGGGAACTTGACAGGATATCATGGCGAATCATTGGGAGGGGGATATGCAAAAGCCGCGCCAAACGACACTCACTGTAATTCCGAACCGCTTCATGTGTGCTGGGCCCGGTGGCACATGCGCGAACCGTTGAGTATCACTTTTGAGGGAATGCAGCCCGCGTTGAGGCACGTTCTACTGAAGGCGCCGCGCTTCGCAATGCAGGCCGTCTACGGAGATGTTGAACAAGGCAGGCCATGCAGATACAAATGACGCACCCGGAAACCAAGCTGCACGGCGTTCGCGTTGGTTGCGTCCAATGAGCCCAAAAACAAACGCTGCTCACCGCCACCGATGGCAATGGAATTGTAAGGCTCCGGGGGTGTAACGAGCCCGCGCTGCTTCTGCTGGCGACCGGCCAGGGTACTGGTGGACTGGCGAAGGAGACCTTCTGGACCTGGAGCATGACGTTCGGAGGAGGAGGAGGACCCCTGCGCAGACGCCCATCGGCGCACACCCCCGCGTTCCGCGTTGGGCCTGGGCCTGGGCCACTGACGATCATTCTTGACATGGTCTACGATCAGACTCCTGCTGCGTTCCCTCCCTCCGAGGAGGAGTGTGAAGCTCTCTCGCAGAAATATGCGTCGTACTCCAAGATTTACAACGAGGACGGCCTAGTCAACTGTTGAAGATACGCGCGGAAGCGCCGGCTACGATTAGATTAGATTACGCTATGCGTTCGGATGATACCTTTGTAGTTCCTTATCTCTTAGTTCAGTCTATCACGCCTTACGATACTCTTAGGTCTTTGTTATTGTCATGTACTATTTACAGCGCGCGCGCATACAGCGCTAATTAAGCTTCGTTTTCCCTTCCCCGAACCTGCGCGAACTTCTACAGGTTATGAGCCCTGCTTCGTTCTAAAGCAGTATCCACTCAGCCTCTTGTACACACCTTAGCTTGACATCTCCACTCACTATGACTTCCAACACCGACAAGATCAACTCGTTGCTCCGGGCGAAGATTGAGCCACTCTCGGGATCGAGCGACTATCCCCGGTGGCGTCGGCAATTCTCAGGGCTTCTCAAACTCGCGAAGATCTCGGACATCGTCCTCGGTCACGAGACGCGCCCGAAGCTAGCCGACGACAGGAGCAACAGAGCCGACGTCGAAGCCTGGGAAGACAAAGACCTCGCGGCGCTTGTCGGTATGCAACTCAAGCTCGGGACGGCGGCCGCGGCGCTTGTATCGGACGCGGATACGAGCCACGACGCCTGGATGAAATTGGAGAAGAACTATCAAGTACGCGGCGTGGGACGCATCATCGAGATCAAGAGGAAGATGATGAACTCACAATACTCTGATGGGGAGGACGTGGACGAGTGGGTGCAGAGGATGGGTGTGTGGCGGTCGGAGTTAGCGGACATGAACCGGACGATCTCAAACGATGAGTTCTCACTTCTGCTTCTCTGCGCACTCCCGGAGTCTTGGCGCGGCTTCACGAGCTCGATTCAAGAGAGCGCGCTCCAAGACCCGGACACCATCATCGGATCAATACGCGATCACGGAGCGCGCACTCACGCAACCGAGGCCGCGTTCCTGGCGAAGCAAGGTGGGACCGGCGGGAAGCGGAGCGGCGGGCCGCCGCACTGCTGGAAGTGTGGGAAGGTCGGGGTGCAGAGGGATTGCCCGAACCATCGTCCGTGGGGCGGTGGCAAAGGGAAAGAAAGGGAGACGGGAAAGGATGAGAAGGCGTTGACGGCGAAGGAGAAGAAAGGGAAGGCGGAGGAGAGTTCGGACGATGAAGGATACGCCTACGCTCTCATCGAGACGGGCGCCACGATCAACGAGGTCGCGCTTACCGCTATGAGCGCCGGCGCATGGATCGCGGACACCGGCACCACATCGCACGTCGCACGCGAACGGCGCCTCTTCACCACCTACTCACCCGTCACTGGCAAGTACCTCCAAGGCGCCGGAACCACCCCCATCCTCGGTCGCGGAACCATACGTTTCACTTACAAGCACGACGGGAAGACTACCACCGTCGACCTGCTTGACGTCATCCACGCACCCGGCATTCCGCACAATCTCATCTCGATCGGTCGCGTCGAAGCGGCCGGACACACGGTTCAACTAGCCGGCGGGGAGATCAAATTCCTCAACCGGAAGGGGCGCGCTTACGCCTCTGGACGCCGCGGGGGCGGCTACCTTTACGAAATGGACGGAGCGCCGGAGATTCCGGAGGTATCGTACCCGGGCGCTGTTTCCAGACCTATCCGCAAACGAACTTACGACGAATGGCACGCCATACTAGGGCACCCGGGCTTGAAGGTCGTGGACACGATGATGCGGAAGGAACTGGTGGACGGACTGGTGGTGGACAAGGGGACGCCCGCGCAGGAGCAGTGCGAAGCGTGCGTACAGGGGAAGCAGACGGTGGCACCATATCCGGCGGCGTCGGAGACGGAGGTGGGAGTGATCGGGGAGTTGATCGTGCTGGACACGTGGGGACCGGCCCGGACGGAGGGGATAGGACACGAGCGCTACGCATGGGTGTTCACCGACGTGCACTCGCGTATGTCGGAAGCGGCTTTCGGGAAGGAGAAGTCTGAAATCAAATCACATTTCCACGAATACCGCATGCGCCTGCAAACTCTCCACGGCGTCACCATCAAACGCGTCCGCTTCGACAACGCGAAGGAGTTCCTCGGGGGAGAGTTCGGCGCTTACCTCAAGGAACACGGCATCACGATCGAGACTACCGCACCCGAGTCTTCTGGCCAGAACGGGATTGCCGAGCGCGTCTTCCGGACCACCTTGGAGCGGTCGCGCGCCATGCGCATCGCTGCCGATCTACCCAAGTTCCTATGGCCACAAGCCTTCGCACATGCCATCTTCCTGAAGAACATCCTCCCGACTCGCGCACTCAAGGACAAAACACCCTACCAAGTGTGGCACAAGCGGAAGCCCGACGTCTCCGAACTCCACGCCTGGGGTGCCGAGTGCTGGGTGCTCACGTCAGCAACGAAGCGATCAAAGCTTGATCCGAAATCGGAACCGATGCGCTTCGTTGGGATGGCTCCGGGGAGCAAAGCCTGGCTATACTGGGACAGGCACGCGCGGCGGATCGGAAAGTCACGCAACTTGGTCTTTCGCGTACGGAAGCCCACTCCGCCCGCGGACGAGGACGAGGACGTATGGGAGTACATGGAGTACTTCGCCCAGCCGCTCGAGGGGGAGGATGTGGAGTCTGGCGAGCGTCAGGACGAAGAAGAAGGGGGAGAACCCCGAGGAGACGCGGACCGGACACCCGCACCCGAACTCGCGATCGCGCCCGCGCCTGAACTCGCGCCCGCGCCTGCGCCTGCGCCCGCGACCGCGCCTGCGCCCGCACCTGCGCTCGCGCCCACGCTCGCGCCCGCGCCCGTACCGGAGGTCCCGCGTCGCGCGTCGCGATTGGCAGGCAAGCCACGCCTAGACTACAAGGCACTTGCGCACAACGGCGAACGCGTCCCCATCACCGACGAAGCACTCATCACGTGCTTACTCTCACTCTTCGGCGTTGAAGGGGGAGCGGGGAACGTCATCGAGCCGCGCAACTTGAAGGAGGCGCGCGCACAACCGGAGTGGCCAGAATGGAGGCGCGCGATGGAGAGCGAGCTCGCGCAACTCATCAGACTTGGGGTCTTCGAGATGGTGCAGCTACCGGAAGGGCGGAGGACAATAGGATGCCGCTGGGTCTATCGCCTGAAGGTCAACGCGGAGGGCATCATCCTTCGATTCAAGGCACGGCTGGTCGCGCTCGGGTACAGCCAAATCTTCGGGCTGGACTTCTTCGACACATACGCGCCAGTCGTGCGAATGGATGCACTTCGGGCCTTGATCGCGATCGCAGTGCACAAGCGACTCATCATTCGGCAATTCGACGTCGTCGGCGCTTACCTCAATGCCGACCTCCAGGAGGAGATCTACATGTGCCAGCCCCCGGACTTTGAGGACGGGACCACGAACGTGCTCAGCTTGAAGAAGCTACTCTACGGACTCAAGCAAGCCGCCAATGTCTGGAACATACACATCGACGGGGCACTCGTACAGGACATGAAGTTTATTCGCACTGAACCGGATCAGTGCGTCTATGTCCGGCCCGGCGGCGAGCACGGCATCGGACTGCACGTGGACGACATGGTGGCTGTGGCTCCGAACGAGGCGGAGATGGACGCGATCAAAGAAGGTCTCGAGCGTCACTACGAGATCACGGATCTAGGCGAGCCGCGTCTACTCCTTGGACTTGAAATCTCGCGCCCTATCGGATCACCTGACGACCTCACGCTGCGACAGACGAACTACCTACGTCGCGCGCTTGAAGCACACCACATGTCAGAGTGTACACCGGTGAAGACGCCGATGGACCCGAACGTCAAGCTCCTGAAGACGAGCGAGGATGAGGAGGTGACCCCCGCACAAGTCCATGAGTACCAATCAGCGATCGGTACCTTGATGTACGCGGCACTCGGCACGCGACCGGATCTCGCGTACGCCGTACAGGCGCTGTCCCAATTCTGCTCGCGCCCCGGCCCAGTGCATTGGACGGCCCTCAAGCACGTCTTCCGCTACATCAAGGGGACACTCGACTACGGTATCACTTACCACGCGCAGGGGGAGCTGGTAACGAAAGTGGCGTACCAGCACTTGCGCCTCGAAGGGTACACTGACGCGGACTGGGGCGCTAATCCGGTGGACCGGCGATCAATCTCCGGATACGCGTTTCTGATCGCCGGTGGACTTGTCGCGTGGAGCTCGAAGAAGCAAGCGGTAGTAGCGCTATCGTCGACGGAGGCGGAGTACATGGCGGTGTCGTACTGCGCGCGACACACGATCTGGATGCGCGCACTTCTCGCGGCGCTGTATCTGAAGCAGGAGGACGCGACGGACCTCAATGCGGACAATCTCTCAGCCATCGCGCTCTCCAAGAACAACGTGCATCACGCGCGTACCAAGCATATCGACATCCGGCATCACTTTATTCGCGAATGCGTAGAAGCCGGTACTATCAAACTGAAGCACGTACCTACGGAGGACAATGTCGCGGACATGTTCACGAAGCCGCTTCCACGCGACCGCTTCCACATGCTGCGGCGGCAACTCGGGATCCTCTCAGACGCCGAGTTGAGGGGGAGTGTTGAAGATACGCGCGGAAGCGCCGGCTACGATTAGATTAGATTACGCTATGCGTTCGGATGATACCTTTGTAGTTCCTTATCTCTTAGTTCAGTCTATCACGCCTTACGATACTCTTAGGTCTTTGTTATTGTCATGTACTATTTACAGCGCGCGCGCATACAGCGCTAATTAAGCTTCGTTTTCCCTTCCCCGAACCTGCGCGAACTTCTACATCAACAAAAAGGATCCTATCGGGAGACAGCAGGCGAGGGACGAGCTCTACGCAACCCGAGCTGAACCCGACTTGGGCCCAGTCCAGCTCGTGGGGGGGCCAGACGGAGACCCGGACAGGTACCTTGCCCTCGTCGACGCCGATATCGCGAGGCTGACGGCCAAAGGAGCGGCCATGACCACTGCAGAGTGTGTACATTTCACTATCAAACTCGTTGATTCCGTATGTTCGTCGTTGACGCACGTCCAGCCGTGTGCTCCGCTGGCACATCGCCATGTCCGCGATCATGGTTTTTCTTGAGTTCAAGCTCGTCATTCCCTACTGTCGTTTCGATGGAGTAGTCGCCAAGATAACGACGCGAGGGCATAGAATGTAAGTGTCTCCTGCCTGACGAGGTACTGCGTACTGTTGACACATCGCAGCTCGACTGAATGGGTTCGAGCAAACCGCGAACGGATCCTGTCCGGCGACTGGCCCCCGCCACCAGACGAACGTGCCGCGCCACACCTTCCTCCACAGACCCCGCCCAGCCCACAACGCATGCTCAGCTGTACTCCACCGTCGAGTTCTCCCCCTCAGCCGGTCGCCATGCACCCACCGTCTCCGCTCACATCCAAAGAGGTCAAGGATCTCGTCAAGCGGCCGTCGCCTTTGATCGACATGCGGTTCGAATGTCATGACGAAACTGCCGGTGGCGTCTGGAAGCTGCAGTCGTTCACTCAGACCTCGGGCCGTCCGACCGAGTTCTGGATCAAGTACGACGACTGCAATGGCGTTATTCCCATGGACACAGATGCCATGACGTGGCTCCTGGCCGAGAGCTTGGTAGTAGAGGGGCTGGATGAGTACAGGTCTGATGATTAGGTGTTGCTCAGGCGTTCCCCGGCTGTGGTTGGAACGTCTTCTCTCTCTCGCCATATTGGAACATACTGGCCCTGCCAGCACCTTGAAGTACATAAGTACATATATTAATGTGACCTCGTCGCCGACGATTATGGACGCCAGGAAACACATCTCTTCCATTCAGCTCCCCCGACACCAGGTCTTCCTTTTCGTGGTCACGTCCGCCGCGCGCGCGGGAGACGGCCGCATGCAGGGCTTGCAAGAGCTCTATGAGCTCGTCCAAATGCTTGGTGTTCTAAGCAGCATCCACTTCGGCCACCCTCCCCGGGACACTCGCACTCGCCCTCGCACCCTCACCAGAGCCCAGACATCGGGACGGCGGCATACCCGTGTCTCGTCCCCGGTTCCCCGAAGACCTTCCATCCTCTCTACTCTAATAGCGGATTCTGGTTACCAGCCCGCAGTGATAATGAGGAGAGCTGGCGGGACTCGTGGAAAGGCGCTGTATGGTACAACTCCCGGACGAATGTACAATTGGCATATACTTTCACATCTTTTCGTCATGACGTCGACGGCTGGAATCTATTTCTACGTTTCACATGGCGTTTCGAACCATCAATACTTATGACAAAGTGAAGCAGGTACGAAATCAAGCCCGCGATGAGCACAGGGTATCATAGCCACGGGTGACTACACCTTGGCATTCAGCGACCACCACCGTCGATAGAACAGCCGACCCCATACTCCGCCGAAGGAGGTCCAGAATGAACCGACGGATTCGTAAACTCCAACGCATATACGCATGAGCGTCAGCACTTGGTGCGCTTGTCTCGCGGTCGGGCGACAACGACAAACGCCTGCGCACCCGCGCTCTTCGCCGATGATCCATTGCACGTAGCGTCTTAACAACCAGGGTGGAGTATGGTGAAGGTATCTCGACTGGGACTTCTGTCAACGACAACCCAAATCGAAGCACCATCCTGGCAGTACGTACTGAAATCGTCCATTGGAGGAGCCATCCTAGGCAGTAAACATCCCATGAGTAAGGGTCGAGATGTGTGATTCCCCTCGGTTTCTTAATGGCCGAGGGCGGAAGTTCGATGGCAGGCTGGACGCCCGGACCCAACTCCAACCGCTGCGAGAACTCGAAGTCTATCGGGTACGGATATTCTGCCTTGACTTCCTTCCCGAAGAAGGTGTTCGTCTCGGGGGCCCACACCATATTGGAATCCGAGAGATCCTGACATCAGTGTGAGCAAGTACTGTTGTTGATGTGCGCGTTTGTCGCAGACTAACCAGATGAACGACATGACGGCTGTGCAAATACGCAATAATCTACGCAATCAGCTCGGCTGTCAGGGGAGTTATGACACAACGTAGTGTACCTTGATTATGCGGGAAAGGGCCGTCAAATAATGGCTCAACGGTCGCTTTCGATACGACCAATACTCCCAGTTGCCGGCCTCTGGAGTAACGAGGAAGGGCTTCTCACCAACGAGCTTGACGCATGGCAGGATGTAGTTGGAGGAGGCGGGATCTTGTTGTAAGTATTCGTAGATATCTGCTTCCCGAGATACAATGCTGTCTCGGGGGAGCTTGACATAATAACAGCACCCTGAATGTATGTGTTCGAAGAGAAAGACTCGATGCTGAAATGGAGGTGTTATTAGCAAGGTATACTGCGAAGAGCTGACCACAGACTTACCTTTCGTCTGTGAAACCGGAAGACCATGTCATCGTTCTTAAGTTCAGGATGATCCGAGACCCATCGGGGCGGCGCTTCTCCATCCGCGATGCGCTCGTCATAGTCGGGGCCATCCAGGTTGATCACAGTGTCAAGCGTTTTCCATGGACGAAGAATGAGGTGTGTGCAGGAAAGAAGGCGTGGCTCTGCTGGCATCGGACCGGCACGGCAGGGATCCCGGCCGCGGACGAGCCCACGCCGTAGCGTCGATGACTGAGGGCCTGGTCGGCTGTCCGTGGGATGGGCTGGGTTCCCCGCCAAAATGATCCCACAGCACGATGGGCTGTGGGCTCGCGATAGACGCCCCTCGAGCCCATCCCGTCGTGGGCTCGGAGGTCTCCGGGCCGCGGGCGGATGGGTATCCTGATGGGCGCTTTGCCCGTCACGCTGTCGGAGCCACCCCGGTGCTCACTTCTCATTGCTCACTGCTTGCTCCCTTCCTCTCCCTCTGTTCTCAGTCTTTACATGTTATTTTCACTATGTCCTTGACTCGTCTGCTCCCCTCCCTCCCACTGCTACTCAAGCCACCTGATTATTGCTTAGATAAGTTAGATATGCTTGATAACTCTCCCATGTTGCCTCCCCAATCCTCTAGGCTCTCTCTGTTAGCTGCCCTCTGCCACTCTGCCGTGATCTTGAACTGTGTACAAAAAGCGTACTACGTGAGGTGGGTTCAGGATGGCGAACGGCAGCTAGCTACACTGTAATGAATATTCTGTGAGATTCAGGGTCATACAGTGACGGTCAAAAGTAATGCACACCCTGGCTCTGGCGTCTAGTGCGCTTCATGGCGGGCTCGAATCTCGTCCGTTTGAGACGATTTCTGTATGTACGGGTAGATATTCTGAATGCGAACCTGTGGGTACTTGTTTGAGAAGATTCGGACTAGTATTGAGCGAGATAGGAGGCAAACTCTGTGAGCCACCCTGTCACAGCTGTCACAACTGTGGGCAGGGGGCGACAATGCATGTCTGTAGAAGCAGAACAGCAGAGAGTTGAGAGCTGCGATTTATTTGAGGCTTATTAGGAGTCTGAATGATGCTCTGTGTATGAATTTCAGGCTGCAGAAACTTCTGGTTGGGTCATGTTTGAGCAAACATGGTTTTGAGCTGCCTCAACTCAAATCCGACCATTTGTTCGCACAGGCTCGGTCTGACTGCTACTGCAACAGTATGGAATATTTTTAACATGCTCATAGACGTGATTGATGCAAAAAACCAGAGGAGAAAAGGTGCAGATGTGGTTGTAGAAGGTGCACTGTGGTATTGATCAATGTCACACACATCACAAATCGATGTCTAGAACAGGACAAAGGACCCTGTGAGGCACGAAACTGCTGTGAGAACTCCCCATAAAGAAAGGCTTTCAGATAAGGCACGCAAGGTTGGCCGCTATGGCTTCGTTGCATGGGTACATACTCAGGAAGTTGCCTGATGTGACATGTGCGGCTTCACCAAGTATCCCCCGTCCCAGGTTCGCCGTGTTTTTCGCAATTCGTGCTTGGTATTTGTCTGTATCAACTTTATAAGTCTCTGAAATGTGCTCAAGCTAAAATTCCAGCATACAGACAGCCAGGAAGGCAAAACAATGGAGGCAGGGCAATCATTGAATATGATCATGTCACATCAGACAACTTCCTGAGTATGTACCCATGCAACGAAGCCATAGCGGCCAACCTTGCGTGCCTTATCTGAAAGCCTTTCTTTATGGGGAGTTCTCACAGCAGTTTCGTGCCTCACAGGGTCCTTTGTCCTGTTCTAGACATCGATTTGTGATGTGTGTGACATTGATCAATACCACAGTGCACCTTCTACAACCACATCTGCACCTTTTCTCCTCTGGTTTTTTGCATCAATCACGTCTATGAGCATGTTAAAAATATTCCATACTGTTGCAGTAGCAGTCAGACCGAGCCTGTGCGAACAAATGGTCGGATTTGAGTTGAGGCAGCTCAAAACCATGTTTGCTCAAACATGACCCAACCAGAAGTTTCTGCAGCCTGAAATTCATACACAGAGCATCATTCAGACTCCTAATAAGCCTCAAATAAATCGCAGCTCTCAACTCTCTGCTGTTCTGCTTCTACAGACATGCATTGTCGCCCCCTGCCCACAGTTGTGACAGCTGTGACAGGGTGGCTCACAGAGTTTGCCTCCTATCTCGCTCAATACTAGTCCGAATCTTCTCAAACAAGTACCCACAGGTTCGCATTCAGAATATCTACCCGTACATACAGAAATCGTCTCAAACGGACGAGATTCGAGCCCGCCATGAAGCGCACTAGACGCCAGAGCCAGGGTGTGCATTACTTTTGACCGTCACTGTATTATAGGACACAATCGGGATAGGTTGGAGGTGAAGGTGTCACACTTGGGCTCCTCTGGCCACTGGAAAGGCAGATACACAATAGATGATGGTTTATAGAAGCAAACATGCAGCATACAGCACAGGCTATGGCGAGCACGATACCTACATGATTACCTAAGCAAGCAGGAGGGTTACACCTCCAGTGCCGAACTCCAACAAGGGGACAATTGACACCGGAAATAAGGGCGGCAATACATGTCATGGCTCGCGTTCTTTCGCACATTCAATGGGCCATTAGGACAGGCAGAGGGAGTCCACACATGAGGGAGGTGGACATCACGAAACTTGCGCTCGGACGATCCCGCGCGATCACGGGGACGGATGCAGATCAGAGTATGTCCTAACGGCACCGGGCATGATCATGCAGACGGCCATAGAGCGAGAGATGATCATATATTCGACGGAGAGACGTTTTTAGATCTCATGCCGTCTAAAAGACAGGCAATGATCGCGCAGACAGGCTTATGGTCGACCATGATCTGACAGGAGGGGTGTAATGGTCAGCCGTGTCCGGCCCGGCACCAGTCGGCCGACCGAGTAGGACCCGACACAGGCTGAGCGATGACGGTGCGCGACCCTTCTAAGATCTGCACTTGACCGTACGCCAACCACTGAACCGTACACAAGTGGGCGATGAGCTCGTCTCAGCTTCATTATATTAGACACCTTGTTTCTCATCGCTGCTATGCAGCAAGTTGTGCGCGGCCATGCCGGCCTCGTATGCGAACTTCCCCTGCACTCTCTTCCACTTTCCGAGTCGCCAATGATGGCGAAACCCTCCGGATGTTCTTAGATGGCACTGGAAGCATCGAGAACATGCTGGGTGAGGTCATGGAGGTCTTTGGCACAACACACGTCCAAACCACGTGACCATGGCCCTGGGCGTTTCAAAAACGCCAAAGCGCGAACTTCCCGAACCCCCATGTCCTCCTCTCCCCTCCACCATCTCCCACATTCGTGCGATCGTCATATAGCCCAACCCATATCCTTATGACTTGCCCTGCCGAATCTCATTTGCTCACAATGATCCTCTCTGTTACATGCTTCCACTGCCAGGACCTGACACCGCCAACGGCCGCGTTAAACAGAACACTTGGGAAGCTTTGGTACGTGACAATGCATCATTTTATGCGCATATACCCAGTCCTTCGACTGCAGGGCACGAGGGCTGAGCCCAAACGCAAGTCGGACCCGTCCATTATCGTCATGTTGACCTGCTCTGACCTGGTTGCTGCCGATGCTCCGTGAGTATCTGTCTGCTATATGCGCACTTAATTGACACGTCGGGTAACGGTGGGTTTTACTGTGCATGCATTCCTTCTGGATTTGACCTGAGGCGAATTACGACAAGACCTCGGCGCAAGCTCACGGTACGTACAGCACTTTCTTGCTCATTTTCTCATCTAACGTCCACACAACAATGCGCCGGCCCACGGAGGAAGTACGGCATTGTAGCGAGTCCCACTCATCTGATCTACGACCACCACTGCGCAGCATATAATCTCCCCATTAACGCGCCCACCACAGGCGCGATGAACCCGATCTTGGACGATGGGTCTGGTTGACTCCGTCCCGACGTTCGACATCGTGATGTCCTGGATGAGAGGCGGCAGGTTGATCTACGTTGCGCGGAATGGTGCGTCCATCTCTCTCTTCCGTCTCATGCGATATGTGCCGACCACTTTCCCCCCGACCACTTTCCCCCCGACCCCATCGCCGTCGATGCAGCCGACTGCTTGGTCTCCAAGGGCGACCTCAACGTCACGCTGCAGAACCTCCTGACAGGTGACAACTTACCTGCTCCGCGCACGGTGCCCTGTATGGCGCGTCCTCCTCTCCCATCCCGTTGTGTTTCTCCGGTAGCTCTTATCATATGGCCATAGGTATTCGTGCGTTTCTGTTGTCGCTGTGTCGTCTGTTGTATCGTCAGATAATGTACGCTTTAGTATAGTAACGGTCCAATAATTATTCTGTCTCTGATTTATGTCGTTCGAATGTCTCTATATGTATGCTCAAGCTATCCCTTGCGTACGACCATACCACGTGTTGGTCCGATCAATGTCGACCAAATGGCTGTAGCCGTTCGACCGAGCCCGACCAGAAGCTCCGTGAGGTCCGACCATGTGGGACCATACTGCCCTGTCCGTCGGCTCATAGACGGTCCAAGACCACCGTGAAGTAGACCTAACGAGATCAAACTGCCCCCACAGCAAGACCGTCCGGGATCGCCCTCCCACTGACCGCCGATCGCCCTTGCTCGTGTTCGACGATATTGGGTCGTTATTCGTCACAAGAAGGCCGGGCGGACAAATGATGATCTGGCAGACTTATTTCGATCTCACACGCTCTGCTGACGATCCTCTCGCTGCAATTTTCGTGATGGAGTGCAGGGCCCTCGAAGCGGTGCAAGCGCGCGGTGTCACCGTTCGTGATAGGGAGTGACACAGGGTGACGCCCAGTGACGCAGATGCCAGCGAAAGCCCGATGGGCTCGGGATGGGCCGTCGGCCGTCTCGGCCCCAGGCGAGCCCATCCCACAGCCCATCCCACGGACAGCCGACCAGGCCCTGACTCTCCCTGCATTCCTCCCGACTTCCACCATGTCCTTGTCTTCTTTCTCCTGTCCATCGCCCCGCCCCGTGCATCTATGGCCTGAGGCAAGCTCAAAGACGGCCAGGAGCTGACACAACTGGACACAAACACATAACACCCCATTAAATACTCCTAAGGGCGGGCGTCGGGCATGCCACCTTGGCTTTCGACGACTACGCGGTGCTCTAGGTGATGAAC